GACCGGTGAGAGTGAAAAATTCCTAGTTAAAGGTTAGTTGCTGGTTTCTGACTGGTGTAGTTTCCAGGTTCATTTTACTTTTTACTCTGGGCTTTGGTTTGTTCACACAGGAATGGATGGTACTAGTGCCACCTCTGTCTAATGGCTTCCTGCTTAGAATTTTTTCTTTTCTTTTCTTTTTTTCTGAGATGGAGCGTCACTCTGTCGCCCAGTCTGGAGTGCAGTGGTGTGATCTCGGCTGACTGCAACCTACGCCTCCTGGGTTCAAGTGATTCTCCTGCCTCAGCCTCCCAAGTAGCTGGGACTGGCAGGTACACGCCGCCACACCTGAGTAATTTTTGTATTTTCAGTAGAGGTGGGATTTCGCCATATTGGTCAGACTGGTCTCAAACTCCTGACCTCAGGTGATCCACCCGCCTCGGCCTTCCAAAGTGCTGGGATGACAGGTGTGAGCCATGGTGCCCAGCCATTAGAATTTTTCAAACAGCACAGATAAATGCTACAAAATGTGAAAGTGAAAAGTGTTATCCCTTCCACCTGAGGGGACAGTAGAGGGCATGCTGCTTCTGGTTTATAGTCATGGTAAGAAGCTTGACGTGGCAGAGAGCAAAAGTTATTGGCTTTCTGAGGCTTGTTTTTGCCCTCCTTGCTTTTGACCCTGAGTAGGTGTGAAACTTGGATGCTGAACTCTGGCCCCTAAACAGATTGAGAAAAGCAGGCTTTTTAGCTAGGTCTCATGAGAAATGGAGAAGGCATTGCTGAAACAGTCCCCAGGCTCGGTGCTGGGTCCAGATTTCCCCCCGCTGGTGACAGGGAAGGTGTTAAGAGGGTACTTTCGGGCCGGGTGTGGTGGCTCACACCTGTAATCCCAGCACTTTGGGAAGCTGAGGCAGGCGGATCACCTGAGGTTAGAAGTTTGAGACCAGCCTGGCCAACATGGTGAAACACCATCTCTACTAAAAATACAAAATTAGTCAGATGTGGTGGCAGGTGCCTGTAATTCCAGCTGCTTGGGAGGCTGAGGCAGGATGATAATTTGAACCCAGGAGGAGGAAGTTGCAGTGAGCCGAGATGGCTCTATTGCACTCCAGCCTGGGTGACAGAGTGAGACTCTGTTAAAACAAACAAACAAACATGTATATATATATCTCCTTTGATCAACATCTCTTCAACACCTTGCCCTTCAACCCACCGTGGACATATTTTTTTAGTAGCTGAGATTGCAGGCATGAGCCACCATGCTCACCATGCCTAATTTTGTATTTTTAGTAGAGATGGGTTTTCTCCATGTTGGTCAGGCTGGTCTTGAACTCCTGACCTCAGGTGATCCACCCACCTTGGCCTCCCAAAGTGCTGGGATTACAGGTGTGAGCCACCACGCCCAGCCACCATGCCCGGCCACCTGGACATATTTTTAAAACCCCCAGCTTCTCTCACTGCCAAACTGTGACTTGTGACCTCTGAGTCAGCCGGACAAGCCTAAGCTCTGCTCTCTCTGGACCCCAGTTCTCAACATCAGCACCTCGGTTCAGCTGGCAGCCTCCATGCCTTCGGGATTCCAGCCTGCGCAGACTCCCGACCCTGCGGCCCCAGTGGCCTACTTCCCATACTTCGACGGGACCTACCTGGGGGTGGCCGCATCCCTCAATGGGGGCAACGTGCTAGCCATGTTTGTTCACATGCTGATTCAGTGGACAGCAGATCTAGGTAAGGTGTGGCCCATATAGCACTGTGCTCTCTGCCTGTCCTTTCTACATGGCAGGTCTCAGAGCTTCATGTGCGGTTTCAGCCTCCACATTCAGGTGGCAGGCCCTGGCAGGCCCTGGTGTGTTTCTCCCGTCCTTTGGGATCTGAGCTTGCAGCCACTGTCCTCTCATCCTCTGAGCTGCCGTCACCTCCTCTCTTCTTTGGGTCAGGCACTCTGTATGTGAGCCTTGACTGTATACCCTCACCTCAGTCTCCCTGGCTTTCCTCCACCCTCCCTGCTCCCTTCTCTTATTCCTGGGGTAGAATTTATGGGGTTTTCTCTGCTCTGCATGTACAGATGCTTCTCGACTTACAATGGTTCTTATTTTACCTACAATGCACTTATATCCAGCTAATTCTGACCCCTAGTAAGTGTGATGTAGACATTTCTCTCTTTCCTTTTTTTTTTTTTTTTTTTTTGAGATGGAATCTCACTCTGTCACCCAGGCTGGAGTGCAGTGGCGTGATCTCAGCTCACTGCAATCTCTATCTCCTGGGTTCAAGCAATTCTCCTGCCTCAGCCTCCCGAGTATCTGGGATTACAGGCGTGCGCCATAATACCCAGCTAATTTTTGTATTTTTAGTAGAGACGGGGTTTCTCCATGTTGGCCAGGCTGCTCTTGAACTGCTGACCTCAGGTGATCCACCTGCCTTGGCCTCCCAAAGTGCTGGGATTACAGGTGTGAGCCACTGCACCCAGCCGGCATTTCTTAAAGAAGCACAGTGTGGAGTGGAACCCAGGAGAGTGGCCTTGGTTCCCTGCTGTGTCCTAGAGTCATTATTTATCCCTGGCAAGTCCCTTCCCTTCTGCGTTTTCCTAGCTCCATGTCTTATGGTTCTAAGCCCGTGGGTTAGAACACTCAACAGCTCAAGGGGCTTGTATCCTGCTACGTCCGTTATAAGTGAATTGCAAGGGAAATTATCCTAAGTTGAAAATGCATTGAATGCACCTACCCTATGAACATCATCGCTCAGTCTAGTCTACCCTAAATGTGCTCGGAACACTTACATGAACCTACAATTGGGCAAAATCACCTAGTACAGAGCCGATTTTATAACAAAATGTCAAGTATCTCATATAACATGTTGGCCACTGTACAAAGTGAGAAACACGGTGGTTTATGGCTACTGGAAGTCCGATTTCTGCTGAATGCATGTGGCTTTCACTCCATTGTAACATCGAAAAACAAAGTTGAACCACTGTAAGCTGGGGACCAGGTGAGATATGTAATCTCCCTCTTCCAGGAGACGTTCCCTTTGGCAGCACCTAAGCTAGAAATGAAGTTTCTATTCAGGTCTAGTAAGTCATGGCCATCAGATGCGATGGTTACATCAAAGTCAGAGGATGGTGGAAAACAGAATGGAAGGCAGGGTCCAGGCAGTACGTGGAGAGCTGGGACTGCTCGTGCAGAGGTGTTCCTGAGTGACGTCAGTCCCTTCGGGCTGGCCAGGGACGTCAGGATTGCTGGGGGCATTCTGCCTCCTTGGCTGGGATCTCCTCAGGAATGCTTTATTTTTATTTTTTAATTTTTTGAGACAGAGTCTTGCTCTGTCGCCCAGGCTGTAGTGCAGTGGCGTGATCACGGCTCACTGCAACCTCCGCTCCGTGGGTTCAGGTGATTCTCCTGCCTCAGTTTCCCAAGTAGCTGGGATTGCACCTGTGATTTTTGCATTTTTAGTAGAGATGGGGTTTCACCATGTTGTCCAGGCTGGTCTGGAATGCCTGACCTCAAGTGATCTGCCTGCCTCGGCCTCCCGAAGTGCTGGGATTACAGATGTGAGCCAACACACCCGGCCTTTTTTTTTTTTTTTTTAATTTGTTTTAAAAATGCAGAGCTGGCTGGCCAGGGTTGGTGGTTCACTCCTGTAAACACAGTACTTTGGGAGGCTGAGGCGGGTAGATCACTTGAAGTCAAGAGTTTGAGATCAGCCTTGCCAATGTGATAAAACCTTGTCTCTACTAGAAATGCAAAAATCGGCCAGGTGTGGTGATGTATGCATGTAGTCCCAGCTACATGGGCGACTGAGGCAGGAAAATCGCTCGAATCTGGGCGACAGAGGTTGTAGTGAGCTGATAGGATATGTGCCACTGCACTGCAGCCTGGGCAACAGAGCAAGTCTCAGAAAAAAGCAACAAAAAAGAATGCAATGCTAACATGGTGTCAGGGAGAAAACTCCGACTGGGATTCTGGCTTGACACTGAAAAGCGAATCGCAGGATGGTCAACACATCCCTTCTCCCTGTGGTTCGGGTGCCCTGTGCACGTTACATGGGTGGCCCAGTGACTGGTCTGGAATCCTGGGATTTCTAATGCTGGTAATGACGCTATAGCATCCATGATGATAGTTATTAATCAGTACATGCATTTGGTCCCGTTGGTTAGGAAGCCTGGGATACAGTTAGGGCTCACAGCAGCACTTAGGAGACCTCACCATGACATCTGGCTGGGGTCTGCACTTAGATGGCTAGCGGGGATCCAGGGCAGAGTACAGCTAGCCTGGCTGTAGGAGTCCCTGAGCCCAGAACCACCAGCTGCAGTGTGGGGAGAAGCAGCAAGGGAGCCCCTTCTCGCCCTGTGGGAATTCTGTACCACCTCTGCCTGCATCAAGGGGGTTGCGTTAGCTAACACAGATCTTCCCTGTCTCCGGCAGGCCTGGAGGTGGAAGAATCCACAGTATATTCCCACATCATCCAGGCAGCTATGCAGCAGACAGACACCCACCTGACCATCACCCCAACAGTGCTGGGGGAGAGGCATCTGCCGGACCAGCTGGCCTCAGTGACCAGAATCTCCCCTGACCTCTCCCTGGGGCATGTGACCCGGGCCCTGTGCCGAGGCATTGTTCAGAATATGCTCTCCATGCTTCCCGTGCGGCAGCTGCAGGAGTGGGGCGTGCAGCGCGTGGTGGGGAGTGGGAGTGCGCTGTCCAGGAACGAGGTGCTGAAGCAGGAGGTGCAGAGGGCTTTCCCTTTGCCTATGTTCTTTGGGCAGGATGTGGATGCAGCTGTCGGGGCAGCTCTGGTCATGCTCCAGAGAAACCTCAGCCAGAAGGAATCTTAGAGAAAGCAAATGCGTTCACCAAAGGACTGCTGCGAATTTTACCTGATTCACATTCCTGACACCATCTGTGGGTCATCCTTTCCCTGCATAGTTCAGTGGACAGCTTTTAAGCAGCACCTGTTGTCCCATCTTGACCAAGAACATACCTTCAGGACATACTCTAACAATGCAGCCAGAAGCCATCAGCCAGATCCCAAATTAGTGCCTTCCGAAAGAGACCCACTGGGAGCTACTTGCAAATGTCAGTGTGGGAGAGAGAGTGTGAGAGCACAGCAGCCAGCCTCCTGGTCAGCAGGCTCATCTGTGGCTCAGCTGCAGAGAGCAGATAAAGGTGAGTCTGGTGGCCGTGGCCCCAAGTGAGAAAAGACCTGCCCCATGCCCTGCTTTGGATGATTGTTTTTGGAGACCTGAAATCACATGCACTTCTGGAAAAGTTGCTTCTCTCCTGGAACGTGCCATGTGACCAGAGGCCCCTTTCCTAGTCTCATCCTCCCCTGGCCACAGATGCTAAGCAGGGGCAGAGAGTGAGCCAGGCGTGGTGCAGCAGCTGGCTCAGAAGACAGTGCGGGGCTGTATGCTGGGCTGGAAAGCCTGCCGCCCCTGCGCTGCCCAGGTCTTCATAGCACAACTGCCAGGAAGGCAGGTTGCAGAGAAGGCGAGGCGGATGGCATGAGCAGCAAGGGGCACCGATGCTGTCCAGCCCACACCGCTCTGGCACGTCATTCCCAAGAGCCTGACGAGGCACCAGCAGGACTGATTTCCGGGAGCGTGGCTGGGCAGGTGTACTTTTGCTCCTGCCTGCCCCAGAAGCCTTCACAGGAAGGGATGCAGCCAGGCAGACTCCTGCCAGATGGGGCAGGTGCTTTATCCAAAGAGAACCCTGTATCCCATAGGCCTAGGCTCTCCTTCCCTTGGTGTGGGCTTTGCAGGCCCATTGTGTGTTCCTGGCTCAGCAGAAACATGCGTGAGTCAGCATTCCTGTAGGGTCCCAGAGCAGCGTAAGCCTTCCTGTGATTGACAGGGATGGCTGTGGGGTAGCTTCCAGGAGGAGGCCACCTTTGCCGCATCTACTCCCAGACCCCCAAAGGAGCCCAGGCTCAGGCAGGCCTGGTCCAGAGGCACCCAGGCAACCATGAGTTTGGGAAACAGTCATATTCCCTCTTTCTCTCACTATCCATCACAGGTATGAAACATATTGTCTTTTTATAAGTGTCATATTATAAATTATGTGATCATCTGGAAGCTCTGAGATGAGAGCAAAATGCCTGATCATGCTGACTGAATGTCAGGTACTAAAGCCCATTCTTGGCTGAGCGAGGTGGCACCTGCCTGTAATCCCAACACTTTGGGAGGCTGAGGCGGGCAGATCACGAGGTCAGGAGTTCTAGACCAGCCTGACCAACATGGTGAAACCCTGTCTCTACTAAAAATACAGAAATTAGCTGGGCGTGGTGGTGTGCACCTGCAATCCCAGCCACTCTGGAGGCTGAGGAGGAGAATCACTTGAACCCCAGAGGCAGAGGTTTGCACCACTGCATTCCAGCCTGGGTGACAGAGGAAGACACTATCTCAAAACAGCAAAGCTGGGTGTGGTGACGGCATCTGTAGACCCAGCTACTCGGGAGGCTGAGGCAGGAGAATCACTTGAACCCAGGAGGCACAGGTTGTGAGCTGAGATGGCACCACTGCACTCCAGCCTGGGTAACAGAGCAAGACTCCATCTCAAAAATAAATAAACAAAATAAAATATAAAAGCCCATTCTTCCAGAGTCTTGTGCCTTAAATAAAACACACACCTCTGCTTTGGGAAGACTATGCTGCAGCCAGAGCTTGGTTTGGGAGGTTGAGATGCTCTGGGGGAGCATTCGTAGGTCATCCTGAGAAAAGCTTGCCATGGTGTCCTACCAGACAGACGCCTGCCAATTACCCTGGAAAGTTGTACACAGTAGTCCCCCCAGATCCTCAGTGTCACTTTCCACGGGTTCTGTTATCCATGGTCAACCACCGTCTGATAATATTAAATAGAAAATTCCTGAAACAGTTCCCATGTTTTCCACCGTGTGTCGTTCTGAGCAGTGGGACAGAATGTCTGCTGTGTTGTCCGAGACGAACCATCCCTGTGTCCAGCACATCCATGCCACGGACACCTGCTCAGCAGATCGCCCGTTCTGGCATCACAGTGCTTGTGTTCAGGTCACTCTTCTTTTACTTCATAAGGGCCCCAAAGCACCAGAATAGTGATGCCAGCTCTTCAGATATGCCAAGGAGAAGCTGTAAGGAGCTTCCCTTAAGTGAAAAGGTGGGAAGAAAAAAGTCATGTGCTGAATCTTCTATCCGTGAAATTGTAAGGAAACAGAAATTCATGCTAGTTTTGTTTTGTTTGTTTGTTTTTGAGACACAGTCTGGCTTTGCTGCCCAGGCTGGAGTGCAGTGGCATAATCTCAGCTCACTGCAACCTCTGCCTCCTAGGCTCAAGCAATCCTCCTGCCTCAGCCTTCTGAGTAGCTGAGATTACAGGCACCTGCCACCATACCTGGCTAATTTTTTGTATTTTTAGTAGAGACGCAGATTTGACCATGTTGGCCAGGCTGGTCTCGAACTCCTGACCTCAGGTGATCCACCCGTCTCCCAAAGTACTAGAATTACAGGCGGAGCTACCACGCCTGGTCTCATGCCAGTTTTGCTGTCACACCTCAAACTGCAAAAGTTACATTCACAGTGTGTGATAACTTTTATTACACTGTCTTGTTAAAACTGCTCTACTTTGGCTGGGCATGGTGACTCACGCCTGTAATCCCAGCACTTTGGGAGGCTGAGGCGGGTGGGTCACAACTGAGGTCAGCAGTTTGAAACCAACCTGGCCAATGTGGTGAAACCCCGTCTCTACTAAAAATACAAAAGTTAGCCTGTCATGGTGGCAGGCACCTGTAACCCCAGCTTCTTGGGAGGCTGAGGCTCAAGAACTGCTTGAACCTGGGAGGTGGAGGTTGCAGTGAGCTGAGATTGCACCACTGCACTCCAGCCTGGGTGACAGAGCGAGATTCTGTCTCAAAAACACAAATTGTTTTACTTTATTGTTGTTAAATCTCTTACTGTGCCTAATTTATAAGTTAAATTAGCAATATCTATGTATGAAAAAAACATGGCATATACAGGATCCAATACTATTGGTTTTAGGCATCTGTGGAGGATCTTGGACACATCCCCTGTGGATAACAGAGGGCTACTGGATTTTCTTTTTTCCTTTTAGCTCCCCTGTACAGAGACAGAGGAGAGGGAGATTCCAAAACCAAAAGGGAAGGTCCCTCCACCTTTTTTTTTTTTTTTTTTTTTTACCAGACAGAATCTTGCTCTGTCACCCGGGCTGGAGTACAGTGGTGCAATCCCAGCTCACTGCAATCTCCTTCCAAGCTCAAGCGATTCTCCTGCCTCAGCCTCCTGAGTAGCTGGGATTACAGGCATCTGCCATCACACCCGACTAATGTGTGTATTTTTAGTAGAGACAAGGTTTCACCGTGTTGGCCACGCTGGTCTCAAACTCCTGACCTCAGGTGATCCACCCACCTTAGCCTTTCATAGTGCTGGGATTACAGACATGAGCCCCCACGCCCAGCCTGCTACTGTAATTCTTCTCTCAGCCAGAATGAGTTTAAGACGTCGTCACTGGAGCCCCCGAGGAAGGCGCATGAGAGAGAGTCCTGTCTGCTGGGAGAAGCCAGGCCCTCTGACCTCAGGGCAGCTGCCTCGGCTGCCCAGCATGCTGTGATGGAGCCTGCGAATGTAAGGTTAGGAACTGATGGACAGCTGGCATGCTCAGGCAGCCCAGCCTTGTGTCTGGGGTGGCCCCAGAACTCTGTCCCCTTTCCAGACTGTGTGTCCACTCTGCTTCTGAGAACAGCTTTGGAGGGTCTGTGCTTGTCAGTGGACAGACTTCGGGTGCTGCTTCCATTGCCTGCAGCCTGGAGCCTCGTCTGGGTGGGGATGAGTGCAGCAGCCTAAAGTCACAACCACTTGCCGCTTCCGCCCTCCTTCCCAGGAGGTCCCAGTAGGTGGTTTGAGGCCAGCTCGCTCCTGAAGTGGTGAGCTGGCCCCAGTGCTGGCCACCTGTATCCCGATGTTCAGAGCCCACGGCAGGGCTGCACTTTCCCTCCTGACCCACTTCGGCCAGTGGCGTGTGACAGGGAACGCGGGTCACTCCTGGCAGAAGTCTTTAGGAGCCGGTGAGTTATTTGCCACGCTCCTTTGCCACGAGTGACTGGCAGTGCCCCAGAGAACAGCAGCTCTGTCAGCCTGGGGCCCTGAGTGAGGATGGCAGGCTGCAGAGCCCTCACCCACCAACGAGGGACATGCAGTGGGACTGAGAAATACACCTTTGGGTCGGGCAAGTTAGCTCCCGCCTGGACTCCTAGCGCTTCCAGAGGCCGAGGAGAAATTCATTCCCTACACAGGTGACATTGAACTTAACCTCCCAGAGTTTCCATCCACGGTTACTTATGACAATTCGCATTTTTTTGAGAAACTGCTGTGTACTGGGATCTGATCTAAACTTTACTTGTTTGATTTCATCTTTTTGTTTTTTGAGACAGAGTCTTACTCTGTCAGGCTGGAGTGCAAGTGGCACGATCTCGGCTCACTGCAGCCTCCGCCTCCTGGGCGCAAATGATTCTCATGCCTCAACCTGCCAGTAGCTGGGATTACAGGCACGCAGCACCACACCCAGCTAATTTTTTGTATTTTTAGTAGAGACGGGCTTTTGCCATGTTGCCTCGGCTGGTCTTGAACTTCTGGCCTCAAGTGATCCACCCACCTCGGCCTCCCAAAGTGTTGGGATTATAGGCGTGAGCCACCTCACCCAGCCTCACTTAATCTTGGTAATAATCCTACAAGGTGGGTAGCGTTATTCCCATTTTACAGATGGAAAAACTGATACACAAAGTTAAGTAAATTACCTGAGGTCACAGTGCTAGGATTCAAATCCCAGAGCCCACTCTTTAGCATCTAGGCAGAGGGGTCAGGCTAGGTAAATGCATTTACATTAAAATGATTGTCATTTCCAGGGTGTGACAGATTGGTGTAACTTGGTCATAGGGTGAATGAAAGGATGTTGATGGGCGTTTTGGCTGGAAGTGCTGGCCACACTCTGAACAGTCTTGCATGCCAGGCTGAGGGTTTTGGACTGTCTCTTTTAGACAGCGGGGTTTGGAGGACTGGGGCCTTTGAGGAAGAGCTGAGGGTGCGGACACTGTATTGGAGGACAGGCGTTCCAGGAGGCAGCCAGCTGCAAAACGCCTGAAGAGACAGACTCAGTTCAGGGCAGGGGAGGGGCCTACAGCCCACCAGCCCCTCCTTCCCCTGCCACACACTCCTGGCCTCTGGTCCTGGACTCTGTCCATATCCTGTGTATGTGGCTTTCATCTTCTCTATTTTTCTCTTCTTCTTCCCCCTCTTCCTCCTTTTTTTTGAGACAGAGTCTTGCTGTGTCCCCTAGGCTGGAGTGCAGTGGCGTGAGCTCAGCTCACTGCAATCCCTGCTGCCCAGGTTCAAGCGATTCTCCTGCCCCAGCCTCCTGAGTAGCTAGGATTATAGGCATGCGCCACCACACCTGGCTAATCTTTTGGTATTTTTAGTAGAGATGGGGTTTCACCATGTTAGCCAGACTGGTCTCAAACTCCTGACCTCAGGTGATCCGCCCACCTCACCCTCCCAAAATGCTGGGATTCCAGGCGTGAACCAGCACGCCTGGCTTAGCTTTCTCTTCCTCTGAAGTGGAGTGAAAGCTCCATGAGAGCAGGTGCCTGTTAGGCGTCCTCTGCCAAGGCCCATGTTTGGCATGTCCTCCTCGCAGGGGAAAGTCCTTCCCCTTGTCTGAGGCGCAGCCCAAAGGCCGTGTACCCACGGCACAGGTCTTCCTGGTGGCACATCTACCAGCTTCAGGGGAAGCCAAGACCCCGCTCACCCTTTGTTATGGCCTCTTGGCCCGGGAGCCCCTGGCCTGTGCCTGTTACAGGGTGCCCTGCCCTGCCTAGTGTCAGAGACAGCCTGTGCAGGTCTTCCTTTCCCGTCTGTCTTGGGCTCCTTGAGCTCAGAGACCACCCTGTTCCCCCCACTGCTCTGCCAGAGGATCTGCAGAGCACCTGGCGGGCCCTCGGGAAAGAGGGGCCCACCTGCCCACCTGCCCTCTCCCCTCAGTCACGGTTTGAAGTGAGACAGCCCTTGACATAGAAAGGCTCACTTGCGTGACTCATCAAACATTCAGCAAACCTTGTTTTTTTCATTAAAAAACAATTAGTCATAACTTTGAGCTAATGGCCGGATACAGCTCAGCAGTCAGCAGATGTGGTCCTCATGCTGAAGTAATGAAGATGAGAACAATAGTCTCTCAAGCCTGCCTAGAGCTTTGCCAGACTCAGAGCCCATTCACACCCACTCTCCTTACTAATCCCAGAAAAGCCCAGTACGGCAGGTAGGGCAGGTGTTCTTGGCTGTTTTGTGGAGGAGGAAGCCGACCCAGGGTTCAGCTGCCAGCCCAAGTCCATATACCGGCATGTAGCACACACGGGCCTCTTCCGTGCCAGGTCCGGTCTCGGACCTGCCGCCTCTCCTTGTCCCTCTCATTCCCAGTCCCTGCCCTGGGACACAGGGCTCCAGTGTTCTGTGCTGAGTGGGCGTCTGACCCCTTCCCGGCTCAGACTTCAAGCTCCAGCCACTTCCAGAGGGTGCTGACCCTCTCACAGACCCCTGCCCTCCACGGGAGCTGGTCTTTTAGACCCATGTGGGCACTCGGTGGCACGAACACAGATACCAAATGCAGAAAGGAGGGTATTTTTCTTCCAGGTTTGCTGTTTGCCATCTGGATCTCTGATCCCCGAAGCCTTGTGAAATCTCAGAAGCAAGACACAAAAATCAGGGAAGTTAAACCTCAACGCAAGATGTAGAAAGCCCAGGATGAGACTAGCAGAGCCGACCCTGTGCTCCGGCAGGTTACAGGCACCTGCCGCCGCCCTGTGGCCACTCTCTCACCCTCAGTCCCCGCTGGGTTCCTCCCGGAGATGCGGTGCTGGTGGGCCCCAATTTTGATCATCAGGCTCTGTCAGCACATGGGTATTTGCAGGTTTCTATCTGCTCCACAAAGTCCAGACTCAGACTTTTTTTCGTTGTTTGTTTTTTCGGTCTTCCATTTTTTGAGACCGAGTCTCGCTCTGTTGCCAGGCTGGAGTGCAGTGGTGTGACGCCACTATGCCTGGCTAATATTTTTGGATTTTTAGTAGAGATGGGGTTTCACCATGTTGGCCAGTATGGTCTCCATCTCTTGACTTCATGATCTGCCCACCTTGGCCTCCTAGAGTGCTGGGATTACAGGTGTGAGCCATGGCACCCAGCCCAAACATTTTTTTCTTTTGAGACAGAGTCTTGCTCTGTTGCCCAGGCTGGAGTGCAATGGCACAATCTCGGCTCACTGCAACCTCCACCTTCCAGGTTCAAGCAATTCTCCTTCCTCCTTTTCGATGCCCGCCACCACATGCCCAGTTAATTTTTGTACTTGTGGTGGAGACAGGGTTTCGCTGTGTTGGCCAGGCTGGTCTTGAACTTCTGACCTCAGGTGATCTGCCCGCTTCAGCCTTCCAAAGTGCTGGGATGACAGGCGTGAGCCACCGAGCCAGGCTGGGCCTCAAATCTTGAGAGGGACCCAGGTAGGTGAAGAAAAGCAATCTGTTCCCGCTGGCCACTGTCAAGAGCTCAGCTTAAGTCAATGTGCCCCCTGATGGTAACAGCAACAGAAAACTGCCGCGCATTAGTGACGTTAGCGGGCGTGTAGCGTCCGTTGGGCCAGACTTGGCACAGCGCCTGCTGGTGGGTCCGCAGATGCTTTTCCTGAACTGCCTCTTGGCCGCATCAAACCTGAACTTGGAGATACACCCTCCCTCCCAGAAGTCATTAAAACTTCTCTACTCACAAAGAGTTTTAATGGGTACATCATTACACAGTTGCAAGAATATCCTGTTTGAAATTATGACCCAGAAAACTGCACTGATGGCCATGATGGCCAGCCCGGAGGTCTCGTCCCCGCCGCCATGTCGAGAGTTTTAGAGGAATCATTCGGTGATGGTGCTGTTCAGATAAAGCCACTAGCCAAGCCCACAAGCAGCTCCTGAGTGCTGCTTCAAGCAAGGCACAGGCCAGGTTCGGAGACGGGATGGGAGGCTCGAGAGCCTTACCTCACCCTGGAGACGCTTAAAATCTGCAAAGCGAAGCACAAGAAAATCATGGTGTTGGCCGGGTGTGGTGGTGCACGCCTGTAATCCCAGCACTTTGGGAGGCCGAGGTGGGTGGATCACGAGGTCAGAAGTTCAAGACCAGTCTGGCCAACATGGTGAAACCCCAGCTCTATAAAAATATAAATTAATTAATTAATAATAATAATAAAAAGAAAATCATGGTGCTAAATGTCAATACAGGATTTAGAATGCTCCAGATGAGACTAGTATCGCCGTCACCGTCCTCAGGCAGTTTCATAGCCTATCTGTGCTTTATTTCCTTATCTGTAAAAGGGGACAAACTTGTACTCACCTCATGAACTCTTTGCAAGGGTCTGATGAGATAGTGCAGATGAAGCGCTCGTGCCAGCGCCCAGGACTTGAGACGCACTCAGCACACATGCACAACCATTGTCATGTATTGTGGCCATAGGTTCTGTGCCAGTTGCCGTAGGAAGCGCATTGGGTGAAGTTCCTGTAGGAGTTTAGAAGTGAGCGCTCCTGGAGCTGGGTGCTGTAGCTCGTGTCTGTAATCCTAGCATGCTGGGAGGCTGAGGTGGGGATCACGTGAACTCAGGAGTTTGAGATGAGCCTGGGCAAGATGGGGAGACTCTGTTGCTCCGAAAAAACAAAAAATACAAAAACAAAAAAAACACCACCACCCCCAACAACAACAACAAAAAAGGCCAGACGTGGAGGCTCCCGCCTGTCACCCAGCACTTTGGGAGGCTGAGGTGGGTGGATCACGAGGTCAGGAGATCAAGCCCATCATGGCCAACATGGTGAAACCCCATCTCTACTAAAATACAAAAAAGTTAGCCAGTGTGGTGGTGTGCACCCATAGTCCCGGCTGCTTGGGAGGCTAAGGCAGGAGAACTGCTTGAACCCAGGAGGTAGAGGCTGCAGTGAGCCGAGATCACACCACTGGAGTATAGACTCCAGCCTGGCAGACAGAGCAAGACTCCGTGGGGAAAAAGAATTAGCCAGGAATGGTGGTGTACACCTCTAGTCCCAGCTACTTGGGAGGTTGAGGCAGGAGGATCCTTTGAGCCCAGGAGTGGAGGCTGCAGTGAGCTATGATTGTGCGTCACTGCACTCCAGCCTGGGTGACAAAGCAAGATCCTACCTCTTAAAAAAAAAAAAAACAAAAGAAGTGAGCTCTTTTTGCTGGGGCCCTTGAGGAGGAGGACTTTGGGAAGAGGTGGGATTTGAGCGTCCCTGGGGCTCACCTTGCACCTGAAGATGGGTTAAATGGAGTACTGGGGCGGAGAGGGTAAGGAAAGGGTGGGGGCAGCACAGTTAGCGTGGCTGGGAAGGGGTATGTCCAGATGGCAGAAAGTGGGTCATGGTGGGAGAGCAGACTGGGTCTGTGGGCTCAGGCTGCGGGGGTGGGGCTTTGCTCGGCAGTGGGAACCCCTAAGAAGCAAGGGGGCATGATCAGAATGAAGCTCCAGGACTGCTGATCTGGAAGTGATGGGTTGTGGGAGGCTGGGAAAGGAGGCACTTCTGGTTGTTCAGGTGAGAAGGAGCTTCCAGGTAGAGGAGGGATGGAGCCACAGAAACAGCCCAGAGAAGGCAGAGAAGGAGAGGTCAGAGGTAACAAGGGGCACCGGGTTTGGTGACCAGAAGGAAGTTGGTGCCTTTACAGGCAGGGACGTCTCAGGGGAGTGGATGTGGAAGGAGGAGGAGCCAGTCCTGGGAGATACTGGGGGAGGGGCTTGTGGGCTTCACCTGCAGATTCCAGGAGGCAGGGATGGAGCTCAGGGAAGAGGGCCGGGTGGACACTGGATGAAGCAGTTGGTGACTTGGACACATTAGATGGGTCCTGGGAGGGGCTGGACAAAGGTCTCCAAGGACGGTGGTGGAGCGGGAGATGGTAAGGCTGCGGACAAGGTCCTGGGAGCCCTGTGTGTGGGGAAGGGCAAGAGGACGAGAGCCACCAAGGAGTCCGGGCCGGTGCCACGAGGGCGGGAGGAGGGCCAGGGTTTCCCCTGCAGGCTTCGGGGCAGGCACGCACCCTGTGGATGCCCTGCAGACTCTGGTGATACTGTCAGCACCAAGAGCGCTGTTAACAAGGGGGTGGACACGTTCAGTGACGTGTGCTGTGTTCATTGGAGACAGCGTTGTTTTTTTTTGTTTTTTTTTTTAAATGGAGTCTCGCTCTGTTCTGAGTGCAGTGGCACCATCTCGGCTCACTGCAACCTCTGCCTCCCAGGTTCAAGTGATTCTCATGCCTCAGCCTCCCAAGTAGCTGGGATTACAGGCATGCACCACCACACCCAGCTGTTTTATTTTTATTTTTATTTTTAGTAGAGACAGGGTTCCACTATGTTGGCCAGGCTGGTCTCGGACTCCTGAGCTCAGGCACTCTGCCTACCTCAGCCTCCCGAGTAGCTGGGATCACAGGCATGCACCGCCATGCCCAGCTATTTTTTTGTATTTTTAGTAGAGACAGGGTTCTAGTATGTTGGCCAGGCTGGTGTCAAACTCCCAAGCTCAGGCAATATGCCCACCTTGGCCTCCCAAAGTGCAGGATGACAGTCATGAGTGCTGTGGTTACTGGAGGCAGAAATCACTTTGGAAGCTAAGGCAGTGGTTCTGGAGAAGTGTGACCCTCCCCTTTCCAGCCCCCGCTCTGTCCCACATCATTAGAAGGAAATTATCCCAGAGGACTAGAGAGGTGAGGGGTCCCCACTGCTGAGTCTCTCAGATATTACAGATCTCACTTCTGGGTCTATGTGTGCCCAAAAGAATAGAAAGCAGGGACAGGAACAGATGTTTGCACACCTGTGTTCATGGCAGCATGAGTCACCGTGGCCAAAAGGTAGAGGCAAGCCAGGTGTTGATCAGCTGGTGAGTGGATGCACAAAGGGTCCGTCCGCCGCATGCCCCAGGGGACTATTGCTCAGCTTTAAAAGGGAAGGAGGCCGGGCACCATGGCTCATGCCTATAATCCCAGCACTTTGGGAGGCTGAGGTGGGTGGATCACAAGGTCAAGAGATCAAGACCATCCTAGTCAACATGGTGAAACCCCGTCTCTACTAAAAATACAAAAAATTAGCTGGGCATGGTGGCATACGCTTGGAGTCCAAGCTACTTGGGAGGCCGAGGCGGAAGAATTGCTTGAACCGAGGAGGCGGAGGTTGCGGTGAGCCAAGATCGCGCCATGGCACTCCAGCCTGAGCAACAAGAGCGGAACTCCATCTCAAAAAAAAAAAAAAAAGGGAAGGAAATTCTGTCGCAGGCTACAACACGATCATGGGGACATTATGCTAAGTGAAAGAAGCCAGTCACAAAAACACAAATACTGTGTGATTCCTTATCAGAGAACTCCTGGAATAGTTAAATTCATCAAGACAGAAAGTTGAATGGTGGTCGTTAGGGGCTTGGGGCTGGGAAGGGCAGTTAGCATTTAATGGGTGCAGAGTTTCAGTTTGGGATGATAAAAAGGTTCTGTGCATGGATGATGCTGATGGTTGTACAACGGTGTGAATGTGCACAGTGACGCTGAACTGTATATTGAGAACGGTTAATACAGTTCATTTCGTTACATACATTTTGCCACAATTTATAAACAAGAATGAATTCTAAGTTTCATATTAATTGAAGCTTACATGGCACACAGCATAAAAAGGTGTCTAAGAACCTGGGCTCGGTGGCTCACGCCTGTAATCCCAATACTTTGGGAGGCTGAGGCGGGTGGATTATTTGAGGTCAGGAGTTCGAGACCAGCCTGATCAACATGGTGAAACCCCATCTCTACTAAAAATATGAAAATTTGCCAGGTGTGGTGGCACACGCCTGTAATCCCAGCTACTTGGGAGGCTGAGGCAGGAGGATCGCTTGAACCTGGGAGGTGGAGGCTGCAGTGAGCTGAGATTGCGCCATTGCACTCCAGCCTGGGTAACAGAGCAAGACTCTATTTAAAAAAAAAAAAAGTTGGCTAAGCAAGGGGTATGTGGGGTATGGCATGGTGGCACAGGCCTGGCTTTTACACCCAGACCAACAGTGCGGCCTGGGCAGTTACTAATTATCAGTGGTCTAATTGCCTGATCTCACACATTTCTCACCTATAAAGTGGGTATGACAGCCTTTGCCCAGGGTTGCTGTATGGCCTGCAAGAGTCAGTTTGGGAAAGCTCTTTGTCAACTGTCCTGCGGAATTGATGGGGTGGCCACACTTCAATGCCATGGCTCAGGTGACCAAGGTAGGGCTGAGAGGGCCTCTCCGGCGGGGGCTGCTCACTGCAGGCTGGACGGCCCCATGCAGCTTGCTGGAGTCCTGTGGCTTCTGCAGAGCCTTGGGGCCGCAGCCTGGATGCCTCCCTTATCCTGTCCTCACTGCCCTTCCCAGCCGGGGTCTTGTGGGGAGTGAGTCCTGTGGTTCTAGCTCTCCATGGTGTGTGACTCTCTCCTGCGCGTATCTCTCTCGGGGGTCTTCTCTTCTGTGCATTTAGGGTGGTTAGAAGTGGAGTGAGAAAACAGTCATGGTTGTCTGTGTTCTATGGTTCCCCGAAGAACCCTCCGTTGGGAAAGGCTGGGACCTGGTTGACCCAGAAGCCCCACTCGCCCTCAACCCCTACTCCAGGTTTGGGCAGCCAGGAAGGAGAGGACTAAGAGAGTCGGGAATGGGTTCAAGGTTGTGCAGAGTCACAAAGCCAGCACTGTGTGATGGATGGCAGGACCGTCCACTCCTTCTTCATTTTGAACTCAGGACGGTTGCAGGACACTGGTTTCACCGTCGCCGACTGTGAATGTGCATTTGCGGAGCTGTTTCCCAGACCTCTGAGTGCGGGAGCCTCGGGTTTGGGTGGCGGAGCAGCGCCCTCCTTCCCTGAGAGCAGAGGATGCAGGTCTGGCCGGCTCTGGTAAGTGCTCTCCAGCCCTGGCACGCCTGGAGGAGGGGCAGCGGCTAAGTGGTTTCTGAAAAAGGGCAAAAATGATGGGAAAAGCTTTGGGATCCTCTGGGAATCAGAGCCGCAGCAAAGGCAGCTGCTTGCATTGCTGGAAGCGCTTTTCCTTGAGCTCACAGCCCACAGCCCACTCCTGCCAGAGCAGGGCAGCAGCAGCCGGGGCAGGGCCCGGGACCTCACGGAGGCAGGGAGGCCACTCTTCTCCCACACTAGCCCCGCTCTCCCTTCGAGCAGCAACCGCCTTCAAGCCCACAAGCACCCATGGGTCTGAGGTGTGCCTGCGTCTAGCTGGTGAGTCCCTTTCTTTGTGTGATGGCCTAGGCAGACGTTAGCTGTGAAGATGGCATAGTGAGAGTGGCCAAAACTGCCACTTTCCAGCTGTGCGACTATGGGCAGCTCAACTCACCCCTCTGTGCTGCGGTTACCCCATCTGAAAACGGGGATAGTAACAGGTCTTCCCGCAAGGTGGTTTTGAGGCCGAAGTGAGGCTGTGGTGCACTCCACCTGGCTCCTCGTGAGCACCTGGGAGGGGGGCGGACGTCGCTGTCACCATGGCTGCTTCTTCTTGTAGCCTTGCTGCTGAGGTTGCTGGCATGTGGCTGGAGGCTTTCTCTGTGGAGTGCACGAGCGCAGGGCTGGGAAGCAGGTGTCCTGGGTTCTGGGGCTTCTCTTGTCTCTGTTTGTTCCTGCCTCCTGGGTTGGAAAGCCCGCAGCCCACCACCACCCTTTGAGAGAAGGGACTCTTGAGAATAACCAGGGCTGGGCCCTGGGCCAGTGTTCTCCCAGCTTCCAGAAAGTCCCCAGTGGTGAGCAGGAGGTGCTCCCAAGAACTTGGAGGGCTGCTTGTTAGGGATGGATGCTTTGGGCAGAGAGGGGAGTGGGGGAGCCATGCCCCAGGTTGTCTCACCTGCACGGGGGAGAGAAGGGATCCTTCCCCCAGATGGTGGACAGTGTCTGTTCTGGCTTTGGAGTTAAGAAAGACTCAGAGCTCAAACCAGATCTCTGGGCAGCATTGATTTTGCTAGGATTGTCCTTTAGACAAGACTCACAAATTCCAGATTGATGAGTTTGTGAGTCTTGTGTAAACCAGAATCACCATCTCCATCACACAGCCGACACTCGTTTGCTTAAATCACAGCCGAAGTTCCCTGACCACTGTAGAATGTTTTGCGGGGACAGGTGCGTCACCGTGGGCTCAGGTGCAGGGTACACTCTAGGCCTGGCAGTGGAGGACTCTCCTGCCCCTGCTCCCCCACCCAGCCCAGGGCACATGGTTCCTGTCCCACCCTGTTTCCTGGAAGAAGCTTGGTTTCCAGGAGGCAATCAGGTGCAAAGTGTGCAGCATAGAGTTAGCATCTGTCGCATGACTGAATGATAGCACAATCCGGCTGCTTCCTGTCGGCTGGGTTTGGTGGGACTGGGGCCCGTCGGAGGAAGAGGCAGCGCTGCTTACAGAGAACATTGTGAAAGGTTCACAGAGGCTCCGGGTAACAGGTGCTCCCTCACTGGCTGCTAGGGCTGCGTGTTGGGGATGCGCTTATTCTTGGAGACCATAGACATCTCTGGGACAGCCAGGTGTGGGTATGGCCTGGGTCTTAGTCATACTGCATTTTGGGGTTCCTAAGCTGCTTGAGTGGGAGGGTGCTTCAGGTTCAGGTCTTACGCCTGGCCTCAGGGGTGAGAGGGCCTCTTCTGATTGCCCCTCCAGGCCCTGCTGCGGGGTCTGGGTCTGAGTTAAACAGCTGAGAAAGAGCCCAGACCTCCAGCACGGAGGTAGAGTATTGGAGATGCTCTGGAGCCAGCCTGCCTGGCATCAAGGCTGGGTTCTGCCTCTGCATGACCTCAGGGGTGTGACATAATTGCCCCGTGCCTCAGTTCCCTCATCTGTGAAATATTTCCCTCTGGCGCACGTTGTGGGAATTGAAGGAGTGAAGGAATGTGAGTGCTCAGAACCGTGTTTGCTTTGTGCATAGCACCTGCTCAAACCCGTCCATTATTCTGATTCTCATTCGCTTCTGGTGCCTTTTAAGTGCTGCCAGGCTCCCTGTGCTGTGAACAGTCCTTGCCAGGGCGTTATCTTCAGAAAGCACAGACTAGCACCCAGCCCCCAGGCTCCCAAAAGCTACACACTGCTTCCCGGCATCCACACAACATTGGGGTTTGAGGTCCTTGGAGTTTAAGCTCACAGCCATCTGGTTCCAACCCTGCACCTGTCTTCCTGTCCGTGACTTCCTCTTCTTCAGCTGCTCTAGAGTTCCTGCTTCTTTCCCACAGGCTCAGCTCATCTGTCACCACCTCCACAGAGCCCTGCCCAGCACCCTGCCCCCTACTCCTCCTGGCAGTCCCTCTGGCCGGCCAGGAGCAGGTTTCTGTCTCCTCTGGGGCTGACTCCTCTCTGTGCCTCCAGCACAGGGCTGGACTCCAAGGAGGAGGACTCAGTAGATGGGTGTCGAGTGATGGGATGAGGGAAGTGGCTTTCTGTGGCCGGGGTCACTTCCGGCTGCAGGGTGTCCGCCTGACGGGTGAATCAGAGCCAGACTCAGGCCTGTTGAGAGTGGATCAACAGGCAGGCAGGGAGATGGCTGGCAGCCAGTGCTGGTCCTGCTCACAGCCTGCGTAGTGGTGAGGCCACCTCTGTTTTTTCACGGACCTGGCTTGAGAACCTAGCTGGTTCATGGCCATGGCCCCAGCCATGATCTCTGCAGTTTCGCTGCCTGGATTCTCACTTGCAAATGCAGGACTTGGGAGTCTCTCTGAGCTATTCTGGCCTGGGAGGCTGCCTGATTACATATTTTTTAAAAAAGCAAATGCAGCACTGGAGAAGCCTCTTGTCCCTTCTGCGGCTGTTTTCCAGAATCTAGCCACTGCCAGAGCATTAGTCTTCCTAACTTCCTAAGGAAATGGGGATTAGAAGGGTCTGATCGCTCTCATTTCCCCCTCGGGCCCAGCACCCAGTGAACCTTCTTTTTTTTTTTTTTTCAGACGAAGTTTCACTCTGTCGCCCAGGCTGGAGTGCAATGGCGCCATCTCGGCTCACTGCAACCTCCACCTCCTGGGTTCAAGCGATTCTCCTGCCCTCCCAAGTAGCTGGGATTATAGGTGCCCACCACCATGCCTGACTAATTTTGTATTTTTAGTAGAGATGGGGGTTTCACCATATTGGCCAGACTGGTCTTGAACTCCTGAACTCAGGTGATCCACTGGCCTCGGCCTCCCAAAGTGCTGGGATTACAGGTGTGAGCCACCGTGCCCGTCCCAGTACAACTTCTTCTTAGATGGATCAGGCAAGGTCCCTGCCCCAGAGGTGGTCACAGGGCATGGGAGAGATGGAGAAAAACAGCAGTGACCGACAGCAATTGCTAGGCCAGACGGTGGGCTGTGTGGGATGGACAGTCAGTGGGCCAGGCCACTCTGCAGAGGATGGCAGGAAGCGTGACCAGGGCAGGGATTTGAGGGCTTCACGGAGGAGGCAGCATCAGTGCTGGATCCTGAGGGGAAGCAGTGTCTGAGAGGTGGTAGGATTTGTGAAAGGGCAGAAGGAGGAAAAAGGCCCTAGGTGGAGACCCGAGGGGAGCAGAGGCTATGGGAGGAATGTGTGGGCCAGCCCTGGGTGCCAGGGAGTGGGGATGCCCAGCCACAGCGAGAGGGAGCCTGGGAATGGGGCTGGGACAGGGAACGGGACTCGGACGAGAGTGGAAACTCGTGTCCGCTCACGTGACCAATGACACGTGCTACTGCCCGCTCATCTCCAGGTGTTCAGGCCTGGAAGACCCACCAGCTCCAAAAGCCTAAATGTTGCCATCTCTACTCAAAATACAAAAATGAGCCAGGCATGGTAGCCCATGCCTGTCATCCCAGCTACTCGGGAGGCATGACAGTCACTTGAACCTGGGACGCGGAGTGCAGTGAGCCGAGATCCCCCATTGCACTCCAGCCTGGGCGACAGGGAGAGACGCTCTCTCAAAAAAAAAAAGCCTAAACTTTCAAGACCAGGATACTTGACACATACTGATTCATGAAAATGACGAAAAAACACAAAATCCAAAATCTCATATAAGCTTAGTGGCTGTGGCCACCAGGTTGAAGAGCAGAGGTGAGCCAGGCCCCTGGCTGCCAGTGTGTGGAGCCGTGGTACTGCAGGGCCCAGTGCAGTGTGTGCAGCTGTGGCACCGCAGGGCAGGCCCCAGTGCAGTGTGTGGAGCCGTGGCACCTGAGAGCAGGCAGTGCAGTGTGTGGAGCCGTGGCACCTCAGGCCCCAGTGCAGTGTGTGGAGCCGTGGCACCTGAGGGCAGGCAGTGCAGTGTGTGGAGCCGTGGCACCTCAGGCCCCAGTGCAGTGTGTGGAGCCGTGGCACCTGAGGGCAGGCAGTGCAGTGTGTGGAGCTGTGGCATCTCAGGCCCATGGTGCAGCATGGGTGTGCCAGTCTCTGCTGCTCACCGTGTTCCAGGCATAAAGTCGGCTTTGTCATTTGGGCGTCTCATCACTGAGAGCCTCCCTGAATTCAGCTCGCCATGGCCACCCTGGCTGTTTCCCTTGTTCTGTCTGGGGAGGGAGGCATCGCGGTGGTTATCAACCTCACTCTGCAGAGTGGGCACCTGGGGCCCTAAGAAGAGGAGGGATGAGTCTAACCCAGAACGACAGATGGCTCCGAGCCGGGGCCTGTCCCCACTCCACGGCTGACATCCGTGGCCACAGGACTTGCCTGGGCACTGTTAGCCTGCTCACCTCTGGGGCCTCTGGGGTGAGAGGTTCAGTCCTGACAACACCTTAGTTCTAGGGTGCTGGTGGCAGCAGCCAGTTGGAGTTTTGGGTGACCCTGCTTCACAGGACCCTCGGCAAGGAGGGCAGGTGAGGTCTAAGCAGTCCTCAAGCTGGGACCAACCCCGGCATGCTGGCTGCCTGCAGGCTGCACACGGGGCCGCAGAGGATCCCACAAGGATGAAGAAACAGAGCAGCACAGACTCAGGGGTGGCCGCGGCCCCACTCCAGCAGGACGCCTGCCCAGATGCCCCAGATGGAGACCCCAACCCTGGGCCACCCCCAACCAAGCCCCACCTCTCCACGGCCAGGAGCTTCGCCTGGCTCCTTGGGAAGGGCAACTCAGAGGAGGCTTACCCAGCGGGTTGCCCCCATGAGGAAGGTGAGCTGGCCTCCTGTCCCACCATCACAGTCAGCCCTGTCATCACCATCCAGAGAACCGGGGATGGCCCCACCTGTGCTAGGTAAGTCTGTGTCTGGAGACCCCTCCCTGCCAGAAGCCCCACTGGCCATAGCGATGCCACAGGGTGGTCTGGCTTCTGGGCTAAATGTCACAAAGCCAGGGGGCTGGAGAGCCTTAGAGGTGGTCTGGTCCAGCATCCTTCCTCCTGGGACCTCATAGGATGCACAGTCACGGGGCTGGTGTGCTGGGTCTAGGTGTCCACGGCTGCAATCCCTACCAGCCACAAACACTTGGACTTGAAGTCTAAAAGCTTCTTAGAGAGTACAGAACAGCTCCAGTGAGCTCCAAGGCAGGGCAGGGAGGCCATAGGCTGGCTGATTTCCGGGGAGTGTGAAACCACCTTTTCCCTCAGCAGGGGCTGTCTGTACCCCTGCCACCAGTGCCCCCCGTCCCCACCAGGCTCCTGCCTCCTGAGCGCCCGAGCAGATGGAGAAGCCAGTGGTCTGGGAGTAGGAGGATGACTTTCTAGATGGTGTCTATAGAAAGGGTGGGGGCAGAATGGGGACACACACGCCCCACTGTCCCTGTTATATTGGTTTTCTGTACAGTCACCTAGATGGAGGGGGTAGCTTTTATTTTTTATTTTATTTTTATTTTTATTTTTTGAGATGGAGTCATGCTCTGTTGCTCAGGCTGGAATGCAATGGCATGATCTCGGCTCACTGCAACCTCTGCCACCTGGTTTCAAGCGATTCTCTTGCTTCAGTCTCCCGAGTAGCTAGGATTACAGGCCCGCACTGCCACGCCCAGCCAATTTTTGCATTTTTAGTAGAAACAGGGTTTCACCATGTGGGCCAGGCTGGTCTCGAACTCCCGACCTGGTGATCCGCCCACCTCAGCCTCCCAAAGTGCTGGGATTACAGGTGTGAGCCAGTGCACCCAGCCAGAGGGGTAGCTTTTATGTTATTTTTCCCCCTTTTAGTTTGCCTTGGGGTTACCTGTGTGTCCTTGACAAGCTCTGAAGGCCTGAGGGCCGAGCAGAGACCAGGGTATGAGATGGGGGCGTTTTCTGGCCTGCAGGCAGCTGTCCCAGGACTCTGTCGCTGCCGGCACTGAGAAGACCCTCAGGCTCTATGATCGCAGGAGTATCTTCGAAGCCGTGGCTCAGAACAACTGCCAGGAGCTGGAGAGCCTGCTGCTGTTCCTGCAGAAGAGCAAGAAGCACCTCACGGACAGCGAGTTCAAAGGTGGCCCCGGCATGGGTTCCGGCGGGGGGGCCCAGCCCCAGCCAGCCTGACCCGCCCTCCCTCTGTCTTTCAGACCCGGAGACGGGGAAGACCTGTCTGCTGAAGGCCATGCTCAACCTTCACAGTGGGCAGAACGACACCATCCCCTTGCTCCTGGAGATCGCGAGGCAGACGGACAGCCTGAAGGAGTTCGTCAACGCCAGCTACACCGACAGCTACTACAGGGGTGAGGAGGGCAGTGGGCCGGGCACAGCTCAGTCTGGCACACAGGGAGCCAGGAGGGCATGACTGTGCCTGGGCCTGCTGGCTCCCCTGGGTTCCTTATTCCCTGTCCCAGCCACTGCGTTGGTGGCTCCGAATCCTAGGGGGTCCCTGCCTCCCCCATCTGATGTCTCCTCCCTTGGCCCTGGGAAGTCCCTGCCTCCCCTACTGACTGGAAGGTCTCTGTCCCTGGAAGTCACAGCCTCCGGCCTTTCTCTCTGTGACTGTTCTTTGCCCCAGGGGCAACCTTGACTCCTCTGTCTTCCAACTGTTCCCAGGGGTCTCCTGCCTCAGGGCCTCGCTGGGCCCCTTGGGGGATTCTGGCCTGGCCTCCTGCAGTGGAGGGTCCTCCAGGCACTTTCTGTCCAGATCCTCCAGCAGCAGCTGCTGCCTGCCCAGAGCCCTTCCCAGCACCTGCCCAGGCAGCCCCGTGGGACTGCGATCACAAGCCCACCATGCTCGTCCTCCACAGGCCAGACAGCACTGCACATTGCCATCGAGAGGCGGAACATGGCACTGGTGACCCTCCTGGTGGAGAACGGGGCAGACGTCCAGGCTGCAGCCAACGGGGAGTTCTTCAAGAAAACCAAAGGGCGGCCAGGATTCTACTTCGGTAGGGAAACTCTGTGGCTGACCCTGCCTTTTTGGCTTTTGCTCGGGGGAGGTTTGTGCAGAGACAGAGGGAGTCCTGGCAGGTGGCTCAGGGACAGCTGGATCTCCCTCCTGAGGCCCACCTGGGCCTGTGTTCATGCAGGTGAGCTGCCCCTGTCCCTAGCCGCCTGCACCAACCAGCTGGGCATCGTGAAGTTCCTGCTGCAGAACTCCTGGCAGCCGGCCGACATCGGCGCCCGGGACTCAGTGGGCAACACGGTATTGCACGCCCTGGTGGAGGTGGCTGACAACACTGCCGACAACACCAAGTTTGTGACAAGCATGTACAACGAGCTTCTCATCCTCGGGGCCCGGCTGCACCCCACGCTGAAGCTGGAGGAGCTCACCAACAAGAAGGGGATGACGCCGCTGGCTCTGGCCGCTGGGACGGGCAAGATCGGGGTAGGAGGGGTCCAGCCCAGGCTGCTTCGATGCAAGGACGGTGGCGTGGGAGGGGACTGTGGGCTCGCTGCAGAGGCCGGCATCACTCTCTGCACATGCAGGACCTCTGATTCTGTCGGATCAGCCTTCAGGGCTGTTAGAATAAGACCGAGAAATTGGGAGCCTTGGGCAGAACCCTGCATGGCTGATGTGACCATTTTGAATTTCCAGCTCTGAGTATCAGCAACAAGACGTGGTGGGGCGGGGTGATGAGCGATGGAGGTGGGACAGTCTAGGGTGGGACAGAACAAAAGCTGTTGTGGTGGGTGCCGTGACTCACGAGTGTAATCCCAGCACTCTGGAAGGCCAAGGCGGGCGGATCACCTGAGGTCAGGAGTTTGAGACCAGTCTGACCAACCTGGTGAAACCCCGTCTCTACTAAAAATTAGCCGGGTATGGTGGCGGATGCCTGTAATACCAGCTACTCAGGAGGCTGAGGCAGGAGATTCGCTTGAACCCAAGAACCAGAGGTTGCAGTGAGCTGAGATTGTGCCACTACACTCCAGTCTGGGTGACAGAGCAAGACTCTGTTTCAAAAAAAAAGAAGAAGAAAAAGCAAAAGAAAAAGCTGTTGGTGTTTTTCCATGACAAGCAGGAACTGCTTTAGGTGACATCGCTGGTCTCCAGCTTCTGGCCTCAACTGATCCTCCCACCCCAGCCTCCCAAGTAGCTGGGATTACAGGCAGAAGCCACTCGATCTGGCTCTCATTTCTTGCATTCTCTTTATTTCTTTCTGGCTTGAGGTTTTTGAGAATGAACCACCATGTCCTTCATGGTGAGATGGTAGAGCTGAGGCTTGCGGTGAGGCGACACCGGGCCTGCTGTAGTGCAGGTAGCATCTGAGGCAGCGGCTGGTTGATTTTTTATTTTTATTTTTTAAGACAGAGTTTCGCTCTTGTTGCCCAGGCTGGAGTGCAATGGTGCAATCTCAGCTCACTGCTCCTCCACCTCCCGGGTTCAAGCGATTCTCCTGCCTCAGCCTCCCAAGTAGCTGGGATTACAGGTGCCCACCACCATGCCTGCCTAATTTTTTGCATTTTTAGTAGGGACAGGGTTTCATCATGTTGGCAAGGCTGGCTTCAAACTCCTGGCCTCAGGTGATCTGCCCACCTCGGCCTCCCAAAGTTCTGGGATGACAGGTGTGAGCCACCATGCCCCGCGTGCTGGTTGATCTTAATGGTGGTCAGGAAGGGGGTGGGGACTCGCCTGGGGCTTGGGCGGGGCCACCAGCTGGGCTGGGAAGTAGAGCTGTTGTTCGGGTGCTGTCTGGGGCTGGGCCCCAGCTGGCCTCTGACGGGCTCTTGATCCCTGGGGGCAGGTCTTGGCCTATATTCTCCAGAGAGAGATGCAGGAGCCCGAGTGCAGGCACTTGTCCAGGAAGTTCACGGAGTGGGCCTATGGGCCTGTGCACTCCTCTCTCTATGACCTGTCCTGCATCGACACATGTGAGAAGAACTCGGTGCTGGAGGTGATCGCCTATAGCAGCAGTGAGACCCCTGTGAGTGGCCGGGCAAGCCAGGGAGGGCCTCTTGGCCTCTGCACCCCAGCCCAATCCCAGCCCCATCCCAGCCCAATCTCAGCCCCAGCCCCAGTCCCAGCCCAATTCCAGCCCCAGCCCCAGCCCCTGCTCCAGCTCCAGCTGGCATCTCATGAGTGAAAACTACTGCCTGGGCCCAGGCCCTGCAGCCTCAGATCCCCATTCACGCCCACTGAGTTTTCCCTAAGCAGAGCAAGCACACACGATGATCGTCCCATCAAAATGGAAATGTTGCGGAGATACCCACACAAAATGGACCCACCTTTGATACTATGTCAGAATGCGTAGTTTCATTTTGTTCACGTAAATGGGATCAGGCTATACAGAATATGCAACTTTTTTTTTTTTTTCACTTCATGGTAGGGCTTGTAGTTTTTTTTTTTTTTTTTTTTTTTTTTGAGACAAGGCTTTGCTCTCGTCACCCAGGCTGGAGTGTAGTGGCGCCATCTCGGCTCACTGCAACCTCCGCCTCCCAGGTTCAAGTGATTCTCCTGCCTCAGCCTCCCAAGTAGCTGGGATTACAGATGCCCGCCACCATGCCGGGCTAATTTTGTATTTTTAGTAGAGATGGGGTTTCACCATGTTGGTCAGGCTGGTCTCAAACTCCTGACATCAGGTGATCTGTCCACTTTGGCCTCACAAAGTGCTGGGATTACAGATATGAGCCACTGCGCCCGGCCAAACTTATTTTATTATTATTATTTTATCTTATTTTTTGAGATGGAGTCTCACTCTGTTGCCCACAGTGGAGTGCAATGGCATGATCTTGGCTCACTGCAACCTCTGCCTCCAGGGTTCAAGCAGTTCTCCCACCTCAGCCTCCTGAGTAGCTGGGATTACAGTCACCCACCATGATGCCTGGCTAATTTTTATATTTTTGTAGAGATGGGGTTTCTCCATGTTGGCCCGGCTGGTCTCGAACTGCAGACCTCAGGTGATCCCCCTGCTTTGGCCTCCCAAAGTGCTGGGATTACAGGCGTGGGTCACTGTGCCAGGCCTATTTGAACTTTATCAAAATTTCTGAATATGAGACATTTGCCCCGAAGCATATTTGTAATGATGGCGTCTGGCATTGTGCCCTCCCCTTGCAGGAGGGCCTCCTAATTCCCTGCCGCCCTGCCTGACCCAGGCTGGAAATGTGAGAAGTGAGGACCCAAAGGCTCTTTCCTGCCTGCCCTCAGCCCCCATGCCAGGCTCCGCCTGAGCCAACTACTTCCCATTATGGAGGGCTCTCGGGAGTGAGTTATTAGACACATGGGCACAGGCTGCTGGGTAGTGCTGTGGGCCATTCAGTGAACACTTAGAGCTTGTCACTTTCACCCCAATCCCTGCGCCTTTGGGGACACTGACGCCAAGAGGCCGGGTCCCTCGGTGAGCTGCAGCAGTGCTGGGACCAGCCCCAGGCTCTGGCTGCTGCTGGCTCAGACCTCCGGTGAGCCTCAGCTGTCCCGTGGGCCGAGGGCGGTCCTGCCTGGACTGTGCGGGCGACAGCTGTGGGGAGCACCACAGGCTGGTGTGGGAGTGCCAGGCTGCTCCTGCTGCGGGAGGGAACCTCACTTCTCTTTGCTCCCTCTAGAATCGCCACGACATGCTCCTGGTGGAGCCGCTGAACCGACTCCTGCAGGACAAGTGGGACAGATTCGTCAAGCGCATCTTCTACTTCAACTTCTTCATCTACTGTCTCTACATGATCATCTTCACCATGGCTGCCTACTACAGGCCGGTGGTTGGCTTGGTGCGGCCAGAGGCTCAGCCTCATGGGCAGGGTTGCGGGTGGTGGGGAAGGGGCATGGACATTCCAGGCAGACTTCCCCGACCCCAGGCCCAGGCTCTGCCCTGGACTCCTTCCCAGCTTGCTGGAGCAATGGAGGGATCACCTGTGCCCATTTCCCTGCCTCAGGCTGCACTGGGGACCTGCCCCTTCCCTGTTCTCAGTCCCTCTCCTTTAACTTAAGGTTCTGGGGGCTGAGTGTGTGGTCACTCAGGTCCCTGATTGCAGAAGAGGTGTGCTTGATTAGAAAGCACGCAGGGGCTGGGTGTGGTGGCTCACACCTGTAATCCCAGCACTTTGGGAGGCTGGCGGGGGGGGAGGATCACCTGAGGTCAGGAGTTCGAGACCAGCCTGGCCAACATGGAGAAACCCTATCTTTACTTACAATACAAAAATTAGCCAGGCTTGGTGGCTCATGCCTGTAATCCCAGCTACTCAGGAGGCTGAGGCAGGAGAATCGCTTGAACTGGGAGGCAGAGGTTGTGGTGAGCTGAGATTTCACTGTGACACTCCAGCCTTGGCAACAAGAGCGAAACTCCATCTCAAAAAAGAAAAAAAGAGAAATCATGCAGGAATTCGGGCAGGAATTCGGGCTTGGGACACAGCTCACCCCTGGCCTGGGGGTCTGCAGGGATGTGGCTGGTGTAAGCCTAGGGCCCACCATCATCCTGCTTGCCTGCCCTCTTTTATTCACTCATTATTCATTCCCTGGATTTAGGCTTTTGAGCACTTCCATGCCAGGCCCTGGGCCATCCATCAAATCAGCCTAAGACCAGACTTTTCCCTCTGCCAAGATCCAAGAATCCCTGGAACTCCTGGACTGCTCCTTCACATGCCGTACCCAGGCACTTAATTTGCTGCCTTTGTTTCCAGGGCACTTTACAAATTTACTTTATTAAAAAAAATTTTTTTTTGCGACAGAGTCTCACTCTGTCCCCTAGGCTGGAGTTCAGTGGTGTGATCTTGGCTCACAGTAACCCCTGCTTCCTGGGTTCAAGTGATTCTCGGGCCTCAGCCTCCTGAGTAGCTGGGATTATAGGCACCTGCCACCACACCCAGCTAATTTTTAGTAGAGACAGGGTTTCACAATGTTGGCCAGGCTGGTCTTGAACTCATGACCTCAAATGATCCACCTACCTCAGTCTCCCAAAGTGCTGGGATTACAGGTGTGAGTCACCATGCCCAGCAGCAAATTTACTTTAAAAACGCAACTTCAGGCCGGGCACGGTGGCTCAAGCCTGTAATCCCAGCACTTTGGGAGTCCGAGGCAGGTGGATCACGAGGTCAAGAGATTGAGACCATCCTGGTCAACATGGTGAAACCCTATCTCTACTAAAAATACAAAAAATTAGCTGAGCATGGTGGTGCGTGCCTGTAGTCGCAGCTACTCAGGAGGCTGAGGCAGGAGAATTGCCTGAACCCAGGAGGCGGAGGTTGCGGTGAGCTGAGATCGCGCCATTGCACTCCAGCCTGGGTAACAAGAGCGAAACTCCATCTCAAAAGAAAAAAAAAAAGAACTCAACTTCACAATTGCATGAAATCCTATTTCTATCCACCTGTTAAGGCCACATAATGACTTCCTTTTAAGAGAAACATGTGCTAATAAGGCAAGCTAGTGAACTAGAGCTTATGAAATCTGGATGGTGACCCACTCCAGGAAATGGCAACTGAAACACAAGGGTGACACCCGTGCGTGTGTGCAAATGGTCCCTCCCTCCATGGTCAGTGGGCGTTCCTGACACTGGTGGGAGACCAGGAGCTGGCCATGGGCTGGGGGGCAGCAGGATGCGTGTGGCGTGGGGTCTGTGAGAGTGCCTCCACCTGTCCATCACCCTGCTCCCAGCCAGGAGGAGCTTCAGGCCTGCCGGGACACTGTTTGGGAGGCAGCACAGCATTGTAAGATGCTCTGCTTGGCACCTAGAGGCTGCCACTTTGGGGAATCAGGCCCACAGTGGGGTCTCCTGGCAGGTGCTCCCCTAATAACACACTATCTCTGCATGTCCTTCCCCTGATGGAGGCTGTGCCTTCGGGCAGGAGTTATGTCTGCATCCCAGGGCTTGGTACGTGGTCAGTGTTTGTTGAATGAACGAATGATCACATGGAGTGACAAACTTCTCTGCATCTCACAGCCTCCCTTTAAGATGGAAAACACTGAAGACTATTTCCGAGTTACTGGAGAGATTCTGTCTGTGTTAGGAGGAGTCTATTTCTTTTTCCGAGGGGTAAGTCTTCCTTCCCACGTTATGAGTTTCCATTATCACCAAGGCAAGAGCAGCCCTGACCACTCACTCACTTTTTTATTCATCAGACACCTAATGGCCCTGCTTGCAGAGCTCAGAGATGCTGAGCCGAAGATGAGAGCCCTTCAGGCAGTCACCGCGGGGGTGGGAGGGTGCTCAGGGCATCTCCACAGGCCCAAGGCAGGCAAGTTGAAAATAGACACTCCGGCCTCTCCATGGAATGTAATGTTTAATTACAGAGGCAGAGTGGAGGCCTCTTAAGTGAGGATCATGACTGGTAGTTATTTAATTAATCACACCAGTCTGTGAAAGCTCTGGACAATGAAGGAACTCTCCATGCATACTGGAATTGCTTTTGCTTTTTTTTCTGTCACCCAGGCTGGAGTGTAGTGGCATGAGGTCAGCTCACGGCAATCTCCACCTCTTGGGTTCAAGCGGTTCTCCTACCCCAGCCTCCCTAGTAGCTGGGATTACAGGCAGCTGCCACCACACACTGCTAATTTTTTTGTATTTTTAGTAGAGGCGGGGTTTCACCATGTTGGCCAGGCTAGTCTTGAACTCCTGACGTCAAGTGATCCACCCATCTCAGCCTCCCAAAATGCTGAATTACAGGCGTGAGCCACTGTGCTGGCAAGGAATTGTTTTATTTTTAACTGGAAATTCAAACATGTGGAATCCTTGGCCATTTTTTTTTTGTAATGCAGGAGTAATCTTTTCTTTGAATGTGGGACCCACTGTTTCAGATTTTTCATCGCCTTTCTTGCAACACCGTATTTATATCATCTAAGATTTCTAGTTTCAGCTTCTTTAAAGAAGAGTGAAAATTTAGATGCATAAAAAATGTCTGAATGTAGAATTTGAGATGATCGTGTTTTGTTTTGTTTTGTTTTTTTGACTCCAGAAACCCTTGTAGTATTTTAACTTGAATTTTTATGAGATGGGGTCCTGCTCTGTCACCCAGGCTAGAGTGCAGTGGCACGATCATGGCTCGCTGCAACCTCTGTCCCCCAGGCTCAAGTGATCCTCCCATCTCAGCCTCTGGAGTAGCTGGAACTACGGGCAGGCGCCACCACGCCAGGCTCCATTGTGATTTTTATCCCCCAGTGTTTTTGGTGGAAGCTATACCCATTTTTTTTAAGTCCCTCATCTTTATGGGATTGTTCTGTCATTGAACTTTGTCTTCACAAAGCCAACTGCTTTTCACACTCACAGTTCACGTTACAATAAAGCACAATGCCACAGTAGGTAGCAAGTGTGGCGGGATTGGCAAGAGCTGGTTGACCTGTGGGAGGGAGCAGAGTGTGGGGATGTCCTGGACAGGACTCCTGGCTGACAGTGGCAGCTTCTTACAAGAATTTTAATTTTAAGGCTTACTTAAAACCAAGAAAAAATTATGCTTGGGGGGTGAAAAAATTAAGAAAAAAGTGGCTCATGCTTGTAATCCCAGCTACTTAGGAGGCTGAGGCCAGGAGTTTGAGACCAGCCTGGGCAACATAGTGAGACTCTGATCTCTTTAAAAAAATGAGGAAAAGGCTGGACATGTAATCCAATTACAGGCTCACGCCTGTAATCCAAGCATTTTGGAGGCCAAGGCGGGTGGATCACCTGAGGTTGGGAGTTCAAGACCAGCCTGACCAACATGGTGAAACCCCGTCTTAAAAAAAGAAAATTAGGAAAAGGCCAGGTGTGGTGGTTCATGCCTGTAATCCCAGCACTTTGGGAGGCTGAGGCAGGCGGATCACGAGGTCAAGAGATCAAGACCATCCTAGCCAACATGGTGAAATCCTGTCTCTACTAAAAATAGAAAATTTAGCTGGGCGTGGTGGTGCCCATGTGTAGTTCCACTACTCGGGAGGCTGAGGCAGGAGAGTTGCTTGAACTTGGGTGGTGAAGGTTACAGTGAGCCGAGATCACGTCACTGCACTTCAGCCTGGCGACAGAACAAGACTCTGTCTCAAAAAAAAAAAAATAAAAAAGAAAAATAAATAGGAAAAAAATCACCAATTAGAAGAAAGAAATTTGCCCAATTCGGTATACAACTGATAACATTTTGGTGATTTTCCTTTCTGTCTGCACTTCTGGGTATATTTGTAAATCCACTGTGTATTTTTTGTTTTTGACACAGAGTCTCGCTCTGTCACCAGGCTGGAGTGCAATGGTGCAATCTCAGCTCGCTGCAACCTCCGTGTCCTGGGTTCAAGCGATTCTCCTGCCTCAGCCTCCCGAGTAACTGGAATTACAGGCACCCGCCACCATATCTGGCTAATTTTTTGTATTTTTAGTAGAGACAGAGTTTTACCAAGTTACCCAGGATGAAGGTCTCAAACTGCTGTCCTTGTGATCCACCCTCCTCAACCTCCCAAAGTGCTGGGATTACAGGCGTGAGCCACTGCGGCCACCTCCACTGTGACTTTTAGCAATCTGTACTGACGGGGTGACCTAGTGTTACCCCATTGGCCTGATCCATGCCGTCCCACCCTTTCCACAATCTCTGCTTTCACATGCTCTGCCACCCCATCATGGCGCCATTTAGGAAGCATCTGAGTGCTGGGGACCTTCCTCTGTCTGTTTACCTGCAGATTCAGTACTTCCTGCAGAGGCGGCCATCGCTGAAGACCTTGTTTGTGGACAGCTACAGTGAGATGCTTTTGTAAGTGACGCTTGCACTCATTTCCAGTCCAGTCCCAGGTGACAGCAGTCAGTTATCACATGAGCTCTCATTTACACTGGGCCTGGTGCATAGTGGGACCTCAGTGAACATGTTGAAGGAAAGGCGGAAGGCACTCCATGGATACTCATGGGCTGGGCGGGTGACTCATGCCTGTAATCCCAGCACCTTGGGAGGCCGAGGCCGGGGGGCGGGGGTGTCGGATCACGAGGTCAAGAGATCTAGACTATCTTGGCCAACATGGTGAAAAATACAAAATATCTCTACTAAAAATACAAAAATTAGCCGGGTGTGGTGGCACATACCTGGAGTCCCAGCTACTCTCGAGGTGGAGGCAGGAGAATTGATTGAATCCGGGAGACGGAGGTTGAAGTGAGCTGAGATTGCGTCACGGCACCCCCACCTGGCAACAGAGCAAGACTCTGTCTCAAAAAAAAAAAAAAAGATATTGTGGGATGAATGAATCCTGAGGGCCACTCTGTGACAGGTGACAGGGATGGACAAACTGTGCTGTGAATTACAATCCAAGTGAGAATACTCCTGTTCACCTTTCTACTCATTGTCCATCCATCTGCCATTCATGAGGTTGGCCCTGGAATACTGGATGAAACAGACATGGTCCCTGCCTTCAGGGAGTTTCCTGTCTTTAACCGGGTCGGGGTTCTTCGACCTTGGCACTGTTGCTATTTCGGATTGCATAATGCTTAGTGTGGTGGTGGGGGCTGCCCTGTGCCTTCTAGAATATTTAGCAGCATCACTGGCCTCTACTCACAGATGCCTGGAGCTCTTCCCTGTCCCCGAGTCTTGACAATGAAGAACCTCTCCAGATGTGGCCAAAGGCCCCTCACTTTTTTAGGGGGTGGTGCCAGAATCGCACCTGGTTGAGAACCACTGCTTTAGGAGGGGACAGATGAGTGAAAGCACCGTTACAGAACAGTGTGGATGGTGCGGTGGCTCACACCTGTCATCCAGCACTTTGGGAGGCCGAGGCGGGCTGATCACTTGAGGTCAGGAGTTCAAGACAAGCCTGCCCAACATGGTGAAACCCCGTCTCTACTAAAAATACAAAAATTAGCTGGGCTTGGTGGCACATGACTGTAGTCCCAGCTACTCAGGAGGCTGAGGAATCACTTGAACCCAGGAGGCAGAGTTTGCTGTGAGCCAAGGTTGCGTCACTGCACTCCAGCCTGGGTGACAGAGCGAGACTGCCTGAAAAAAAGAGAGAGAATGCCTGGGCTGAAGGAATTAGCGCAGCCCATCCCTAGCCCCTGTAGTCTGGGCCTCTGAGCAGCCTGTGGCCTTTTGTTTTGGGGGCGCCCAGCCTCCCAAGTTCCTGTGATGGAGCTTTCTGCCCCTCCCCCCAGCTTTGTGCAGTCCCTGCTCATGCTGGCCACTGTGGTGCTGTACTTCAGCCACTGCAAGGAGTATGTGGCTTCCATGGTGTTCTCGCTGGCCATGGGCTGGACCAACATGCTGTACTACACCCGCGGCTTCCAGCAGATGGGCATTTACGCCGTCATGATAGAGAAGGTGGGTACCCTGTGCCCCAGGGAGTCTCCTTGGACCCCGCTTACCTCGTGGGCACGGGAGACGCTGTCCCATGAACTCCACCCATCCTCTCTGTCTTGTCCAGGAATGGGCTGGCTTAGCTCCCAGCCCATTTTCCAAGAATCAAGCAATCTGGCCTTGACCTGGTTGTGTGTGGGGGGTCCCCTGAAACTTGACCCCTCTGCATACCAGGCCTCAGTCTCCCGACCGGAACGAAGGCTATGGGGGAAGGGTGGATGCTCCCTCAAGACCCCTGAACTGAGAACCAGTAAACCAAACCCTCCTGGCGTCCTCAAGATGCACCCCCCAGGCTGACCAGCCCGACCCTCCCCTCGGCTCCTCCTGGGCCTGGACTCGGCTCTGATGAGCCCGCTCTCTCCTGCAGATGATCCTGAGAGACCTGTGCCGTTTCATGTTCGTCTACATCGTCTTCTTGTTCGGGTTTTCCACAGGTAATGGGCTTGGTCAGGGCTGCGGAGAGGGTAGGGCTCCTGCTTGCCTGGACCTCCTGAAGACTCTGCCAGGAGATGAGAAGGGTAGGCAGGTGCATGTCTGCGGTGACAGAGAGGGTAGGCAGGGGACACACTGTAATGAGCCACAGAACTTGGACAAGTGATTCATGAAATATTTTAATCAGGCCGGGCATGGTGGCTCAAGCCTGTAATCCCAGCACTTTGGGAGGCCAAGGCAGGTGGATCACAAAGTCAGGAGTTTGAGACCAGTCTGACCCACATGGCAAAACCCCATCTCTACTAAAAGTACAAAAATTAGCCAGGCATGGTGGCGCATGCCTGTAATCCCAGCTAGTCAGGAGGCTGAGGCAGGAGAATCTCTTGAACCCGGGAGGTAGAGGTTGCAGTGAGCTGATATCACAGCCTGGGTGATAGAGTGAGACTCCGTCTCCAAAAAAAAAAAAGTTGTAAGTAATTTCCCAGGCCAGAAGGGTGCTCGCCTGTTGTATAACATTTTGGCTCAGTTGTTTTTTTCAACTTTTAATTTTGACATTATTTCAGACTTGCAGAAATGTTGCAAGAATAGAACCAATACCTTCCCTGTACTCCTCACCCAGATTCCCCCAAATTACCACATTTATGTTATCACTTTCTCCAGCCCTGCACACGCGTGTGCGCCCACACACACATGTATGCCACACGTGAAAAAGACTCAGAGTAAGTTGCAGATATGATCAGCCCTGTACCAAGAAACACTTCAGTGTGTATTTCCTAAAAGAAATAACTTATTTGACATAAACACAGCTGAAGGAACACAGGCAGGAAGGTCACATTGATTCACGCTATTATCCAACCCACAGCCCTTGTTCCAATTCCATCAATTGTCCTATGAAGGTCTTTAGCAGAAAATGAGAATCCTGGATCATGCATTCCGTTCCATTGTTATGCTTCTTTAGTCTCCTTTAATAATTAATCGACTAGTTAATTCATTATTTTTCCAGACAGAGTCTCATGCTGTTGCCCAGGCTGGAGGGCAGTGGCGCCATCTTGGCTTACATTCAGGCAATTCTCATGCCTCAGCCTCCAGAGTAGCTGCGATTACAGGTGCTACCACCCCTGGCTGGTTTTTTTGTATTTTTAGTAGAGATGGGGTTTCACCACATTGGTCTAAGGCTCCTGACCTCAAGTGATTTGCCCGCTTCGGCTCCCAAAGTGCTGGGATGATAGGTGTGAGGCACCGCACCCGGCCTTAGTCTCCTTTATCTAGGGCAATTCCTGGGTCTTCCCTGGTCATTGTGACCTTAGAGTTTGTAATGAGTAGAGGCCGGTGGTTTCGCACAGTGTTTCTCGAGCTGGGTGTGTCTGATGGTTTCCTCATGATTACAGCCTGGTGTGCGCTTTTGGCCAGAGTATCAAGAAACACTGTATGTCTTCTTCAGTACTTTTTTTTTTTTCCGTGATCCGCCTGCCTCGGCCTCCCAAAGCACTGGGGTTACTGGCGTGAGCCACCGTGCCCGGCCCTTCAGTACGTTTTATTGGGAGTCACATGACGTCTGTCTCACCTCTGGAGACGTTAGCTTTGATGACTTGGTGTTGTGGGTCGGCCAGACTTTTCCACTGTAAAGCTACTATATTTACCTTTGTAATGGATACTTTTCAGGGAGACGCTGGGAGACTGCATGAATAACCAGACTTCACCCAGGAGTCAGCATCCACTGATGAGTCTTACCTGAATCACTTCATCCCATCACGGGACCAAATGATGACTTTTTTTTTTTTTTTTTTGAGGTGGAGTCTTGGCCTGTCACCCGGGCTGGAGTGCAGTGAAGCGATCTCAGTTCACTGCAGCCTCTGCCTCCTGGGTTCTGGCGATTCTCCTGCCTTGCCTCCTGAGTAGCTCAGATTACAGGTGTGAGCTACCCAAAGGGCTGGGATGGCAGGCCACTGCACAGCCTCCACATCATTTTTTGAGCACTTGAGTCTGCTTTGATGCTCGTCCGAGTTCCAGAGTTACATGGTTCACAGGGCGCACCCCCCCTGTCCCTACCCCGGAGTTTGTGTTAGAATCTCTGGCTGGGAGGGATGGGCAGCTGGATCTGAAGGCCTGCATTTCAGTAGGTACAGAAGGGACTGACTGGGCCAGTGGGGGTTAGTGGATACTGGTATGTAGAACTGCTGTGGAAGCTCTCAGGCTCTGCGCCCCACTTCCCAAAGAAACATGCAGAATGTCGGAAGAGGCCAGTCTACTCTGGGCTCCTCAGTGCTCAGGGTTGCATAATGTACCTCTAAGGGATGCAGGCAAACAGGGTGTGACGGACAAAGCAGGTGTGGAGCCAGAGCTGACAGGTACGGTTAAGCAGGTTGTGCACTGCACAAAGGTGCTGGCTACATGCACATTGCACATATAGATTTATACATCTATATATGTATTTTTCTAATAGATGATGGTAAAGTTCATAAAACAATATATTGTAAAAATTTTTTTGATAGTTTTAGAGAAGAAGTGCCTTAAAAATAACTTCTCACAAAGGTGCCACATGGCTGAGCAGGAGGGTGTATGTTGGGGACTTGGGGTATTGGCTTCTATCCAGCAGCACCCCACCCTCCCCATGCCCTGTAGCGGTGGTGACGCTGATTGAAGACGGGAAGAATAACTCTCTGCCGAATGAGTCCACGTCTCACAGGTGGCGGGGGCCTGGCTGCAGGCCCCCCGATAACTCCTACAACAGCCTGTACTCCACGTGCCTGGAGCTGTTCAAGTTCACCATCGGCATGGGTGACCTGGAGTTTACCGAGAACTATGACTTCAAGGCTGTGTTCATCATCCTGCTGCTGGCATACGTCATCCTCACCTACATCCTCCTGCTCAACATGCTGATCGCCCTCATGGGTGAGACGGTCAACAAGATCGCGCAGGAGAGCAAGAACATCTGGAAGCTGCAGGTGGGTGGGGGGGTGGCGGGGGAAGTTGAGCAGCCAGGAGGGCGAGGGTGCTCTGTCCACTGCCTTACACAGCTGGGCACATGAGCCCTGCAGGAAGCCCAGCCAGGCCGGAGGATACAGCCTCAGCACCTCCCTCCATGGACTCCCAGCAAGCTCCCCTGGCCAGCATCTGCTCAGGGCAGATTAGCTCAGCTGGTGTTTCTAGCCCGCATGCTTGGCTGTGGCCTGGGTGGTCCTGGAGGGAAGGAGGAAGAGGGCTCAAACCACAGGGTATCCACCTCAGAGGAGCCTGGTGTAAGGAGGGCACCAGAGGCCAGACTCAGGGGAGCAGCTAGCACAGGGCAGGGCTGCCAGCTACCTTTCTGAGCCCTGTCGCCGACATCTGCATCCCCAACTACTAATAATAAGTTTCGTTCTTATTAAGAAGCACTTTCTCTGTTGTAGGGACTATACTAACTGTCTGTCCTACTTGAGCTCATTGAATCCTCACAACAGCCCTGGGAAATGGATTCCATTACTGTTCCTTTTTTTTTTTTTTTTTTTTCTGAGACAGAGTTTTGCTCTTGTCGCCCAGGCTGGAGTGCATTGGTGAGACCTCGGCTCACTGCCACCTCTGCCTCTTGGGTTCAAGCGATTCTCCTGCCTCAGCCTTCCTAGTAGCTGGGATTGCAGGTGCCTGCCACCATGCCCAGCTAATTTTTGTATTTTTAGTAGAGACGGGGTTTCACCACGTTGGCCAAGCTGGTCTCGAACTGCCACCCTCATGTGATCCATCCACCTTGGCCTCCCAAAGTACTGGGATTACAGGTGTGAGCCACTGTGCCGGGCCATACTGTTCCATTTTTGAGTGAAGGCACTGAGGCGTAGGCGTAGCAAAGCTGGGTATCTGTGCACAAGGCCACACAGCCAGTGACAGAGCCAGGACCTGGCCCAGGCGGTCTCACCCAGGGCCCTGCTCTCAGCCCCTTGTGAGCTCCTCAGGGTGGGGTCTGGGGCATTCCGTTTCATGCCTTGGGCTGCCCTGTGTAGGCCCAGCAGGCACCAGTAGCACCTGGACAGGTCTGGGCTGGCCAGGCTGGGCTCCCAGCATAGAGCGTGTCCCCACCAGGCTCCGGAAACAAGGCCAGCGTGGAGGGCGCTGGATACCAGCCCAGAGGCATCTGGGGCTGGGAGAGCCCCCGGGAAGATGGGTCCTGGCAGCCACGGGGCCCTGGGATGCAGCCTCTGCCCCTTGGGCCTCTGTCCTTGCTGTCTTCCTGCAGAGAGCCATCACCATCCTGGACACGGAGAAGAGCTTCCTGAAGTGCATGAGGAAGGCCTTCCGCTCTGGCAAGCTGCTACAGGTGGGGTACACACCTGAAGGCCAGGACGACTACAGATGGTGCTTCAGGTAACCCCAGTCAGAGCTTGGGAGTTTCGGGGCTCCCTGTGGGCACAGAGGCTGCCTCAGGGCCTGCTGAGCCCGTCATGAACACGGGGTGCTCTCCCAAGGCCAGCTGTAGGGATGAGGCCCATCCAGAGCTCAGCTATGGGTGTGCACGTGACCCCTCTGAGATCTCAGCTGGTGGGGCCCAGACACAAAATTCCAGAAAATTCCAGGTGCCCAAAGGGGTCATCTAGTGAGCAGGGTCAGAGCCTGCCATCCAATATTTAAAGTCCCTGGGCTACCCGGGATGGTCAGAGATCACATCTTTGGGGATGGTGTCCAAAAATCAAGTCCTCTCTGCCCTCCCTACCCACTGTGTCCTGATGTGTGTGCTTCTTGGGCTGGGCCTGTGGGCAGAGCGCTAGGACCAGGAAGCTGTCCCAGCTCTCAGGCTGCCCTGACCCCTTGCCCTGCAGGGTGGACGAGGTGAACTGGACCACCTGGAACACCAACGTGGGCATCATCAACGAAGACCCAGGCAACTGCGAGGGTGTCAAGCGTATGCCAAGCTTCTCCCTGCGATCAAGCAGAGGTGAGGTGGGTGGGGCCAGTGCTTAGCGCCTCCTCAGCTGGTGGCCCAACATTGGCAGGGGGAGCCTTGCAGGCCTTTGCCGGGCTCCTCACCCCCCAGGACCTGGGCACTGAGCAGCCCCTGATGTCAGCCATGTGCACATACTCCTGGGCTGACATGAGTGCCTCACACATGCCGATGCAGCTGACAGCGCACTGGGCCTGTGCAAGCAGCTGGGCCAGCACCTCCAACCCACGCACCTGTCCTCAGCACCCCGGGGGATGCAGCCAGTCCTGCCCTGCCTCCTTGTGTGGGTCGCCCTGCCTCCTTGGCCCTGATCCTCACCCTGCATGTATTCATGCCACGTCAGAGCTCTGTGGGGCGGTGCAGACACAAACAGGCACATGGGAACACATGTCACTCATGAACACATCCGGGCAGGTAGAGAAGAGGGGAGGGAGAGAGAGGAAAGGGGATGCTTTCAGTAGAAAAACCCCAGGAAGACCAGGTGCGGTGGCTCATGCCTGTCATCCCAGCACTTTGGGAGGCCGAGGTGGGCAGATCGCTTGAGGCCAGTAGTTCGAGACCAGCCTGGCCAACATGGTGAAACCCCATCACTACTGAAAAAATACAAAAATTAGCCAGGCCTGGTGGGGGACACCTGTAATCCCAGCTACTCGAGAGGGTGAGGCAGGAGAATTGCTTGAACCCAGGAGGCGGAGGTTGCAGTGAGATGAGATAGAGCCATTGCACTCCAGCCTGGGCGACAGAATGAGACTCTGTCTCAAATAAAAGAAAAAAATAGAAAAACTCCAAGGAAAATTACTACCAGAAAGAAAGGTGTTTAACAGTTACTGGTAAACATTTAATAGAAAACATTAAAAATGTCTAATTGAGGACATTTACTTAAAAATGAAGCAGGCCTAGTTTATAGTGGACACATTTTGAGTTATAATGACAACCCTGCACACTTTGTTTTGAATTACTTTGTATTTCATTGTAAAAAATTGTGGTAAAATACGTATCATTTTAAGTGTACAATTCAGTGACATTAAGCACATTCACATTATTGTACAACTATCATCACTCTTTCCAGAACTCTTTTTTTTTTTTTAGATGAAGTCTCACTCTGTTGCCTAGGCTGGGGTACAGTGGCATGATCTGGGCTCACTGCAACCTCCGCCTCCCAGGTTTAAGCAATTCTCCTGCGTCAGCTTCTGGGGTAGCTGGGATTAGAGGTACCCGCCACCACATCTGGCTGATTTTTTGTATTTTTTTTAGTAGAGACAGGCTTTCACCATGTTGCCCAGGTAGTTCTTGAACTCCTGACCTCAGGTAATCCACCCACCTTGGTCACCCAAAGGGCTGGGATTATAGGTGTGAGCCTATAATCCTGGCCTTTTAAAATTTTTAATTTTTAAAAATCTTTAGCTGCTAGGTTTGTGTTATTTATTTATTTATTTTTGAGACAGAGTCTGTCTCTGTTGCCCAGGCTGGAGTGCAGTGGCATGATCTTGGCTCACAGCAACCTCCGCCTCCCAGGTTCAAGTGATTCTTCTGCCTCAGCCTCCTAAGTAGCTGGGACTATAGGTGCACGCCTCCAGGCCCGGCTAATTTTTGTATTTTTAGTAGAGATGGGGTTTCACCATATTGGCCAGGCTGGCCTCGATCTCCTGACCTCGTGATCCGCCCTCCTCAGCCTCCACAGTGCTGGGATTCCAGGCGTGAGCCACTGTGCGGCAGGTTTGTGTTGTTTGCAGGATTGCTGTTTTCCGCTGCCTAATGTCCTATCCCTGAAAAACATCTGCTGCGTGTAGGTTGCCTAGTTCTGTGATTGCTGACAGCAGGATGGCTAGCACAGTACTAGATACTCCATTAGAGCTGGAAGGGAAAATCTGTTTTATTAAAGGCTCATTTTTAGAAAATTGCTGGAGGCCTATCGGTTTTTCCACAGGCCTCCTGCAGTCATGTGATTTTCCTGAGTTCAGTCGGAAGTTCTCCCCGCGTCATGCCACCATGCTTATTGATGAGCTCTTGGTCAGCTGTTAACTGGTCTGACTTTGTCAGAGAGCTACCGAAAGGCAGCTTTGCATATGATTTGAGCGGTTCTTCAGCATCACTCTTGCGGATCTTTGACGGATTCGCTGTTTTACTTTGCAGTTGATTTGCATCATGTTTGCATGACGTTGTTGACAGTTTACAACATTGCACAGACACTGTGATATTTATAAACACATCGACCCAGTGACAGGGATGGACGTGTTAATTAGGGCAGGGATAGGGGATGGTTGGAGGTTGCCTGACTTCACATTTATAATTTCTTTTCTTTTTCTTTCTTTCTTTTTTTTTTTTTTTTGAGACGGAGTTTTGCCCTTGTTGCCAAGGCTGGAGTGCAATGGTGCCATCTCCGCTCACTGAAACCTCTGCCTCCCGGGTTTAAGTGATTCTCCTGCCTCAGCCTTCTGAGTAGCTGGGATTACAGGCATGGGCCACACACCCAGCTAATTTTATATTTTCAGTAGAGATGGGGTTTCTCCACGTTGGTCAGGCTGGTCTTGAACTCCTAACCTCAGGTGATCCGCCCACCTCCGCCTCCCAAAGTGCTGGGATGACAGGCAGGAGCCACCGTGCCCGGCTGCTTTTCTTTTCTTTTCTTTCTTTTTATTTTTTTTTGAGACGGAGTCTTATTCTGTTGCCCAGGCTGGAATACAGCGGGCCTAGACCCGGAATCCAGCTTCCTTGGTAGTGCTCGTCACCCAGAGCTGCCCTGGTGTTGAGCCACTTATCGGGCAGTCCTCAGCGTTGCTCTGGAGACCTCCTCTCTCTCCCACTTGGGCAGGGAGGAAATGGAGGCCAAGAGGGGCAGGCGATGGGCTCTCTTGAGTCCACAAGCAAGTCGGGGTGGGGCAGAGGAAAAGAATTGAAAGAGCCACCAGAGTGCACGAGGCTCTCTGAGCAGTGGCAGGAAGAGGACATGGCACGATCCAGCTGTCGCAGGGAGCACTCGCATGCCTGGGCCTCCTTTTATCCGGGGATTTGTGAGGCCAAGAGGCAAGTGTTTGTTTTGCTGCATCCAAGGTAGTAATCGTGTTTTACCCTTCAGTTTCAGGCAGACACTGGAAGAACTTTGCCCTGGTTCCCCTTTTAAGAGAGGCAAGTGCCCGAGACAGGCACTCTGCTCAGCCCGAGGAGGTTCATCTGCAACAGTTTTCAGGGTCCCTTAAACCAGAAGATGCTGAAGTCTTCAAGAATCCCATCGCTTCTGGGGAGAAGTGAGGACCTGACACAGAAAGCACCGTAAACACTGGGCCCCCAACCGCCTCAGGGGGCTGCTAGGGGAACTCCAGTGCTCGGTCAGCAGCATGGCCTGGTCCGGGCCTGCTCAGCATGTTCCCAAGTCTGCACTGGACAAGTGTGGAAGGCATTGTTGGAAGCACGAGGAGTGACGTCCATCCAACCGCCACTGTCCCCACATGAACCTCCAAACAAGCTTTCAAGTTCTTACTCACTTTATTCAACAGTGTGGACTGTCAGTCTCTCCTGGGACATGTTGCGCCCTTGTTTCCTTTCCTTTTCTTTTCTTTTGAGACAGAGTTTCACTCTTGTCTCCCAGGCTGGAGTGCAGTGGCGCAATCTCAGCTCACTACAACCTCTATCTCTGGGTTCAGGTGATTCTCCTGCCTCAGCCTCCCAAGTAGCTGGCACTACAGGCATGCACCACGAAGCCCAGCTAATTTTTGTATTTTTGGTAGAAACGGGGTTTCACCATGTTGATCATGTTGGCCAGGCTGGTCTGGAACTCCTGGTCTCAGGTGAGCTGCCCGCCTCGGCCTCCCAAAGTGCTGGGATTACAGGTGTACGCCACTGCACCCAGCCTTCTTTGATTTTATATTACTAGGAGCAAAAATAAATGAAGCCCAGTAAAACACCTTTGGGAACAAAAACTTTTCTTTGCTGGAAAACGCAGAAGCCCTTCCTCTCTGTAGCGTGCTTCCTTTCCTACCTGCCCAGGGTGGCCTGGGGGGCGATGTTGTTTACTCCCCAGGAAGGCAGGGGAGGCTGGTCCCACTCCTAGCTCTGGCAGAATCAAGCTGCTATAGGAGTGTCTTCTTCATCCTACTGGATGATGAATCACAGCCTCAAAAATAGTAGCTCTATTGCTGTTCAGGTAAAAGTACAGAACCATGTCCCAAAGGTACCTGGTGAGAACATTGGAAAGATCTTCCATTTGCAGGGCCCCCCAATCCTGCTTTCCCAAAACAGCACCTGCTTCCCCTCCATCCATACTGGCATCCTCAAATAAATGTATACGCATACATATATATGGTGTCAAGGCTGAAGTTTGTGCCGGGTAACGGGCTGGCAGAGCTCACTGGCCCTGTGTAGGCTGCTTGTGCATGCGTGTGTGCACACGTGGGGGTGTGTGTGGCTGTGTGCATGCATACAGGTGCACATGTGTGCATGTATGTGTGTGTGTGCCCTATTCCATATGGCCAGGAGCCTCTAGCAACTCTTCAGTTGTTACCCGGGGTGAGGGCACCCTTTCAGGCATACACCTTCCACAGTCAGCAAAGTTTGGTCCATGGATCCACCCTGGCCTCCAACTGCTTTTTTTTGTTTTGTTATGTTTTGATTTTTTGAGACAGAGTCTAACTCTGTTGCCCAGGCTGGTGTGCAGTGGCGCCATCTTGGCTTACTGCAACCTCCGCCTCCCAGGTTCAAGCGATTCTCCTGCCTCAACCTCCGGAGTTGCTGAGATTACAGGTGCCCAGCACCACGTCCAGTCTAATTTTTGTATTTTTTTTTAGTAGAGACAAGGTTTCACCATGTTGGCAAGGGTGGTCTTGAACTCCTGACCTCAAGTGACCCACCCCCCTCAGCCTTCCAAAGTGCTGGGATTACAGGTGTGAGCCACTGCACCCGGCCATGCCACCTGTTTTTGTAAATAAAATGTATGTTTTTTTTGGGATGGAGTCTCACTCTGTTGCCCAATCTGGAGTGCAGTGGCGTAATCTTAGCTCACACGACCTCTGCCTCCCAGATTCAAGCAATTCTCCTGCCTCAGCCTCCTCAAGTAGCTGGGATTACAGGTGTCTGCCACCACGCCAGGCTAATTTTTGTATTTTTTTTTTAAAGTAGAGACAGGCTTACACCATGTTGAACAGACTGGTCTTGAACTCCTGACTCAAGTGATCCACCCACGTTGGCCTCCCAAACTGCTGGGATCACAGGCATGATCCACCGTGCCCGGTCATGCAACCTGTTTTTGTAAATAAACTTCTAGTGAAACACACCTGCAGTCATATATTCACATAGTGCCTACGGTTGCATTCCTGCTACAATACAGAAATGAATACTTTCAACAGATACCAAATAGTTTGTAAAGCCTAAAATATAAAAAACTTACCTAAAACATCAAACACGTACTATCTGGCCCTTTACAGAAGGGTTTACTGACTCTTCCTTTACAGAATAGAGCTTAAGAAACAAATACCTGGGAAGAGAGATCTGTTCCAGACCGAGCAGCTTGTGCTAGTATCTGTGGAGAGTAGAATGAGTTATTTAGTTGTGGAGTTACTGGATGTGGGTTCATGAAAGGATGGACTTTGGCTGAGGCTGGGGCTTGGGCCCTACCAAGAGAGGTGTTTTTGGGGGAATACTGGAATCCTTCTTCCCCATTCTTTTTTTTTTTTTTTTTTTGAAATGGAGTCTTGCTCTGTTGCCCAGGCTAGTGTGCAATAGCTTGATCTTTGCTCACTGCAACCTCCACCTTTTTGGGCTCAACCTCTCGAGTAGCTGGAATTACAGGTGCGCACCACCACGCCTGGCTAATTTTTGCATTTTTGGTAGAGATGGGGTTTCACCATGTTGGCCAGGCTGGTCTCGAACTCCTGACCTCAGGTGATCCGCCCACCTCAGCCTCCCAAAGTGCTGGGATTACAGGTGTGATTCTCAGTGCCCAGCCCCTCCTCCCTGTTCTCTAGTTTGGCTTCTGCCTGACCACAGGGGTCCCCACAGAGGCGCCAAGGGCTGGTGCCCAGGTGCCCACGTGTGACCGTGAAGTGAGCGTGGAGCCTGCAGGAGGGAGGCAGACAGCCAGGATGTGGGGAGTGTTTATGAAAGTGCTCCATGTGCATGGTCCTTTAAGTCTCCTAATAGCTCATGAAGACACTATTATTAGTTCCGTTTTATAGATGAGAAAATCAAGGTTCCTGCAGTGAGTAAGGCCGCACAGCCAGTAAACACAAGGCCTGGATCTGACCCCAGGCAGTCTGACTCCAAAGCCTGGGCCTTAACTGCTGTGTCAGGCTGCCTGGCAGAGAATGTGCAGGGGCAGGCCGGCCTGTCCTGGGCCAGAGGGAGTCAGGAGGGCTTCTTGCTTCCTGTGTGGGCCTGGGACTCTGTGCTGTACCTGTAGGCCTTTCCTAGAAAATGTGTGGGTGTCATACAGCTGCAGACTTCTGCAAATTGTATCCGCTTTGTGTGTTTGCTTTTTGAGACAGAGTCTTGCTCTGTCACCCAGGCTGGAGTGCAGTGGTGTGATCTCGGCTCACTGCAACCTCTGCCTCCTGGGTTCAAGTGATTCCCCTGCCTCAGCCTCCTTAGTAGCTGGGATGATGGGAGCCTGCCATCATGCCTGACTAATTTTTGTATTTTTAGTAGAAATGGGGTTTCACCATGTTGGCCAGGCTGGTCTTGAACGCCTCACCTCAAGTGATCCACCAGCCTCGGCCTCCCAAAGTGCTGGGATTATAGGCGTGAGCCACCGTGCCCAGCTGATCAGCTTTTGAATTTACTCAGAGCTAGAAGGGATCCTGTGGGCATACTTTTCCAAAACTAATAATAGAAATTTTTTGTTATTAGATTAGAAACCTGAGATTGTTCAAGGAAGGACATACCTACAATTGGAATGTTTCCTTTCTTTCTTTTTTTTTTGAGACGAAGTCTTACTCTGTCACCCAGGCTGGAGTACAGTGGTGCAATCTTAGCTCACTGCAACCTCCGCACCCCAGGTTCAAGAGACTCTCCTGCCTCAGCCTCCCAAGTTGCTGGGACTACAGGCACGCAGCACCATACCTGGCTAATTTTTTTGTATTTTCAGTGGAGACGGGGTTTTACCAAGTTGGCCAGAATGGTCTCGATCTCTTAACCTTGTGATCTGCCCACCTCAGCCTCCTAAAGTGCTGGGATTACAGGGTGAGCCACTGCACCTGGCTTCTTTTCTTTCTTTTTTAAAAAATTCATAACCTTTATTTTAATTTAATTTTTTTTTTTTTTTTTGAGACAGAGTTTTGCTCTATTGCCCAGGTGGGAGTACAGTCTCACTGCAGCCTCAAACTCTTGAGCTCAAGAGATTCTCCTGCCTTAGCCTCCTGAGTAGCTGGGTCTAAATACATGAGCCACCAGGCCTGGCAACTTTTTTTCCCCCTGCAGAGATGTGGTCTTGCTCTGCTGCTCAGGCTGGTCTTGAACTCCTGGCCTCAAGCACTCCTCCCTCCTTGGCCCCACAAAGTGCTGTATTGCAGTGCCAGCCATAGGAACTGACCAGCTTTATTTTTAGAGCAGCGTTAGGTTCACAGCAAAATTGACACAAAAATGATATAGAGAATTCTCATACACCTGCTGTCCCCACATACCCGCAACGTCCCCAACTACTGGCATCCTGCACCAGAGCAGTTCATTGTTACAATTGGTGAATTGACATCGATACATCATTATCATCCCAAGTCCACTGTGGGGTGGTAGCTCACGCCTGTAATCCCAGCACTTTGGGAGGCCAAGGCAGACAGATCACCTGAGGTCAGGAGTTCGAGACCAGCCTGGCCAACGTGGTAAAACCCCGTCTCTACTAAAGATATAAAAATTAGCTGGGCATGGTGGCATACACGTGTAATCCCAGCTACTTGGGAGGCTGAGGCAGGAGAATTGCTTGAACCTGAGAGGTGGAGGTTGCAGTGAGTTGAGATCAGATCGTACCACTTCGCTCCAGCCTGGATGACAGAGTAACTTCATTTCACACACACACATGCATCCAAAGACCCAACAAAAAACAAAGTCCACTGGGGTCACTCTTGGGGTTATAGATTCCATGGGTTTTGACAAATGTATGACCTGTGTTTACCATTATAGTATCATACAGAGGAATTTTATTGCCCTAAACATCCTCCATGCTCCACCCTCTCCCCAAGCCCTTGAGCTCCTGGCAACCACTGAGCTTTTTCTTTTATCTTTTTTTTTTTTTTTGAGACGGTTTTGCTCTGCTGCTCAGGCTGAAGTGCAGTGGTGGTATCATAGTTCACTGCAGCCTTGACCTCCTGGACTCAAGTGATCCTCCCACCTCAGCCTCCTGAGTAGCTGGGGCTACAGGTGAGAGCCACCACACCTGGCTCATGTTTGTATTTTTTGTAGAGATGGGGTTTTGTCATGTTGCCCAGGTTAGGTCTCAAACTCCTGGTCTCAAGCAATCTGCCCACCTCGGCCTCCCAAAATGCTGGGATTACAGACGTGAGCCACTGTGCCTGGCCAGCCACTTATCTCTGTCTCCATGCCTTTGCCTTTTCCAGCATGGCATGTAGTTGGCATCATCATACAGTACATGGCCTTTTCAGAGCAATTGATCTCACTTAGTAAATTATGCATTAGCATTGCCTCCATGTCTTCTCATGACAGGAGAGCTCATTTCTTTTATTGGAGGATAGCATTCCATTCTCTTGGATATGCCATGCATTTTTTTTTGAGACGGAGTCTTGCTCTGATGCTAGGCTGGAGAGCAGTGGCACAATCCCCGGCTCACTGCAACCTCTGCCTCCCAGGTTCAAGCAATTCTCCTGACCTAGCTTCCAGAGTAGCTGGGATTATAAGCATGTGCCACCACACCCAGCTAATTTTGCATATTTTGTGGAGATGGAGTTTCACCATCTTAGCTAGGCTGATCTCAAACTCCTGACCTCTGATGATCCACCCGCCTCTGCCTCCCAAAGTGCTGGGATTATAGGCATGAGCCACTGCGCCTGGCTGGATGTACCACTGTATCCATTCACCTACTGAAGGACATTTCGGTTGCTTCCAAGTTTTGGCAGTTATGAGTAAAGTTGCTATAAACATCCACGGGCAATTTTTGTGTGGACCTAAGTTTTCAGCCTCTGAGTAAACACGAAACAGTGTGACTGCTGGATTGAATTGTAAGAGTATGTTTAGTTTTGTAAGAAACCACCAAAGTGTCTTTCAAACTGGCCGCACTGTTTTGCGTTCCCACCTGTGATGACTGAGGCTTCCGGTTGCTCCTCGTCCTCATCAGCATTTGACACTGTCAACATTTTGAGTTTTGGTCATTCTAATACGTAGGTAGCGGTCATTGTCTTCCTCCTCGTTTTTCTGTTTCTCTCTCGCTTGCTCTCTCTGTGTTTCATTTAGACTTACTATCATTGACCAATGTGTTGTATGTGTTCACACTATAGCACGTTATGCTTTTGTTCTGATCATATTCCTTTTTCACTTTTCTGTTCTTTTCTTTCTTTTTTTCTTTTTTTTTTTTTTTGAGATGGAGCCTAACTCTGTCACCCAGGCTGGAGTGCAGTGGCACAGTCTCAGCTCACTGCAACCTCCTTCTCCTGGGTTCAAGTGATTCTCTTGCCTCAGCCTCCTGAGTAGCTGGGACTACAGGCATGCACCACCACACCTGACTAATTTTTGTATTTTTAGTAGAGACAGGGTTTCGCCACGTTGGTCAGACTGGTCTCGAACTCCTGGCCTCAGGTGATACACTCACCTCGGCTTCCCAAAGTCCTTGGATTACAGGCATGAGCCACCATGTCCAGTCTCTGTTCCTTTTCTTTACTAATGTTCTTATAAAACAAAATAGTAAAAACAGGAATGAAACAAAAAAATTGTTTTACATCAGGCTATCAATTCATATATTTGTGCTTTTTAAGTTTATTTTTAATGGACAAATGAAAATTATATATATTAACAACATACAGTGTGATGTTTTGATTTATGTATCATGTGGAAGGGCCACATCAAGCTGTCCAGCACACGCAACACCTCGCTTTTTGTGTAATGAGAGCACTTCAAATCCACTCTCTTGGCAGCCCCCCACCAAATCTATTGCTTTCTCTGTCTTCACGTCCTTCCCTCCATCACCTGGAAGCAGGATGAGCCACACCCAGAATCCACCGTGGGCAGCTGCTGATCTCTCCTGGGTGGCTCCAGGACCCTCTCCCGGCCATCGTCGGGGTCAGGGAAGTCTGCCTGGCTGCCCTCTCCCTCCTCACTGCACCAAGGAGGGCATTTCCTAGAGTGTGTGAAGGGCCGAGCCTTCCTTGCTAGCCCCCACCCTGCAGAGGCCCCTTTCCCCTTCTCCCATTGTTGGGGTGGAACTCTTGGGCTTGCTGCTTGGCTTGATATCTGCAGGGTTTGGGAATTTTGGGGGGCAGGAGGGTCTGCTCAATGCTGCCAGGTGTGTCCTCTGTAGGGTGTTTCACAGAGGCAGCGACAGCCCCTGCATCAGACAGATGGAGGCTGCTGGCTAAGGCATCCGCTCTGACCACAGTCTGGCGGCTGAACACACATGCGGCACCTCAGTGCTCTCTGAAAGGCAGACCTTGGGGGAGTGGGGTTGGGGCAGGAATACCCGGGGGCTGCCCTCTCCCTTTCCATCTCCCGCCTGCCTCCCACCCCAGGCCCTGGCCCCGTCGCCCCTGCTTGTGCCAGTTGGGAAGTTTCCTTCTCAGGACTGCCGACTCTCAGGCTCCGTTCGTTCCGTCCACTGCCAGTGCAGGATCTGTGCTCACGGCGAAAGGTGGGCACAGCATGGCTTCTGGCTGATACCACGAGTGAGGAGTCAGACACTGTCGGGCAGCAGCGTCTTCATCCTTCCAGGCTCCCAGGCACTGGGGAGGCTGAAATGAGCACTAAAGGTCACCTGTGCACTGGCCGTCGGGGTGGGCCATGAGAGGTGGGCACCTGTAGACCGGAGGCCACACACCCCTGTGGCTGCTGTGCGGACGCCAAACACGGGACAGAAACCTCACCCAGCAAGGGTCAGCTGGAGTTCAGAAAGGCAGAGGCACGACCGTGGTGGGGCGGGCTGTGGGGGCTGGCTCAGCCCAGGGGTCCTGTTCCTTTCCTTCATACTGGTGACAGTGTCCCCACCAGGCCACAGGCCATGAGCCCTCTGAGGCTGGGCCACACCGCCCTGTGGGACTAAGGAGTCAGGGCTGCCCCAGCGGCCTGGGGCCACTCAGTGGGACGCAGTCTGGCTTTGTGGCCCGTCTCTCTTCAGCCAACTGAGTCTGTGTGCTGCCTCTCGCCACTCCTGGAGCGCACTGTGGCCTGGCCTCTGAGCTGCTGCTGGCGTGGCTTTCTCCTGTGGCCTCCTCCCTCCTTCCAAGTCCTCAGAGGCTTCTCTTTCCCGAGTCTACCGGCTGCACCATCAGAGGGACTTCCTCCCGCCTAGGGGTCTCAGCCCTCTTTGTCCTGATCCCTGACTGGTGGGTCACGGTTCCTGCCTGAGCCTGTGTCCCCTGTGGCCGCGCATTCCCAGAGGGTGGACATGGCCTTCTCCAGTTCTGAATCCCGCTTCGCCCACCTGCCTCCTGGCCACGGCCTCTCCTGTGGGCTCTCTCAGTTCAATGCATCAAATGGGGTTCCCTGCAGACCACCCAAGGAAAGCAGCTGCTCCCGTGTGTTTGGGGTGGGACTGGGGTGGGCTCGGGCTTCCTAAGTTGTGACTGCAGCTCCATGGGGTGACCTGGCTCCTGCTGCCTCTCCCCTCCTTCATTGCTGGGCACAGAGTATACCTCTGGGTGGGAGACACGGGCCGTTTTCACCAGCTCCCACCTGCCCTCTGAGAGAAGGTATGAACACAAGCAAAATGGACGCACTGACACCTGGCTGCAGCCTCTTCCCCAGGTGCCTGGGCCACCAGAGGCAAGCCAGGACGGGGCTGAGTCGGGAGAGGGCGCGTGAGGAATGGGGTGGGAGGCTGTGCTCAGCCTCAGCTCAGGCTTTCCCGGAGTTTCAGCCATGGTGATGAGATTTCAATTGTGAGTGGGAGCTTCAGGACCCCCTGACCTCAACAGCAGAAGCAGAGTCCCCCGCTTCACCCACACCTGCAGGCCCAGTCCGCCCTTACCAACCGCATGTCCTGCTCTCCCGCGGCCTCTGAGCCTGACCTCCCTCCGGCTGCCTCCTGGCCCAGGCAGATGGAGATGATGAGGGACTGAGAGGCTCACAGCCGGGGATTTCCCTGCCAGGCGCCAGCTCCGCCATGTCAGCAGGGACTTCCTGCTGGGACCCAGCCGGGTCTTGCCCGCATCTTGCCCTGGGGAGCAGGTGTGTGGTTCCTGAGTGACGAGAGGCAGTCAGGGCCATCCTGACCTCGCTCCACCCATTTCGCAGCTGCAGCCTGGGCCGGGAGACAGGGCACAGCATCCTCCTGCCATGCTCTGGCCTTGGAGATAGGCTGCCCCGGCTGTGGCTGGGAGGACACATGAAGACGACAAAAACAATGATAGCTAAGAGCAGACATGGATCACTGAGTTCTTGCTACGCACTGGACCTGTCCTGGCCCTTCCTTCCCTTCCCTCCCTCCCTCCCTCCCTCCCTCCCTCCCTCCCTCCCTCCCTCCCTCCCTCCCTTCCTTCCTTCCTTCCTTTCTTTCTTTCTTTTAAATGGAGTCTCACTCTGTCACCCAGGCTGGAGTGTAGTGGTTCAATCTCGGCTCACAGCAACCACTGCCTCCCAGGTTCAAGTGATTCTCCTGCCTCAGCCTCCCATAGCTGGGATTATAGGCACCCACCAACCTGCCTGGCTCATTTTTGAATTTTTAGTAGAGACAGGGTTTCACCATTGGTCAGGCTGGTCTCGAACTCCTGACCTTGTGATCCACCCGTCCCGGCCTCCCAAGGAGCTGGGCTTACAGGTGTGAGCCACCGTGCCCAGCCTGCTCTGGCCCTTTCTACCCTCACCTGTTGAAGCCCCATGGTAACCTTGCAAACTGGGTTTATGAAGCACATTTCACAGATGAAGAGATTGAGGCTCAGAGAAACGACTTGTAAGGTCAGACAGCCAGGAAGGGATGAGGTGGACACTGAGGCCTGTGAGGCGTGGCTGCTGGTGGAAAGCGTTAAATGGGGACTTCTGTCCCCGAGAGGCCTCATCCCAGGAACTGACTTTTGTTTTTTGAGACGGAGTCCCACTCTGTCTCCCTGGCTGGAGTGCAGTGGCACGATCTCAGATCACCGCAACTTCTGCTTCCCAGGTCCAAGTGATTCTCCTGCCTCAGCCTCCCGAGTAGCTGGGATTATAGGCGCCCACCACAACGCCAGCTAATTTTTGTAAATTTAGTAGAGACGGGGTTCCATCATGTTGGTCAGGCTGGTCTCGAGCTTGCGACTTCGTGATCAGCCTGCCTCAGCCTCCCAAAGTGCTGGGATTAAAGGTGTGAGCCACCACGCCTGGTCATACAGGAACTGACGAGGGCTGAGTCCTGGGGCTAGGCGCCCTGAAGTCAGCAGGGCATTCTCTCTCAGGAAACAGAGCAGAGCACTGACCCTCCACTAATCCCTCCCACCCCTGTGATCTCTTCCCCTCTTCATGGCATCCTCAGAAAGCAGGTATTATGATTCCCATTTCCTAGCTGGGAAAACTGAGGCCTGTGTTGGGATGTACCTGACCAGCATCAAATGCCAGAGCTGGACGAGTTGGATCCAGAACTTCGACCTTGGCATCTGGTGCCTCCTCTGCCTTTTCCCTGGTAGGTGTTAGGGATGTGGGTGTGGGGGTGACTCACACAGGCCACGTGGGCGGGAGGGCACTGCAGCTGCGGCTGGTGGGCGTGGCCCGCCTGGTGCCTAGGGCAGGTGGCCCAGCCAGTTCTGCCTCTGACGCCTCATTCCAGCCATCCCTCTGCCTGCCATGACAGCTTCCCGCCACCCTAGCCACAGTCCCACCCGGGGGCCTTGGGCCCCGGACATGTGGTGATCTCAGTGCAAGGGTTGCGGCGACCACCCAGAATCTTATCAGGTGAGTCCTCCCTGCACGAGGCAGCTGCTGATCTCCAAGGCCCCTGGGGAGCCCAGAGCGCGGCCCCCAGAGGTCCTCTGGGCTGTGTCTGCCCTTGGCCAATATGCCTTGGGAGGAGGGTTGGAAGGAGCTCAGGCCCCAGCAAGAAAAGCAAAGCCGTGAGCTCTGGGCTGTAGGGCTGTGTGAGGCTACAGGTCCTTATGGACTCAGGCACGTTTCTCTGAGGTTTGGAAATCCTGGGGAGGGAGGGAGAACATCTCAGTATCAGCCCCGTTGAGGGGCAGAGGTGAGGCTCCTGACTCCCTAGGCCAGCCCAGGGATGTGGCTTTCTGGGGCAGGAGAGTGATGGAAGTCCAGGATGGGAGGAGGTGGCCCACAGGATGGGAGAGGGACCCGCCAGCATCTCACAGGTGCTGAGTCAGCAGCTGTGGCTCCGAGGCCTGCTCTGTCGCCCAGGAAAGGCCATTTCAGTGTCAGGGACTGGGAGAGAGAGGGTCAGGGCATGAGAGAGTCGACCAGGTGAGAACGCAGGGTTTACAGGGTGACTCAGGGAGCTAATGACAGCTGCCGTGGCTCTCGTCTGGGGTTCCCCGAGCCTCTCCTACCCCAGCTGCCCGGGGCCATGCACATTTGTGGGCTCAGGGAAGGGAGAGAGCAACCGGCTGGCAGGGCCATGGAGTCCTTGGGGACCTTTTGGCCCACTTCTTAGAAAGGAAACCCGAGGTCCAAAGAGGGGCAAGAGACGCGTCTGTCCTCTGCCTCCTTCTTGCTTGGTGCATCCCAGCATTTCAGTCCACCACAGCCCACGTGGGGCTGGGGAAGCCACAGAGGCTGCCCTATCCTCATCAGGCCGGGACTGGACATGGTAGGGCTGGTGCCCAGCCTTCCCTCCCCGAGGACTGCTCCCCTGCCCGGCCTCAGGGTGCCCACTCTTCAGGGCCCAAGCTCCCCTCGCCACTGTTGCCCCCGTCCTGGGCCTGCTCCCTTTGAGTTGGAGGGCGGGGGACTCTCTCCAGCCTGCTGACACCCAGCTCAGCTCCAGACACTTCCTCCAGGAAGCCTTCCTATTGGGGTAGGATGACCAGTGGCCCCACTTCACCCCACCCGGCTTCTTCTTACAGGAACACATCTTCCTGCCCCACCTGTGTGTCTCCAGGTGAGTTCCCTGAGGCTGACTCGAAAACGGCACCCCCTGACTGCAGAGTTACCACTTGTTCATACAACCCTTTCCCCACCCATGTCATCCCTCTGTGGCCAGCTGCCCCCTTCCCCGTCCCTACGGCCTCCACAGCAGCCTCCTCCAGGCCCCTGGCTTCTGGTCTCCTGCACCCTCCAGCAGCCTGCTCTCTTCTGTGTAACCCAGAGCCCCTGAGCCCCTGCACCCAACTCCTAGCAGCCCCTGGGGGTCAGTCACAGCTCTTTTTAAATGTTTAATAAAATTTTATTTCTTTTTATTTGTTTTTTTGAGTCGGAGTCTTGCTCTGTGACCCAGGCTGGAGTGCAGTGGCACAATCTCCGCTCACTGCAGCCTCCACCTCTGGGTTCAAGCAACTCTCCTGCCTCAGCCTCCTGAGTAGCTGGGACTATAGGCGTGAACCACCATGCCTGGCTGAGTTTTTGTATTTTAGTAGAGATGGGGTTTCACTATGTTGCCCAGGCTGGTCTTGAACTCCTGAGCTCAGGTGACCTGCCCACCTCAGCCTCCCAAAGTGCTAGGATTATAGGCATGAGCCACCGCGTCTGGCTAAAGCCACAGCTCTTATGTGGTGTTTGAAGACTTCACGAGGCCCAACCTGCCTGCACGCCTTTTGCTGGCAGGGTGCCTGTGAGCTCCCAGGTTCTCCAACCACACAGCAGCTCCTGACCCCCCACCCAGGCTGTGCCCTCGGCTCGCCCGCCCCTTGTCCACACAGCAGCCTGTAAGATCTCTCCAGGTCTTGTTGGAAGATGTATCGGTTCCTCTTCCCCAGTCTGCACACCCCTCTGAGCTCAGTCCATACTGAACATCAGTAAAGCAGGTCTGGACTGAGGGGTCGGCCTCCTCCACCTGGGGCCAGGGGACTCAGCTGGGCCCTGCAGGTGAGAGGCGAGTCTCATGGACAGCCAGCCATCAGCTCTTCCAAGTAGCTTTGGGCGGGTCGGGGAGATGATCGCTGTGTTGGCTGCAGAGACCACCTGAGCACTGGGGAATCCAAAACACCCGAGGAGCTTGAAGCTGTGTTATTAGGAGCATAACATCTAGAGCAAAGGAGGTGATAATCTTGCTCTGTGAAGGTCAAACCTCTTTGAGAGCTGCTGTGAACACGAAGTCTGAGAGGGACCTCAAGAAAGCAGGGCTCCTCCTCCTGGGGACTGGTCGACTGGAGATGGTGTCTTGAGAGAGGCTAGGGCGTGGGGGTCTCTACGGGGTTACCATGGTGGTCCATAGCACAGGGGTGCTGGAGCAAGGAGCTGGGGAGCTTTGGAGACAGCTTCTCTGTCCTTGAAGAAAGGTTGGTGACCTGAGAAGGGAGAAGTGAGCTTCCTGTCCTAGGGAGTGTGACTGGGAGCTGGATGCAGCCACAGGTGGGTCCTAAGCCCTGGAAGCTCCCCCTGTCCCCTCGGCCTGAGCATCTGCCCTGTGGTTGTGTTCCAGCCATGAACGTCTACCCCAAGGAGATGGTGCCTCTCATGAGCAGGAGAGTCGCTGCCCCTGGTGGGAACCCTGCCGTCCTACCAGAGAAGAGGCCGGCAGAGACCACCCCCACAAAGAAGAGGTGGGTCTGGAAGGCCTAGAGCTGGGATCCTGTGAGGGGCACCAGCAGGGGCCTGGCACCCCAGGAAGCCCTTGCCTTGGGGAGACCTGAGACACTCAGTCTCGCCTGGGGGGCCTGGAGTCTGGCGAGGTATGGCTGGGGGTGGCGCAGGCAAGACCACAGCACACTCTGGTGGTCAGATGGACTGGCACGGTCAAGGAAGCTTCCTCGAAGGGATTGGGGGGCTGAGGCAAGCGCTGTCTGGAGGGCTCCTGAGGGAGGTGAGGGATGGCTGGAGCCATCCTTGAGATGCAGGAGCAAAACACCAGATGGAAGTTCCGGGTGACCTGGACCCTCTGCCAGGCGCGGTCTCCACACACACCGAGGCTTTCCATCCGCTGTGCAGCAGCCAGGTTATTCGAGCTGTACAAGGAAAGGGGACACCAGCAATGGCTCCAACCACAGGGTGACGGTTGATTGGGATCCAGTCAGCACAGTGCGCAGTGCAGCCCTGACACGCGTCCGTGCTCGGCACGTGTCAGCACTGAGTGTTTTTGTTACTGTCACCATCCTCATTGTCGCCCTCACTCGACGGGGCCTCTGGGAACTGGGCAGGGCTGAGATGATCAGCTTTTCTTCTTGGCTGGGGACACGGAGGAGGCCTGGAGCAGAGAAAGGACCTCTCTAGGGTCACCCGTCCCACCCTTCCACGGCCCCCAGCTGATTTGGTGCTTCTCCAGCTGTCCGCCAACCCAATTCACCTGTGCGTCCCCTGAACCTGGGGTGGCCCTACCCCTTCTGCCTGTATCCCAGGCCCGCTTTGGGCCAGGGGTGCGCTTGGTGCTTCCCCTGTTAGTTGGAATTACAATCACTGAGGTGTCCTGTGTATCAGCCCTGGGGTTGGGCTCAGGATTAGGAATTTAGACATGGAGAGAAAATGCCCACGGATATTCAGTCTGGCAGAAGGGGAGTCCAGGAGACAGTGGGAAGCGCCCAGAGACAGGTGAACCAGCCAGTGGGGCCCAAAGAGTGGCAGGTTACTCTGATCCTGTAGGCAGTCTCAGGGGACTTCCTGGAGGAGGTGGTGCTAGAGAGGATGTGGAGCAGAAGGGAAAGTGCATCTGGGGCAGAGGGATGGGGAGCAGTGCTCAGGGCAGGGCCACTGAGGTGGGGAGTGTGGTGTGGCTGGAATGCTGGGCAGTGGAGTCATCTCTGGGGAGATGAGTCCCCTTGGAGCTGGGTCTTGGGGGTCAGTCAAGGAACTTGGACGATCCTGAGGGCAGTGGGATCCATGGAAGGCTTTTATGTGGGAGGGAGGGCATGGCAAGATTTGGATTTTGGAGAGGTGACTCTGGAGGATCTGTGTGGAGGACGGATTGGAGGAGAGGCTGATGGCAGGGAGACCATGAGGAGGCCTTGAAGTCCAGGGGACAGGTGGTGACAGCTCAGCCTGGGTGGTCAGGGCAAAGCAGAGGGAACAGTAGAGAGGTGCCAGCATCACAGGGTCCGAGAGATCCGCCACGGGAGGTAATCGAGAAGGAGGAATCCCAGCAAGAGGGCCTGGAGGGATGGCGGGGCCGTCTCTGATGAGGCACAGCAGAGATCCGGCCAGGAGAAACGAGCCAGGCTCAGCTGTGAAATGCTGGGGAAGAGGTGCCTGAGGGGCACCCAGGTGGAGGCTCCATCTTGGAATGCAAGAGGGAAAACTGCATGGAAGTAGAGACCAGACAGGTGTCGCATGGGGCCACAGGGGCAGCCTGGTCTGGGTGGGCTTGTCCAGGAAAGGGCAGAGACATCCCTGAGCTAGGCTGGCAAGGACCGGCTCCCTGCTCCCCTCCCCCCTCCCCCCCTCCTCCTTCCAGGGGAGGTTTGGACTTCGGGAAGAAGTGGAGGACAGAGTTCCGGGAAAAGTCCATCCTTCCTCAGCAGGCCCCGTCAGGCCGCCTTTTCTGAGCCTGTCCCCCATTCCCAGACTCAACTCCAGGCTCGGCTCTGCAAAGCCTCAGCCCCGCCAGGGCCGAGAGTGTTGTGCCCTTTGCCTCCCGAATTGGTGTCCACTCCTCTGCCCAAAGGCTCTCCGAGGGCCCTCATGTGAAGGTTTGGACATCCTCCTCAGAACTGAGTAGAGGACTTGGTCCTAGAGAGAAACAGAAAAGAAAAGAATAAATTAAAGGCAAGGCACAGTGGCTCTTTCAGGCTGGGCACGGTGGCTCATGCCTGTAATCCCAGCACTTTGGGAGGCTGAGGCGGGTGGATGACTTAAGGTCAGGAGTTTGAGACCATCCTGGCCAACATGGAGAAACCCCATCCTTACTAAAAATACAAAAAATAGCCAGGTGTGGTCGTGGGTGCCTGTAATCCTCAGCTATTCAGGAGGCTGAGGCACGAGAATTGCTTGAACCCGGGAGGCAGAGGTTGCAGTGAGCTGAGATTGTGCCACTGCACTCCAGCCTGGGCGACAGAGCAAAACTCTGTCTCAAAAAAAAGAAAAAAGAAAAAAAGAATGACTTATAGGTAAAGAAAGAGGACAATGCGGACCTCTAAGGAAACAGGCGCTAATGGTGGAGTCAAAGGCACTGGGGAGGGTGGAGCAGGGAGAGACTTTGGACTTGGGAGTGCTCCTGGACCATCCCACCGTTCCCCCAGAGGAGCTATCATCTTGGCTTCCTTCCTGGACCCTGGAAAGGTGATGCCCAGGGTCAGAGACGCAGACTGATGGAGGCGGCAGGGGCACTGGCCTTGTGGGGCACAGAGCACTTGGGCATTTCTTGGGACAAAGCAAATGGCCGGAAGTCTCCTTCCCAGCCCTAGGCTGCTCAGGGATAGTTCTTTGACTAAATAGTATGATCTACTCAGCTGGGTCAACCACAGCCAGCTGGTGGCCTTTGGTCAGGACAGAAGGAAGGAAGAAGCAAACAGCATCTACAGCAGGTCAGGAGCCAGGATGCCACAGGGCGAGGCCTTGCCACGTGCTTATGACTGTGGGTGGGATGTGGCGCGTGCAGTGGCCGGGAGTGCAGGCGCAGCACAGACCCGCATTGTCTAGCGGCTGCTCTGCCGCAGGAGTCAGGTCCTTGCCCAACAGCTGGGTCCTCCCAGCCGTGCTCTTTTCACTGTCTTCTCACATCTGGTGCTCCAGCTACCAAGGGCTTCCTTCTCCAGACACAGGCCTCCCTTCTCCCAAGACTTTCTCATGTTGTTCTGCCTTCAGGGCTTTTCCCAAACCAGAGACTGATGTCGAGACACAGACCAAATTCCACCCTCCCGGCCAGAAGGCTCTTTTCTTGGGGATGATGTCTTAGCTCTGGTTGAGATCTCTGAGCCTGGGGCCCTGGAAGGTTCATCTCCTCCCTTCTGTCTCCCTGAGTTTCCCGCACAGAGGATATTAGTAGTTTTTGAGTAAGCAGATGAGTCAATTAAAGATCAGGCAGGAAAATGAGAGGGGTGGGTGAGCTGGTGAGTGGGTGAGCCGGTGAGAGGGTGAGCCGGTGAGAGGGTGAGCCGGTGAGAGGGTGAGCCGGTGAGCAAGCAGCCCAGTGGCTCAGCACAGCCCTCCCATGCACAAGGACACTGTATGGAGCGATGGGGAAATGTCTTCCTTTCCCTCGGGCTCTCAGCCTCAGGTCTGGAGTGGATAGAAGCTCTTGTGATATGGCTTTCTGTACCCACTTTGGGCCCCTGTGGACTCTGGGAGAAGGCCTTGAGTAGGTAGGGAGGCAGGGCAGTGACAAAGGACTTCCCCTCATCTTGTTGTGAGAGATTGGGACGGGAATGAGGCTCTGGAGAGGTAAAGGCTTTAAACACCTGAGAGCACAAGGGAAGTCACCTGAAGGATGCAACCTCCCAATATTGTGGTTTAAGATTATGTTGGTTTATCTGCTTATTGGCCCTGTCCACCTAGCCTACCCTCCCAAGTGCTTATTATCTATTCATCCATCATTTATTCACCCATCTGTCATCTATTCATCCATCAATCATTTATTCATCTATCTACCCATCATCCATCCACTCATCTACCCATCATCTATGTATCCATCCATCATCTGTCCATCCATCCATCCTCCACCATCCATCCACTCACCTACCCATCTCGCCATCCAACCATCCATCCATCCATCCACCCATCCATCCATCATTCATCCACTTATATACCCATCCCATCATCCATCCATCATCCATCCTTCTATTCAACCATTATCCATCCATCTATCCATCCATCCATCCATCATCCATCCATCCATCATCCATCCATCATTCATTCATCCATCATCCATCCACTTATATACCCATGCCATTATCCATCCATCCATCATCCATTCCTCTACCCATCCATCATCCATCCATCTATCCATCCATCATCCATCATCCATCCGTCCATCATCCATCCACTTATATACCCATGCCATCATCCATCCATCATCCATCCCTCTATCCATCCATCTATCCAACCATCATCCATCATCCATCCATCCATCACCCATCCACTTATATACCCATGCCATCATCCATCCATCCATCATCCATCCCTCTATCCATCCATCTATCCATCCATCATCCATCATCCATCCATCCATCCATTATCCATCCACTTATATACCCATGCCATCATCCATCCACCATCATCCATCCCTCTATCCATCCATCTATCCATCCATCATCCATTGTCCATCCATCCATCATCCATACACTTATATACCCATCCCATCATCCATCCATCCATCCATCCATCCATTCATCATCCATCTATTCATCTGTCATCCATCCATCCCTCATTCTATCATCTCTCCATTATTCATTCATCCATTTACCTGGGCATCTATACAACCAACCATCCTTCCTTCCACTCACTTGTCCTTCACTCATTATCTATCTTCCTACTCATTTACTGATGAAGTCTTCTGAGTGTTAGGACCAGTGCTGGGAATCAAGGGTAATTCAACGTGGTCTCTACCATTGAGGAATGCACAGCTGTAAGATGGTGTATTTTGCAGAATGTGGAAAGTCGTGGCCTCACTGTACTATTTCTCGGTCAGTTCTGACCAACTCACTGGAGCAGGAGCTCTGGAAGGGACAGAGATTTTGTCCAGTTGTTCACTACTGTATCCCCAACTGCAGGAACAGTGCCTGGCACATTGCAGATGCACAGGAAATATTTGTTGAGTAAACAGCACTGAGGAACGCAGACAGGTAGCATGGGATGGGCAGCAGGGGAGGGACTGGGCCGGCTGTCTTGGGGAAAATGCTGTGGGTACAGGACTTAAAGCTCTGTCTGGACATAATTTGGCAAATCTCTACCAGGATATTTTGGGGCTCAGCCACCATCAAATGTGTTGGGAGCTTCTGGGTCAGGCTGCTGTGGCAGACTGGAGGCTACTTTAGGGCGAAAGCCCTGGGGCACTGCAGGGCTGCAGGGAAGTGGCAATCAGACTGGTTGACCTCTGATGACCACTTCAGCTGGATGTTCCCTAAAAGGACGATCCCAGAGCTGCCCTGGTTCCAGAGTCCAGGCCCTAGGGGTTATCTGGCCCAACCATCATCCATTCAGGTGACGATGACTGGCCCGGATGGCAGGTGATTTTCTGGGGTCACCCAGGAAGCAGAGGCAGAGCTGGACTAGAACCCAGGCTTTCGGTTTTAAGGCAAGGGTTCAACTCCTCCCTTCATCTTCTCTTTTGGAAGACGAGTTTGATTGGCAGCTCGGGTCAGAAGGTTGCTTCTGGTGGGCAGGAGACTGGCAGGTGAGGGCCATCGTGTGGGCCAGGCCCGCACTCCCCACCACGTGTCTCCATTTTTGGGTTCATGTCGACCTTTCCAGGCTTGCCTGTGCTGGAAAAAAGGACAGGGCTTCCTCGGGCAAGCCCAGGGTCTCTCTCTTGCTTGCCCCACCCTAGGAAGCGGCTATGCCAGGCACGCTCCCTCTGTAGCCAACCCCTGGGGCTAGTGTATCTGGAAGAAGGCTCTGATTGCTGAGGTGGGAGCAAAGCAGTGTGGATTGCAGTGTGGACTGTGAGCCCGGACATCAAGAAGCAGGTTATTTGACCAACTTGGCTTTCACCCTGGGGGGGCCCATGGAGGAGCTGCCTCTCCAGGCTGAGCCTCACCTGTCTCATCTGCAGAATGGGGCCACAGTCCCTTCCCTGCTGCCCTCCCTCCTGGGTCTGACATGGCTGAGACTGCCCTTTGGGAGCTCTTCTGTAGTCCTGTGAGGAAGGAAGGGCACAGGTTGGTCCTTCTGGGCCTGAGAATGAAGGAGGCAGCAGAGGTGCTTAGGACCCCATGTGTCTGGAGAGGCCCTGCTGGTCAGGAGGCCACAGTCCCCGGCCAGGCCACAGAGGCTGCAGCTGTCCTGTAGCAGCAGCAGGGCAGGGGTGTTGCTGCCACCAAGGCTGTCCCCAGCCTGATCCTCACAGTCTTGGCTGTCATCTCTGAGCGTGTAATCATGGTTTCCAAGGACATGGGTGCCTGTGTTTGTGGGTGTGTCTGAAGGTGGAGCTGGGGCTGTGTCTGGCCGGGAGTCACATCTTGGGTGTATGTCTTACTTCTCATAGGCCAGTGTCTCCCCTTCCCTGGGGCTCAGCCTAGCCATAGGGCCCTGGCCTCTGTCACTCTTCTCCCCAACCAAGGAGAAAGCTGCCCTTGCCCTTCCCCTCTCCCCTTCGCTGCTCCCCTCCACTGCCTGAGATGGCTTCCTGGGTTTTCCTTCTCCACAGAGAATTCCCAGCCCTGTCCTCTGACCTCTCAAGTCCTCCCTGCTCTAGATTAGTATTTTTTTTTTTTTTTTTGAGATGGGCTTTTGCTCTGTTGCCCAGCCTGGAGTGCAATGGAGTGACCTTGGCTCACTGTAACCTCCACTTCCCAGGTTCAAGTGATTCACCTGCCTCAGCCTCCTGAGTAGCTGGGATGTTACAGGTGTGTGCCACCACACCCGGCTAATTTCTGTATTTTTAGTAGAGACGGAGTTTCACCATGTTGGCCAGGCTGGTCTTGAAATTCCTGATCTCAAGTGATCCACCCGCCTCGACCTCCCAAAGTGCTGGGATCATAGGCATGAGCCACTGCACGTGGCCTAGACCCAGCTTTGAATCTGGGCTTTGCCACCTGTCTGCTGCATGACCTTGGGCAGGTTGCTCTACCTACAGACAGAAGCCACATGTCTCCATGGGAGGCCTTCCTCTCCCTGACTTTGTGAATTAACAGCTAATTGGCGCTACAGGACAAGAGGAGACTAGAAGTCGTCCACCCTCACCTGCCCTCCCACTGAGACAAATGCATATCTACTTCCCCTGCGCATTTATGCTTATCTTATGTGAAGCACAGATTTACTGAGAGTGAAATGAATCCATAACTGACCGTTTCCTCTACTCGCCCCTTTTCATGTGCCACACGTGTACTCAGGAAGCAGAATCAAAGCCTCAGAAGAATGTGGCCCTATGCTCCCTTTTTTTTTTTTTTCTTTTTGAGATGAAGTCTCACTCTATCACCCAGGCTGGAGTGCAGCAGGTGTGATCTTGGCTCACTGCAATCTCCGCCTCCCTGGTTCAAGCAATTCTCCTCCTGCCTCAGCCTCCCCAGTAGCTGGGATTACAGGCATGTGCCCCCACGCCTGGCTAATTTTGTATTTTTAGTAGAAATGGGGTTTTGCCATGTTGGCCAGGCCGGTCTCGAACTCCTGACCTCAGGTGATTCACCTGCTTCGGCTTCCTAAAGTGCTAGGATTACAGGTGTGAGCCCCTGCTCCTGGCCTGCTCCCTCTTTTTTTTTCTTCCCTCCTTCCTCTCCTGCGCACTTTCCCCCTGTAAATATCGAAGCCCTCAAATCCTGCTCATAGGAGAAAGTGCGGCCACGGACCCCACTGTGTTACATCTCGTTTACGGGTATGTCCTCAACTTTGGCTAAATAACCCTCTCCAGTAACTGAGTTCGCCTCAGTCCTGTTCTGGGGTTTTATACTTGACCAGCAGCTTCCCGGTGTCCGTCTGTGAGATGCAGGTGATGACACTGAGGGCTCCCAGGAGGGCTGGGCGGGGCCATGTGGGCTCAGAGGTGGCGGGTGTGTGCTCAGCATGAGGGCACACTCTGTGGCTGGAGGCAGCAAACAGGCCGACAGGCTCTGCCCAGCTGGGCCCTCACAGGCTTCCTCCATGTTCCCTCAGTGCACACTTCTTCCTGGAGATAGAGGGGTTCGAGCCCAACCCCACGGTGGCCAAGACCTCTCCCCCTGTCTTCTCCAAGCCCATGGACTCCAACATCCGGCAGTGGTGAGTACTGGCCCAGCCCCCACCCCCACCCTCCTCACCCCCGCCTTGGGCGCAGCCCTCAGCTCCAGTATGGGGACAGTGACTCCCCCTGGGCCACAGGGCCAGGCCTGGCTGTGGGAGGTTACTGCTATTATCAAACTTAATTATTGGCCGGGCGAGGTGGCTCACGCTTGTAATCCCAGCACTTTGGGAGGCCAGGGCAGGCGGATCATGAGGTCAGGAGATCAACACCATCCTGGTCAACATGGTGAAACCCGTCTCCACTAAAATACAAAAAATTAGCTGGGTGTGGTGGTGCACACCTGTAGTCCCAGCTACTTGGGAGGCTGAGGCAGGGGAATCACTTGAACCTGGGAGGCAGAGATTGCAGTGAGCTGAGATTGAGCCACTGCACTCTGGCCTGATGACAGAGCAAGACTCCATCTCAAAAAACAAAACCAAAAACTTTACTATTATTATTAATAATTATTATTATTATTTTGACTTCATCTTTTTTTGAGATGAAGTCTCACTTTGTTGCCCAGGCTGGAGTGCAGTAGCCCAGTTTCAGCTCACTGCAACCTCCACCTCTGAGTTTAAGCATTTTTCCTGCCTCAGCTCCCAAGTACTGGGATTAGAGGCACATGCCACCACCCCTGGCTAGTTTTTGTATTTTTAGTAGAGATGGGGCTTCACCATGTTGACCAGGCTGGTCTTGAACTCCTGACCTCAAGTGATCCACTGGCCTTGGCCTCCCAAAGTGCTGGTATTACAGGCGTGAGCCACCGTGCCCAGCCCATTTTAAAACTTTAAAACCCTCTCCGTTCCCTCCCCCAACACCTCTAGCATCTCTGGCAACTGTGATGACATGGACTCCCCTCAGTCTCCTCAGGATGATGTGACAGAGACCCCATCCAATCCCAACAGCCCCAGGTAAATCTGGCCCTCCCCCTCCTCCCACTGTGCCCACCCTTGAGGCTGGGGATGCCAGAGAAACAGGATAGGGATCCTGCAGGAAAGAGAAAGAAGCCAGCATTCCTGGGGGTTGGGAAAGTGGGGTCACAGATCCATGATATGTGGGAGATTTGGGGAGAAGGAGTAGGGCGTTGAATTCCCTAATACCCATTCATTCTGAGATGTTCAACAGCAGGCTGCAGTGGAATAACGTTAGCGTCTATGTGAATTAAAATACACTCGTGCCCAACACCCATATGCATTCTGCAAGAACACATACAGACAAAGAGATGTTGAGGCATTACCACAGTTGCTTATCTGCAGGGGGAGGACAGGGAGGGATCGATTTAAAAAGTTCAAACAGAAAACAGAACACTGATGTTCTCACTGGTAAGTGGGTGTTGAACAATGAGAACACATGGGCACAGGGAAGGGAACATCACACACTGAGGCCTGTCGGGGGTTGAGGGGCTAGGGGAGGGATAGTATTAGGAGAAATACCTAATGTAGATGACGGGGTGATGGATGCAGCAAACTACCATGGCACATGTATGCTTGTGTAATAAACCTGCATGTTCTGCACATGTACCCCAGAACTTAAAGTATAATAATAATTAAAAAGTTCAAACAACACAAAATATGCAATCTCACATTTTTAAGGCAATGTCTATTAACAGTTAGGCATGTGTCCTTCCTGACCATTGCTGCATGCATCCAAATACAGATATTTTGACAAAATGTGATTGCCTCTGCATTATGAGGGGCTCCTGATGGGTCTGCACAGAGCCGAGTGGGTTGTGGGCCTAGTGACAGGCGTGGGGCCGGCGCGGCGCCCTGTGGGCAGCTCTGACAGGGAAAAGAAGGGGCTGAGGTTGAGAGGACGTGTGTGGCGAGCTGGAAACACTGTCTGGCTTCAGTGCACACCAGGCGAGGGAAGCGCAGAGGAGGCGGAAGCGGCGGCTGAAGAAACGCATCTTCGAAGCGGTGTCTGAGGGCTGCGTGGACGAGCTGCTGGAGCTGCTGGTGGAGCTGCAGGAGGTTTGCAAGCGGCGCCGAAACCAGGACGTGCCTGGTCAGTGGCTGAGCCTGGCGGAGGGTACAGGGCTGGGGTCCTGCTTGGCTTCGGGTGCCCACCTTCCCCTCCCCTCAGCAACCTGTGGGGCTGGAGTGTGAGGAGCCCTGCATGCTGGCTAGGGACTCTGAACTTGACTCTGAGGGGGACAGGAGCCACAGAAGGGTTTGGGCAGGTGAGATCGTGGTCTGACACTGTGTGGAAGGTGGGGGTAAAGCTGGAGAAGGCCATCGTCCAGGCAGGGCTGGGACCCTGAAGCAGGGTTTGAGAAGGGGAGGGGTTCTGAGGGGCTCCCCAGGTGTCGGCATTGGCAGGACTCAGGACCTGGGGAGAGGGGGCGAGGAGGAGAGGGGAGTCCAGCATGGTGCCGTTTAGGCTTGGGTAACTTGGTGGATGCTGGAGCCCTGGCTGTCTCCAGGACCAGGACAGTATCAGGTTGATGGGGAGTCCATGAGCTTTATTTGCAGGCCACAGGGAGGGAAGGGGCAGGGTGGAGACAGAGATTCCAGGGTGGGAATGCACAGTGGGAAGCCATACAGTGGACACAGAGGAACAGGCCTCAGAGGAGGCTCCCGTGGGCCACAGAGAGCAAGGAACCCGCAAAGGAGATGGCAGAGGAACAGCTGGAGAGGGAGGAGGAGAGCCGCAGTATGAGGTCTGGGAGCGACGTCTGGAGGTCTGCAGCTGCAGTCCCACCTCCTCCGGGCTGTGAGGGCCCAGGGCAGTGGGCCTCCCCTATAGCTCCATCCCTGCCTGCAGACTTCCTTATGCACAAGCTGACGGCCTCAGACACGGGGAAGACCTGCCTGATGAAGGCCTTGTTAAACATCAACCCGAACACCAAGGAGATAGTGCGGATCCTGCTTGCCTTTGCTGAAGAGAACGACATGCTGGGCAGGCTCATCAATGCCGAGTACACAGAGGAGGCCTACGAAGGTACCCTGCCGCCAATGGGCTTCGCCTCGGGGTCCGAGGGTGGGTGCGGGGCTGCAGGGCCACTGCCAGCCACACCACGTGGAGCCACTGCTGCCACTGAGAAGCCCCAAGCATGCAGCACGGGGCCAGGGACGCTGCAGGCACCCCTCTTTCTTCCTTCACTCTGCAAGTAATTTTGAGCACCATTTACATGCCAGGCATTGCTTTTGGCAGTGCCATCTGCTGGCGAATAAGAGATTAAAGTCACTGCTCTAAGGCTGGGCGCGGTGGCTCACACCTGTCATCCCAGCACTTTGGGAGGCTGAGGCGGGCAGATCACCTAAGGTCAAGAGTTCAAGACCAGCCTGACCAACATGATGAAACCCCATCTCTACTAAAAATACAAAAATTAGCTGGGCATTGTGGCAGGTGCCTGTAATCCTGGCTACTCAGGAGGCTGAGACCTGGGAGGTGGAGGTTGCAGTGAGCTGAGATCCTGCCACTGCACTCCAGCCTGAGCGACAGAGCAGGACTCCATCTCAAAATAAATAAATAAAGTAAGTCACTGCTCTAAATAAGGTAATTTTAGATTAAAAATGCTATGAAGGCTGGGTGCAGTGGCTCAGGCCTATAATCCCAGCACTTTGGGAGTCTGAGGCTGGTGGATCATGAGCTTAGGAGATCGAACCATCCTGGCTAACGTGATGAAACCCCATCTCTACTAAAAATACAAAAAATTAGCTGGGTGTGGTAGTGTGCACCTGTAGTCCCAGCTACTCAGGAGGCTGAGGCGGGAGAATTGTGTATCTGGGAGGCAGAGGTTGCAGTGAGCCAAGATCACACCACTGCACTCCAGGCTGGGTGACAGAGCAAAACTCTGTCTCAAAAAAAAAAAGCTAGTGAAGATAGTGTGACAGAAAGTGACTGTTTGGGAAGGGCCACTTTAGAGTGGACAGTCAGGGTGGTCACCTTTGGCCTGAGGCCTGCATGAGGAGAGGGACCAGGGCGAGAGCTCCCAGACAGGACTGGGCTTGGCATGCTTGAACAGTGGAAAGAAGGCTGGAAGTGAGGCAGGAGAGCCGGGCACGGGCCACTGAAAGTCAGCTGTTAGCAGCATCATCATTAATTGTCCCTGTTTGGGTCTCAGTTTTGTGGATTTCCTTGTAAGTGGGCCAGAGACGGGGCTGGGAGACCAGGTTTGGGAGAGAGGTTCCCTGCCAGCAAATCCACTTGGGAAAAGCAGTGAGGTGTGTCCTTACTTGAGTTTTGGAGTCAGCAAACAGCCCTCTAGGGTCTTATGAGGTGTTTGTGGCAAAGGTGATTGGCTCAAGGATAACTGGATGCGGTCCCGTTGACATGCCAGGGGCACTCAACAGTTTAGCATTTTATTTTTTTTTGGAGGAGGAGTCTCACTCTGTCGCCCAGGCTGGAGTGCACTGGTGTGATCTCTGCTCACTGCAACCTCTGCCTCCCGAGTTCAAGTGATTCTCCTGCCTCAGCCTCCCACCTAACTAGGATTATTTTTTTTGTATTTTTAGCAGAGACGGGGTTTCACCATGTTAATCAGGCTGGTCTCAAACTCCTGACCTCAGATGATCCACCCACCTCCGCCTCCCAAAGTTCTGGGATTACAGACATGAGCCACCATGCCTGGTCACATTTTAGCTTTTTCCAGGTGGGAATCTAGCTTGGGCCTTTAACCCTTCTCATGGGAGAAAGTAATTGTGATCTATTATTTGAACTCTGCAGATTTTCAAAAGCATTTTTGTTATATATAAGAAGTCAAAGATTGTGACAAACTAGAAGGTATGCAGTGGAGGAGAGGAAACCTAGGGAAGGTTGCTGCTACTGAGTGCTAAACTGCACACTGAGCTCCCTGGTAGCCAAAGCAAAGAGAGAAACTAGATGAACCATATCATATTCTCAGCCTGTCTCTAGGGAGTTGACAGCAGTCCCGTAGACAGGAAGGTTCAGGCCAGTGCCTTAAGCTTGCTTGTCCTAATTCTCCTCCCTTCTCAGTCCCCTTGTCTCCTGCTTTCTTCTTGTCAGTATTGCAGGATTTATTAGCCTTTGCTAGCAGCATGTTTCCTTTGAGGGCAGGGATGAAGTCCGCTGAACATAGTTGATTTCCTGGTGCCCTTACGGTCTCACATAGGAGATGCTTAACATGTATTTTTTGAATGAGTGAATAAAAGAAGGTTGTTAGTGTTTCTATTGAGGCTTTGCTGTCCTGGTCACAAACACATTCCTCTCTCTGTTCTCGGCCTCCCCTTTTGCTTTCCTTCTTTCATGAATCTGCCTCTTGCTGGGGCGAGGAGGTCTGGGGTGCTGTGGGCACCTACTCTCTCTCTGAATGGTGGGAGGAGCCATTTATTCCTGTCTTCCTGGAAAGCAGATCCACCACCCTTCCACCCTCTCTGCTGATGCCTCCCTTCCTCTCAGCGTTTCCTGCACCTGGAGCAGAGGGGCTCCGGGACCAGCAGAGCAGCACTATTCCACACTTTGGGCAGGTTATCATGCTTCTCTGAGCCTCAGTTTCCCCACTGGGCAAGGGCTAACATTTCTCCCCTATGCTGCTAAAGAGGAACCAATCACAACTTTATTAATATCATTTTAAAGCATTTTATCAGAGGCCTTCAGAGTTTTACTTTTTAAAGCAATTATTCAATTAAGACATTTTATAAAAGTTTTAAACCTAAAGTTAAGATATTAGCATAATAAACCTCTACACATCCATCATCAGATTCAACAAAACAGTTTATTTTTATTGTTTTACTTTATCTTATTTTTATTTTTGAGATAGGATCTCACTCTGTTGGGTATGCTGGAGTGCAGTGGTGTGATCACGGCTCACTACAGCCGTGACCTTCCCGGGCTCAGGTAATTCTCCATCCCAGCCTCCTGAGTAGCTGGGACTATAGGTGTGCACCACCACGCCCAGCTAATTTTTCTATTTGTTGTAGAGATAGGGTTTCGCCATGTTGCCCAGGCTGGTCTCAAACTCCTGGGCTCAAGTGATCCTCCTACCTCTGCCTCTCAAAGTGCTGGGATTTCAGGAGTGGGCCACTACCCTGGCCTAACTATTTTTAACTACATCCACATCCCATGAATAGAGTTTCATTGTAAAGCAGTCCAACATTTCAGATAAGTTTTTGTTAGGGCCTTTACCCATATGCTTTGAGGAGTTTCCTAGGCTTTTGACATATGTGCGTGTATACGTGCGCACAGGAGAGATTTTATTTATTTATTTAACATAAAATAGTATCATACTGTCTGTATTCTACAAGTTATTGTTGTTTTTGATTGACTATATGTCTTAGAACACTTTTTTTTTTTTTTTTGGAGATGGAGTTTGGCTCTTGTTGCCCAGGCTGGAGTGCAATGGCATGACCTCCGCTCATTGAAACCTCCGCCTCCTGGGTTCAAGCGATTCTCCTGCCTCAGCCCCAGGATTAGCTGGGATTATAGGCGCCTGCCACCATGCCCGGCTAATTTTTGTATTTTTAGTAGAGATGGGGTTTCTCCATGTTGGTCAGGCTAGTCTTGAACTCCTGACCTCAAGTGATCTGCCCGCCTCAGCCTCCCACAGTGCTGGGATTACAGGCATGAGCCACCGCGCCCAGCCTTAGGGCACTTCTTATGCCAAAATGTGAAAGTCTAGCTTCTTTCCAGCAGCTTAGTCTGCGCCACAGCTAATTTCACTGCCCCCCCACCCCCAATGGCAGACAGTCGTCAGGCGCTTCCAGTTGTTTTGCTGTGACAATGTTGCAGTGCACGTTCTTGTCTATGACCCTGTGCACAGATGCACGTATGTTTTAGAAAACACTTTGCATTGGAATATTTGGGTTCAAATGCATGCACATTTAAAGTTATAATAGTGTGACTCACACCTGTAATCCCAGCATTTTGGGAGGCTGAGGTGGGCGGATCACCTGAGGTCAGGAGTTTCAAGACCAACCTGGCCAACATGGTAGAACCCCATCTCTACTAAAAATACAAAAATTAACCAGGCGTGGTGGGTCGTGCTTGTAATCCCAGCTACTCAGGAGGCTGAGGCAGGAGAATTGCTTGAACCTGGGAGGCGGAGGTTGCAGTGAGCCCAGATAGCGACATTGCACTCCAGCCTGGGCGACAGAGTGAGATCCTGTGTCAAACAAAACAAACAAAACACCCCAAACCCAAAAGCCTTTTTGTAAGCCAGTGTGCCAGCCTTCTCTTTGTGGTTTCTGCCTTTCGGACCTTGCTTAAGAAGAAGCAAGATCTTCGGATCTTCCCTACCAAAAGGTTAGTTATAAATTCCTAATTTTTTTTAAAGCTTAATTCTTTAATTCACCATTTATTTACAGCATGGTGGCAGCTCTTTGGGAAATGCTGTTTCTGTTGGTACATGTTGAGACCCTCCCCTCCTCCCAGCCTCTGTCCCCTCCATCTGAAAGTTCTCCAGCCTCTAGCAGGCTGAATGCCTCTCCCTCTGCCCTTCCTGCTCAGTCTCCAGCATACAATTCACTTCCCGCCAGGGCCAGATGCTAGCCTTACCTGAGACACCCTTCTCCCCAGCCCATGGTCCTTAGGGTCCTCGGACGTCCTGCTTTCTCCACTCTTCATGTGCCCTCTGCCTCTTCTTAGCTCAGGCCTCCTCATTTTTTTCGGCTGCCTCTAATGCATCCTCCAATTTTGCAGCCCGAGAGATCTGAAAGCACCCAGGCACCAAACTCCAACTTCTGGTCTGGCCAGTTCCCTACTTCAAGGCCTTCTGTGACTTTAGCGCTTAGGATAAGCTCCACCCTCTTAGCCTGGCTTAGGAGCTGGCCCCACCCAACCTCCTAGACTTTTGAGGTCCCAGGTGAGAGCCTCTGGGAAGACCCCGATGCTCTCTGGCTGTGAAGGGCCCTTGCTCTTGGTCCCCCAGCTCCTGCCCCTCTCTGAATCATGGCACTTAGTTCTCAGTGGCACTGTGGGCTTTTCTTTTTTTTTTTTTTTTTGAGATGGAGTCTCACTCTGCTGGAGTGCAATGGATCGGTCTCAGCTCACTACAACCTTCACTTCCTGGGTTCAAGCGATTCTCCTGCCTCAGCCTCCCGAGTAGCTGGGATTACAGGCACGCACCACCACGCCCAGCTAATTTTTGTAATTTTAGTAAAGACGCGGTTTCACCATGTTGGCCAGGCTGGTCTCGAACTCCTGACCTCAGGTGATCCACCCACCTCGGCCTCCCAAAGTGCTGGGATGATAGGCGTGAGGCACCTGGCTCAGCCACTGTGGCCTCTTGAGGAAAATCAGGGACACTGCGTCTGTGCACCCCTGACCCCTGAACCCCCCCACCGCCCCCGTACTGGTGCCGGAGCTCGAAGCAGGCGCTCCTCATGCGCTCCTTGGGCCGTGGAAGCCTGAAGGAAGCAAAGAATAAAGCTGGGATTCCCGGTGGCGGGAGACACAGTGAAGAGCCCTGATTTCCCTGTGGTTCGCGGGAGGGTGTGGCGGCCACAGAGGGCGGGCGGGCCAGCCCCCTCCCCCGCCCCCGCCCCCCGGTGCTGAGGCTCCCGCGCCCACGTCCCCCGGTCCGCAGGGCAGACGGCGCTGAACATCGCCATCGAGCGGCGGCAGGGTGACATCACGGCGCTGCTCATTGCTGCCGGCGCCGACGTCAACGCCCACGCCAAGGGGGCCTTCTTCAACCCCAAGAACCAGCACGAGGGCTTCTACTTCGGTGGGTGCTGCCCCCGCCCAGCGCCGAGTCTGGGAGGAAGGAGGAGGGAGAGGGAGGGAGGGAGGAGGGAGAGGGAGGAGGGAGGAGGGAAGGGGAGGAGGAGGGAAAGGGAGGAGGAGGGAAAGGGAGGAGGAAGGAGGAGGGAGAAGGGAGGAGGAAGGAGGAGGGAGAAGGGAGGAGCAAGGAAGGAAGAGGGAGGAGGAATGAAGGAGGAGGGAGAAGGGAGGAGCAAGGAAGGAAGAGGGAGGAGGAATGAAGGAGGAGGGAGAGCGAGGGAGGAGGGAGGGAGGGAGAGCGAGGGAGGAGGGAGGGAGGGAGAGCGAGGGAGGAGGGAGGGGGGATGGAGAGGGAGGAGGGAGAAGGAGGGAGGGAGGAGGGAGAGGGAGGTGGGAGGAAAGAATAGGGAAGGGGAGGAGGAAGAAGGAGGGAAAGGGAGGAGGGGGAGGTAGGATGGAGAGGAAGGAGGGAGAGGGAGGAGGAAAGAGGGAGATGGAGGAGGGAGGAAGGAAGAGGGCGGGAGGAATGAGGGAGGAGGGAGAGGGAGGAAGGAAGGAGGGAGGAAAGAAGAGGGAAGGAAGAAGGGAGAGGGAGGAAGAGAGGAGAAAGGGTGGAGGGAGGAAGGGAGGGGCAGCCTCGCACTGCACTCCACCCCCACGGTCAAGAGGCTCTGGTGCCCCAGAGGACAGAGCTGGGCCGGGAAGAGGCTGGAAATGTCCATCTGGGAGGACACCAGTGTGGACCAGAGAAGAAGGGTCTGGGAGGTGGCGGGGGGAGGAGCCCACATTCTGGGGGTGTCACCTGGTGGTCTTAGAAGCATGGTGCTGGACATCCCTCTGAGGAAACAGAGACCTGGGAGGGAGGCCAAGGAGGCAACCGCATTTTACAGGCGAGGAGACCGCTCTGCGAAGGGGAAGGACTTGCCCCAGTGTAGCAGGGCATTGACTTCAACGTCCTGGCCTCCAGCCCTGGCCTCCGCGCCGGGGTCCAGTGCCTCTCAGGACTGCAAACAGGGAGTGAGAGGACCAAACTCCTCTGCCCGACAAGTTACAGAGTCCAAAAGCAACTGGGGTTAGGATGCTCTATGAAAAAAAATGGAAATGCATAATGTAGACAGAGTGAAATCCAGCCGTTTAGAGCACAGTTCTGTTCATTTTCACAGCATGGACGGTTGGCTAACCACCACTGCAATCAGGACAGGAACCAAAGGCTCAGTCACACCCAAAAGTTCTCTGTGCAACTTTGTTGCAGAGGAAACCCTTCCTCCCATCCAGTCTTGCCTGACTGGCATCACCCATCTGTTTTCTCTTCTGGGTGTTTTGAAGATGGAGTCTCACTCTGTTGCCCAGGCTGCTGGAGTGCAGTGGCACAATCTCCGCTCACTGCAACCTCTGCCTTCTGGGTTCAAGTGATTCTCACGCCTCAGCCTCCTAAGTAGCTGGGACTATCTTCTGGGTAGTTTTTTTTATCAGCAGGACTAGCTAGCCTGCACTCTGGGCAGCCCTGGGTATCCGGGTCTGGGTGTTCCGGTCTGGGTGTCCTGGCAAACAGGGTATTGTCCAGTTCCTAGTGTGTACCATTGCCCTGCACGGAGAACCTGGTTGGAGCCAGTGTAATATGACAGGAAATAAGTGCTCTTCAAAAATGCAGAGTAAAGCAGAAGACAGGAATTAGGAGTTCTGTCTGGGGCAAGAGGGGGTGGATTTTAATTTAATTAATTAATTTATTTATTATCATTTTTGAGACGAAGTCTCCCTCTGTCGCCCAGGCTGGAGTGCAATGGCTTGATCTTGGCTCACAACAACCTTCACCTCCCAGGTTCAAGCAATTCTCTTGTCTCAACCTCCCAAGTAGCTGGGATTACAGGCATACACCACCACACCCAGCTAATTTTTGTGTGTTTTTAGTAGAGACAGGGTTTCTCCATGTTGGTCAGGGTGATCTCGAACTCCCGACCTCAGGTGATCCGCCTGCCTTGGCCTCCCAAAGTGCTGGGGTTACAGGCGTGACCCACCGCCTTATTTTAATTTTAATAGAGTTAAACAGTTCAATTTTAAATAGAGTTAAATAGTTTTAAATTCTTTAGTTTTAAATAGAGCCAGTTAGGCCGGATCACTGAAAGGTGATGTTTGAGCAAGTACTCGAAGGAGGTGAGGGAGCGAGGGACTGGCTGTCTACGAGCAGAGGGAACAGCCAAGCAAAGGACCCGGGCTGGCCGCGTGTTGGAGGAAAGCCATTGTCAGGGGGAGTGAGTGATGGGAGAGGAGGAGAGGTCAGAGGACACAGGGCTTTGTGGGTATCGTAGGAATCCGAGCTTTTATTCTGGGGGAGGCGCTAACAGTAACAGGTTGGTCTGGCTGCTGTGCCCAGCAGGGAGGCCAGTCAGGAGGCTGCGCACTGATGTAGCTTCAGCCACCCCCACAGAAGCAGGAGATGGGGAGAGGACCAGGGAACCTCACTTGCCGATCCTGCTGAGATAGGATGTGGGCCCCAGTCCTGGGGCTTGGGGATGCTGCTTGCGGCCCAAGCCAAGGACCCAGAACCCAGCTTTGGCGCCCTCCTCTCCCAGGCGAGACGCCCCTGGCCCTGGCGGCGTGCACCAACCAGCCCGAGATCGTGGAGCTGCTGATGGAGCACGAGCACACCGACATCGCCTCCCAGGACTCGCGGGGCAACAACATCCTCCACGCCCTGGTGACCGTGGCCGAGGACTTCCAGACGCAGAACGACTTCGTGAAGCGCATGTACGACACGATTCTGCGGCGCAGCAGCAGCTGGGAGCTGGAGACCACACGCAACAACGACGGCCTCACGCCACTGCAGCTGGCGGCCAAGCTGGGCAAGGCCGAGGTGCGGCCCGGGGAGCGGTAGGCGGGGCCCGGGGACTGAGGGGCGGGGGACGGGGTCGGGAGGCACAGCGGCCACTCCCTCAGCCCCCGGGGCCCCCGACGGGGGATCCACAGAGCACAACCGCGGGCTTGGGAAGGTCCCAGCCTGAGGTCCAGAAATGCAGTGTCTGCCGAGGTGGGTTTGTTCTGAGGGGCCCCACGGAGCTGGCGCCATGCGGCCTGTGCACCCCATCCCCACATTTCTGTCCCCAATCCGCCACGTTTCCATCCCTTGTCCTGGAAGGGCTGCGCTGGGGGAGCCTGAGGCTGAGGTGACACCGTAGCCCCCGCAGGGCTGAGTGGGTGGCCCTCGGGGACTTCTGCCCCTCATGAGGACGGGAGTTTCAGGACTGCTGCTCCGGCCCGGAACCAATGGGCTGCCATTTCCCAGTTATGGAGAGACCCCAGCCTGGCTGTCGGGTTGGAACTCCGTGCCACGTCCCCAGCAGAGTGTGGCTGCTTCAGGCCCTTCTTTCCTTGTGTGAGGCGGCTGAAAAGTCTAGGCTTGGCTGGGAGCCTTGGTGAAGGCTGGACGGATCTCTTTCAGGGGCTGGAATAATGGCTGGGCCTCATGTTCTGGGGGACTGATCCTGGGGACCCAGCGTGTTCCGCAGCCTCACTTTCTCTGCCCTCTGCGAGGAGGCCGTGGCTCCCAGAAGCCGCAGGAGGACGCTGGGGGGGGGGGTGGCTATTGAGTAATCACAGCGGTGCCAGCCTCGGGGTACCCACCCCCGTCAGCTGCCCTGAGGGTCTTGGTCCTGTCCCAAGTGGCCAGGGCTGGGCCCCACAAGGGCCCTTTTTATTCTCCCGTGGGGGAGGAGGAGCTGGAAAAAGGCTTCAACAGAGGAGGGATTGTGTGGCTGCCTCCCCGCGACTTCTGCCCACCCTCAGGGCCACAGTTTGCCGAGGCTTTGAGGAGTCAGCTTGTGGTTGCAGATGGAGCTTTCTCCAAGGCCAGCTTCCCTGTGTGCCACTGTGGTGTGTGCTGTGCCTGCCGCCCCAGCCCAGGGAGGAGGCTTCCTGCATGAAGCATGGCCCCAGGAGCCCTTGTTCTCTAGGCTCACAGTGTGCCCGCTGTGGCCAGCCTGGGGGAGGCACCTGTCCGCTGCTCCCCTCCTCTGTTCCATGTCCTCCAGAAAACTTTTCTGGATGCTGCCCAGGTTGCCCACCGTCCTTGGGCTTTTACAGGCTGGGGTGCGGGACAGAGAGACTTGGCCTTATCCCTAGGAGCTCTCTGGCTGGGCTCTCATGACAGACGGGATGGAACCCCCTGGGTCAGCTGAGACCAGGCCTTGGACGCTGTCCTTCCCAGCAGTCCCTTCCTCTTGGGTCTTGAGTTGGTGCCCTAGGAAGCCCATGTCCCCATCCTGGGGTGACCCAGGGCTCACCTTTCAGGAGGTAAGAAGCCAGAGAGCAGCAGCTCTGCATCCAAAATCTGATCCCTGCACTTGGATTCACCCAGGAAGCTTTGAAAAATAGACTCCAGATCCCACCCTAGAGATTTCCAGTTCATTAACTGATGCTGTGGGGTTTTTTTTGTTTTTGTTTTTGTTTTTTTGAGACAGAGTCTTGCTCTGTTGCCAGGCTAGAGTGCAGTGGCTCGATCTCGGCTCACTGCAACCCCCGTCTCCTGGGTTCAGGTGATTCACCTGCCTCAGCCTTCCGGAGTAGCTGGGACTAAGGTGTGCACCACCATGCTCAGCTAATTTTTGTATTTTTAGTGGAGACGGGGTTTTGCCATGTTAGCCAGGATGGTCTCCATCTCTTGACCTTGTGATCCTCCTGCCTTGGCGTCCCAAAGTTCTGGGATTACAGGTATGAGCTGCTGCGTGTGGCTTTTTTTGAGACAGTCTCACTTCATCGCCCAGGCTGGAGTGAAGTGGTGTGATCTCGGCTCGCGGCAACCTCCGTCTCCCAGGTTCAAGTGATTCTCCTGCTTCAGCCTCCTGAGTCTGTGATTATAGGCATGCACCACCATGCCCAGTTTATTTTTATATTTTTGGTAGAGATGGGGTTTCATCATGTTGGCCAGGCTGGTCTCGAACTCCTGACCTCAAGTGACCCACCTGCCTCAGCCTCCCAAAGTGCTGGGATTGCAGGCGTGAGCTATGGGAATTTCTGTTTCCCAGTGACCCTAATACGGAGCAGAGTTTCGAAGATCACTAACCTACCAATGTCCCATGGGCCTCCCTGTAGGGGGTGGTGCCTATCGTCACCGCCCATCTGGCCAGAGTGGTGAGCCACAGCTGGAGGGGTCTTGGCTAAGGGTGGGCTGGGGGCAGCTGGGAAAACTTCTGGCTTCTTCTCAAGTCCAGAACAAATGGAAACTGGTTCTAAGAAATCATCAGCGCCTCCATTTTTCACTGAACCGGGGCTGCAGCTGGTGTGAGGATTTCGAGCTGATTGTGCAGCTTGCTGCAGCCTGCACAGAACCTTCACACCTTTTTCCCTGGTATTCACAACCTCCCATGAGATGGGCACAATGGCAAGCTTCATGCATGTTCCACAGATAAAGATGGGGCCCCGGGGCCACCGTGCCAGGCGCAAAGGCAGGTCTCCACCTGTCCTGGGCCCAGCCTGCCTCTGGCTGGCCCAGCCCTGCTAGCCACAGCCCCTGTTCTGCAGCTGACGGCTGTGCCTCATCCTGTCCTAGATCCTGAAGTACATCCTGAGTCGTGAAATCAAGGAGAAGCGGCTCCGAAGCCTGTCCAGGAAGTTCACGGACTGGGCGTACGGACCTGTGTCGTCCTCCCTGTACGACCTCACCAACGTGGACACCACCACAGACAACTCAGTGCTGGAAATCACTGTCTACAACACCAACATCGACGTGGGTCTCTCGGGAAGGCTGGGCAGGGCACCGAGGGCTGGGCCTCAGGCCAGGGGCTCACAGACGCTGGGAAGACCCAGTGCTCCCAGCCCTCCCCGCCATGTCTGCCTCCCACGCTCCTTTGCCTTAGTGGGCAGAGTCAGACACAGAAGGGGAGGCCTGGGACAGATGCTGGGCCCAACTCTTCCTGGTTGACCTTGGACTGTAGACCTGAGTGGTGGTGATTGGGGGGGTCTTCTGGACCCAGTATCCAGGGCGGTGTGGATGTGGGTGTGAGTGTGGGTGTGGGCGAAAGGGTGGTTGGGGCTGATCCTTTACATATTTTGTCTCTCCTATCCCCTGTTGCTGTATATGACCAGGCTTAGAATGCTTTCTCTCCCAAAAACTTGTCCCAAATGAGGGTCAGAGAGTGCACTGCTGGAGAAATCAGGGGGGCCTTCCTGGAGAAGGCTAGCAGGAAGAGTTTGGTGCAAATGAAGGTGAAGAGAGGAGCAGCTGGATGCTGCCCAGGTTGGCCACTGTCCTGGGGCTTTTATAGGGTTTATAGGCTGGGGTGCGGGATATAGAGACTTGGCCTTATCCCTAGGAGCTCTCTGCCTGGGCTCTCCTGACTGATGGGATGGGAATCCCCTGGGTCTGGTGAGACAGGCATCGGACACTGTCCTCCTGTGAACAGGAGCACCTGTCCACTCTAACAGGTGAAGCGTGTTCAGCTTTTGGGGGAAGCGGGGCAGCAAAACATTCCTCCTTCATGTTTTACCAAGAGTTGTGCTTCTCAGAGTCTCCTGGCCTTGGGTCTTCCCAGCGCCTCACAGCAGCCTGGCTGGCAGGACAGGGATTGTTCGCAGTTGTATAGGTGAGGAGTCTGAGGCCCAGAGAGGGTCAGGCTGTCCCGAGGTCACACAGCGAATGAGGGGCAAATTGGGGCTGGAACTGCTGTCACCACCTCCTGCCCACTTCTAGCCTTCACTTTCTGCTGTGCTTCGGGTCCTCCTGCTAAAACCCGGGCTCTGGCGGCCTTTGCTGCCCAAGCACCCTGGGGAGGAGCCTCAGGAGCCGTCATCACCCTCCCAGCATTTCCAGCCAAACCAGTCCACTGGGCGTAATCATGGCCCCTTCCCCCAGGGCGACGCTGACTGGGAGCTCCCACCGGCCTTTTGAACTCGGTGCCCCCTCCTCCCTCGCCTCCATGTGACTGCTGGCCTTCCCCCGCAGAACCGGCACGAGATGCTGACTCTGGAGCCGCTGCACACGCTGCTGCGAATGAAGTGGAAGAAGTTTGCCCAGTACATGTTCTTTCTGTCCTTCTGCTTCTACTTCTCCTACAACATCACCCTGACCCTCGTCTCATACTACCGACCCCGGGAGGAGGAGGTATGTGGGCCCCTTGCAGGGGGAAGAGTGGGTGGTCACAGCTGGAGCTGCCCCACGTGCAGACGGGGAAACTGAGCCCCAGGGAGGCCAGGGGATTTGGGTGGGCCCCCAGTCGTCCTTCACACTTTCTAGGGAACTGAGTTTGTCTCCAGTGTTTGGCTGGGCTAAGGCCCAGGTGCTGAGTCCCAGGTAGACCCATGTTGGGGGAAGTTGGAGAATTCAGAGACTCAGGCTCAGCCCAGGGTCTCTGTCTAAATACAGAACTGGTCGGGTATTTCTGCTGTGAGGGCTGCAGGAAATGGGAGGGGGCTAAGCACTCCCTGCCTGCTGGGCCTCGGTTTCCCATCCGTCACATGGGGCACGGAGCCTCGGCTTTATTAACTGTGCTGTGAGGCCATGTTGAGTGTTTGGATACAGAGGGTTCTGGAAAGGCTGTTGGAGTAGAGCATGAGGGTGCTTAGCACGGATTGGATGATACTCCTTGTTGTAGAGATCTGGGCTTCCATCAAGGGTGGGGAGGGTGGGGATCAGGGAGTGGCTCTTCCTTCTCTTGACCTGTACAGAGATGGGGTTTCACGCTGGCCTCTGACCTGGCTTGAGCGTTTTTCCTGTGTTTCGGCTGCTCTAGTGTTGGGGCCAGCTCAGCCCTTCTTCCTCCCTATTCTGACCACCCTTCCTCCTTCCTCCCAGGCCCTCCCGCACCCCTTGGCCCTGACCCACAAGATGGGGTGGCTGCAGCTCTTGGGGAGGATGTTTGTGCTCATCTGGGCCACGTGCATCTCTGTGAAAGAGGTGAGTGGCCACTCGGCCCTTCTGTACCGTCCCTTAAGGCGGGCAGGCGGCAGTGGGCCTGGGCTTCATCCCTGTCTGCTCTGCCATTACAGCTGGGGAGCTTTGGGGAGGCATTTCCTTCCCAAGCCTTAGCTCTCTGAGTTGGAACAAATGAATAAAGCTGGCCTATCCTCCCTACTCCATCCATCTACTTCTCTATCCATCTGCCCAACTCTCCACCATTTACCCTCCCAGCCCCTCAATGTCCATCCTCCTCTCCACCAGCATCACCCATCCAATCACCTGCTCTCTTTCGTGGAACAAGCCACTCATTCATTCGTTCACATGCCCACTCATCCTTACCGACCATCCTTCTATCCTTCATCCAACCATCTTTCCATCTCTCCATCCATCCCTCCCTCCATCCCTCCCTCCCTCCCTCCCTCCATCCATCTATCCATCCATTTGTCTGTCCATCCATCTCTCCCTCCATCCATCCATCCATCCATCCATTTGTCCGTCCGTCCATCTGTCCATCCATCCATCCATTCATCCATTTGTCTGTCCGTCCGTCCATCTGTCCATCCATCCATTCATCCATTCAATGAATCAACACATATAATCTGAACACCTATATATGTGTGGCCCTGGAGGAGGTGATAGGGATGGGACAAGTTTACCATCTTTGAGTTCATAGCCTGGTGGGGGATATAGTATGAGCACAAATATCAAGACTTGACAGTAGACCAAACAAGACCCTAAGCTGGGTTCAGGTCAGTGTTCAGAGGAAGGGAGGTGAATTTTATCTGGGGCCAGGGGATGGCAGAGATGCTTGAAGGCAGACATGGCACTAATTCTGGTGGAGTAGGATTGGGCATGAGGACCATGGGGACAAGGTCACTACAGGGTGGGTGTGGGGAACAGCATGAGCAAAGGCTCAGAGGCTGGATTTGGGGAATGGAAGGTAGCTGTACATTGTACCACTTTGCAGGTTCTGGGGTGAGAATAGGGTAAGGAGTGAGGGAGGTGAGATTTGAGGGCGCACCCACCTTCACCGTGGAGCTGCCTACGCCCCCCCAGGCACAGGTCCCCTTTCATATCCGTCACCTGGGCTCGAGCTGGGCCTTCACACATTCAGCCCTCACTGAGTCTCGGTCCTGGGGAAGCACCCCCCGCTCCCCGCTCAGCTCCCCCAGCGAGGGCCATGAAGAGGGTGCCGATTTTCTCTCCTTCCTGGCCTTAGGGCATTGCGATCTTCCTGCTGAGACCCTCGGATCTGCAGTCCATCCTCTCAGATGCCTGGTTTCACTTTGTCTTGTAAGTAGGTCTGGCGCCTTGGTTACCATCTCACAGGCGGGGCTGACGTCCTGTGTGGTGGCCGCTGCGTTCCCCTTGAACAAGCATCCCAGGCACTCTGCCACAGGGTCACGCCAGGGATCTCCTCTCGCTCCTAGCAGGAGACACATGGAAGCCGTGGACAGAATCAGAAAACTTCAGGGCAACCAGGCTCGGGGTCTCACGCCTGTAATCCCAGCACTCTGGGAGGCCGAGGTGGGCGCATCACCTGAGGTCAGGAGTTTGAGACCAGCGTGGCCAACCTGGTGAAACCCCGTCTCTACTAAAAATAAAAAAATTAGCTGGGCGTGGTGGTGCACGCCTGTAGTCCCAGCTACTCGGGAGGCTGAGGCAGGAAGAATCGTTTGAACCCAGGAGGTGGAGGTTGCAGTGAGCCAAGATTGCGCCACTGCACTCCAGCCTGCGCAACAAGAGCAAGACTCTGTCTCAAAAAAAAAAAAAGAAAGAAAGAAAAGAAAGAAAACTTCAGGGCAGTGCCCACCATCTACTGGTGGCAATGGCCCACTCCACCTGTCACAGAGCCCCAGGCAGAAGGCAGCATGGGGAAGGCAAGAACAGGCTTAGCGTCCTGTTTCGGTTTTGACAAAGGGATGTTCCAGTCACATGGGGCCCTAAATCCCCTGGTTATGGGGGCCTAGAAGTTGCTGTCTGTGACCTGGGCAGATCAGGACTGGAAGGTACCTGAGAAATTATTGATCTTGTCTGTAGACACCATCAAAGCTCCCAGGGCAGGGAGGTGAGTCACTCAGAGTCACACGAAGCTCCAGCCCTTGGTCATCTTCACTCCAGGCTAGTGCTGGGTTGATGATCACAGGGTCCTAGGCAGAGAGCCCAGCTCAGCAGCCTCTGCATGAGTTCACGTGTAGCTGACATCACGGGAGTGTGTGACCTCTGCCTCTGAATGAGCAGAAATTGATTTAGCGTTGCTGCTGTGGAGCGGAACAGATTCTGCAGCTTGGGATGAAGAAAATCGGACTCAAAAGCTCTTTAGACCCTACCCAAGTCTCTCTTCTGAACATTTGGGAAGCTGGGTCTCTAGGACCTTGAGTGTTTCCAAATACCTAGATGCTCTATTAAGTAGGTTCCCCGACTTCCAGAGGCATGAATTGAGTTCTTCATCCCCGAGGGCAGGGGCGGCCCCCAGATCCTGCAGGAAATGGGTCAGCCAGTACTACCCCACGATGCAAACCATGTGGGAGGAACTATTATGATTCCAGACAAAATCCACTTACACAGATACTGGTTTTAGTGCAGACAAAAAGCGCCAAGGCATTATCTTGCTCTTCACTTTTTTTTTCTTTTTTTTTGAGACGGAGTGTCACTCTGTAGCCCAAGCTGGAGTGCAGTGGCACAATCCTGGCTCATTGCAACCTCTGCCTCAGCAATTCTCCTGCCTCAGCCTCCTGAGCAGCTGGGATTACAGGTGCCCGCTACCACCACTGACTAATTTTTGTATTTTTAGAAGAGACAAGGTTTTTACCATGTTGACCAGACTGGTCTCGAACTCCTGACCTCAAGTGATCCGCCCACCTTGGCCTTCCAGAGCGCTGGGATCACAGGCATGAGCCACCGTGCTCAGCCTCTTCTGCTTCTTGTTTTGTTAGTGTAGAGGAAGGTGTTGACATTCTTCTTCATTTCATTCTGAAAAGCAGTTGATCAATCAGATGGTTTTTCTTACAACCTTGCCTGTGTCGTCACTTTGGTTAACTATGTTATAACTTTGGAAACTGCCTAATGTTATAAGTAAGACAGTGTTTGTATCTAGATGTCTTCATTATGGACTGTATAGTAGGTTTTGATTTTGTGTGTTTGGGATATATTGTACTTAAAAACATTTTAATTGTGGGCAGGGCACGATGGCTCACACCTGTAATCCCAGCACTTTGGGAAGCCTGAGGTCAGGAGTTTGAGACCAGTCTGGCAAAAGCTTGTCTCTCTACAAAAAATATGTCTCTCTCCAAAAAAGCTGTGTGTGGTGGCATGCACGGCTACTTGGGAGGCTGAGGCAGGAGAATCGCTTGAACCCTGGAGGCAGAGGTTGCAGTGAGCCAAGATCATGCCACTGCACTGCAGCCTTGGCAATAGAGGGAGACTCCATCTCAAAAAAAAAAAAATTAATTGTGGTGAAGTACACGTAACATAAAGTTACCATCATAACCATTGTTTAACCATACAAATCAATACTGTGAAGTACATTGTCGGGCAGTCAGTGTCGAGAACCCTTTCCGCCCTGCAAAACTGAAACTCCACACCTATTAATCAACAGCCCCTTTTCCTCTGCTTCCCTCCGAGCACCGCCCCCCACTGTAATCACCATTCTTCCTTCTTTTCCTGTGAATTGAACTATTTTAGGTACCTTATATGTTGAGTCGTATAGTACTTGTTTTTTTAGGATTAGCTTATTTCACTTACCATATATCATACTTTAGAGAGATTTGAGGCTGGGAGCAGTGGCTCATGCCTGTAATCCCAGCACTTTGGGAGACCGAGGCAGGTGGGTCATCTGAGGTCAGAAGTTCGAGACTAGCCTGGCCAACATGGTGAAACCCCGTCTCTACTAAAATACAAAAACTAGCTGGACACTGTGCTGCACACCTGTAATTCCAGCTACTCAGGAGACTGAGGCAAGAGAATTGCTTGAATCCGGGAGGCAGAGGTTGCAGTGAGCAGAGATCACACCACTGCACCCCAGCCTGGGCAACAGAGTGAGACTCAATCTCCCACGCACACAGAAAGATTTAAAAAGTAGGGTTTGGGGGACTTGTGATTGGCTTATAAGTATAGATATTGGCAGCTTTTGTCATTTTGGTTAAAAATGCAGTCATTTGCCACATCTTTGGTCTACTCTAGAAATTCTCAAATCAATGTGGGAATCAGAAATTCTGTGGGTGACTTAGATTATTTTTCTGCATATTTTTTATTTGTAGAGACAAGGTCTCACTGTGCCACTCAGGCTAGTCCTGAACTCCCGGCCTGAAGTGCTCCTCCTACTTCAGCCTTCCAAAGTGTTGGGATTACAGGCGTGAGCCACTACACCCGGCCCGTGTGGGTAACTTAAAAAGTATACGGCCTCCTGGGTTGTACCCTAGAACCTTCTGCGGCCCTGTGGATTTGCATTTTTTTTTTTTTTAAGTCCCGATCAGCTGCAGTCAGCCTACCATGGGCTGTGATTGGCCTCTGGTGATGCTTCTACAGGCTGAATTCTACAGTGGCTGCATGGATCTGGGGCAGCCTGATACCCATCTTTTCAGCGCCCGTCACCAGGGTGACTGTTCGGGGGGTGTAGGGGAGGTTTGGGGATGTGCATGTCTTTGCTCTGATGCCGAGGAGTAGTAAGTAAGGCTGGTGTTTCCTGTGTCTCCTGAACAGTTTTATCCAAGCTGTGCTTGTGATACTGTCTGTCTTCTTGTACTTGTTTGCCTACAAAGAGTACCTCGCCTGCCTCGTGCTGGCCATGGCCCTGGGCTGGGCGAACATGCTCTACTACACGCGGGGATTCCAGTCCATGGGCATGTACAGCGTCATGATCCAGAAGGTGCGTTGGGAGCCGCGTCGGCGGGAGGGCCCTCAGAGGACGGCCACTTTTCAGATGGGGACACTGGGATCTGCAGAGGCAGAGGGGCTGACCGAGGGGTGGCCACTGCTCTTTTTCCCAAATGCTGTGGTCTCCCTTTGCTTTCAGTCAGGCTTTAGGTGTCCAGACCTTAAATCCCCTGGGCTTGTGAGGCACTGGGGAGGGGATGCTTTGTGGAGTAATGTTCTCACCCCCGGCAGTGGCATGCTGGTAAACATTTAACAACCACTCTGTGTGCGTGCGTGCGTGCGTGCGTGTGTGTAGCTGGAATATGTATATATAGGTGTGTATTTGTATACACATACACTTATCATACATTTTACTATTAAAGGATGTCTATCATGCAATTTGCAAATAGTGAAAATATACAATACAATTTATTGTAAATTTCACGTAGCCAGTTGAGTCTTAGAATAATTTGGTGTGTTTTTTTTTGTTTTTTTTTTTAAGACTGAGTCTTGCTCTGTCCCCCAGGCCGGAGTGCAGTGGCCAAGTCTCAGCTCAGTGCAACCTCCTCCTCCCGTATTCAAGCAATTGTCCTGCCTCAGCCTCCTGAGTAGCTGAAATTACAGGCATGTGCCACCACGCCTGGCTAATTTTTGTATTTTTAGTAGAAACAGGGTTTCACCATGTTGTCCAGGCTGGCCTTGAACTCCTAACTTCAGGTGATCTGCCTGCCTTTGCCTCCCAAAGTGCTGGAATTACAGGTGTGAGCCACTGAGCCTGGCTTATTTGTTGTCTTTTATTGAATTCTAGTTTTTGTCATCAACCTTTAGTTGCAGTTGACAAAAGAGTGCTGTTTAGACATAAATGTTGGTTGCTATTCTTCTTTATAAGCAGTGGTGAAAGTGAAACAGTTAAGATTTATGTTGAACTAAAAAATTAGCTGAGCATGGTGGCGCGTGCCTGTAATCCCAGCTATCAGGAGGCTGAGGCAGGAGGATTGCCTGAACCCAGGAGGCGGAGGTTGCGGTGAGCCGAGATCGCGCCATTGCACTCCAGCCTGGGTAACAAGAGCAAAACTCCGTCTCAAAAAAAAAAAAAAAAAAGATTTATGTTGAACTTTACTTGTTTATCAATGATGTGAGCAACTTCTTTGCTGAATTGGATGAGAGTTTGCAGACACTGGAAGAATATTTTATTGATATGTGTGTGCTGTACACAGTGTAAAGGCTGCAGACAGAAGAGATTTAAAAATGTGATGTGGATTAACACTTTCTCAATCACTGTCTTAAGGATTGAGCCACTGTACCTGGCCTGTCTTTTTAAAAATATATAACTTATTTAATTATAAGTTTATACAGTTTAATTTTTTTTGCAATGCAAGGATTTCTTATAGGTATATATTGTAAAATGATTTCCAATTTCAGTTAGTTACCACGCCTGTCTCCTCACGTACTTGCTATTTCTTTGTGTGTGGTGAGAACATCTATGATCTATTCTCTTAGCAGATTTACAGCACACAGCACAGTGTTGCTGACTGTAGTCGTCGTGCTGTACATTAAATCCCCAGAACTTACTCATCTTCTAACTGAAAGTTTGATTTAGTTCCGAGTAATGGCTGTGTTTAACAACCAGCTCACAGGCTTCAGGAAAATGTAACTATCAGCTCTTGCAAGCTGTTGTGAGCTGGCTCCAGCATGCCACTGCCCCCAGGAAGTGTGAGGATTCCAGATGTGAAACCTATGGTGAAAGGCACAGGGCAGATCACAGGGAGAAGAGAACCTGGGGCTGGAGCAGGAACAGAAGGCTTCCTGGAGGAGGCGGGATCCAGAGCTGAGCCTTGGAGCATCAGGAAGATTTGGTTGGGGGAAGAGAGAATGGCCCATGTGAAGGGACAATTAGGGTCGGGGCTGGGAGAGGGTGGGAAGCAGGAAGATCAGGGTATGGTGAATATGTGCTTGCACCTTACACTTGAATTCTGTTTCTTTCTTTGTAGGTCATTTTGCATGACGTTCTGAAGTTCTTGTTCGTATATATAGTTTTTTTGCTTGGATTTGGAGTAGGTAATTGATTTGTAAATAATAGTAACTCCCACATTCGTAAACACTTTATACAGATGTCAAAATGACAAAGTGCATGGTGGCCTCAGCAACACTTACATCAGCTACCAGTGGGGCACTTCCCATGCTTGCAATTTTTTTTTTTTTTTTTTTTGAGATGGAGTTTCGCTCTTGTTACCCAGGCTGGAGTGCAATGGCCCGATCTCGGCTCACCGCAACCTCCGCCTCCTGGGTTCAGGCAATTCTCCTGCCTCAGCCTCCTGAGTAGCCGGGATTACAGGCACGTGCCACCATGCCCAGTTAATTTTTTGTATTTTTAGTAGAGACGGGGTTTCACCATGTTGACCAGGATGGTCTCAATCTCTTGACCTCGTGATCCACCCGCCTCGGCCTCCCAAAGTGCTGGGATTACAGGCTTGAGCCACTGTGCCCGGCCCGCTTGCCATTTTCGAAGAATTTTCCAAGAATCCATCCATCTGTCCATCTAATCATCTATCCATCCATCTAATCATCCATCCATCCATCCATCCATCCATCTAATCATCCATCCATCCGTCCATCTAATCATCCATTTATCCATCTGTCCATCTAATTATTCATCCATCTAATCATCTATCCATCCATCCATCTAATTATCCATCTATCTAATCATCCATCCATCCATCCTTCCATCCATCCATGTAATTATCCATCTCAACAACTTGATCAAGGGGGTCATCACCCCAATCATCAGGTACCTGAGGCATAAAGACTCCAGGATTCAGACCAGTCCAGCCACTCATAATCCAACTTTGCCATGTGGTATATACCTCCTGCTTTTCCATCATTGCTCAGGATCTAAGAGGTTCTGCAGGTGTTTTCAACCTCAGTCCACAGAAACTAAAGTTCACAGAAACTCGACTGATGGTCTTTGCAAAATAGGAGCAAAGTAATGCACGGAGATAACTTCCTTTGGCTTTCACACTGTGTTACTCTCACAGTTTGCTTTAGACAACTGTGAGAGCCTCTGGTCTGCTCGGACCAGGAAGGAGCCCCCTCTTAAAATCTCTCCATTTACAACAGAGGGAACAGCACAATCTGGTTGTATTTCTAACCTCTGCATAGAGATACAGTTTTCTCCCACATACCAGTTGCTTTTTTTTTCTTCAGTGACCATTGACATTTGAAATTAGGCAGCTGTTTCCATCTGTCTGGTACCTTTTCTGGGTCACAATTTGCTTATTTATTTGCTTCTTCAACTGCTTGTTTATGCATCCGTCTATTTACTCATTTAATTTACTCATCTATTCATCCATCCACTCATCCATCTAATCATCCATCCATCCATCCATCCATCTAATCATCCAATCATTCGTCCATCCATCTAATCATCCATCCATCCATCTAATCATCCATCCATTCATCCATCTAATCATTCATCCATTCATCCAGTCATCCACCATCTAATCATCCATCCATCCATCAATCTATCCATCCATTCAGCAGTGAACCTCTACTGTGGTGTGTTGGAAAGAAGGGAAGTGTGAATCTGGTCCTGCTCATTGGGAGCTCATGACAGAGCATTAGGAGGAGACTCACGATCTTACAGCTTTGAGGGAGGTGACCCAGACTAGAGGAAGTCAGGAGCTCAAAGACAAGCTGGGAAGCCAGGGACACACATGTGGATTATAATTAGCAGCTCTGCAAAGCTGCAGATGATCAAGGGCAGACTAGGTGTTAGAGGAAGGAGAGAAGACTCCGGGCTTTGTTAGGCAGAGGACTTTCTGCAGGAGGCCAGGGCAGATACACCAGCCTGATGAGACTTTGGGAGGACCTGAAGCTGGAGATGATTAATGGCCAGAGAGAAGGAGGCAGCAGGCTTGTTGTGTGGGCAAATACATGCAAGCTTGTAGAGTAATTTGTCAGGCAGAGAGCTGAGGAGAGCACCCTGTTATGTTCCCCTAGCCCTGGCCTCGCTGATCGAGAAGTGTCCCAAAGACAACAAAGACTGCAGCTCCTATGGCAGCTTCAGCGACGCAGTTCTGGAACTCTTCAAGCTCACCATAGGCCTGGGTGACCTGAACATCCAGCAGAACTCCAAGTATCCCATTCTCTTTCTGTTCCTACTCATCACCTACGTCATCCTCACCTTCGTTCTGCTCCTCAACATGCTCATTGCCTTGATGGGAGAGACTGTGGAGAATGTCTCCAAGGAGAGCGAGCGCATTTGGCGCCTGCAGGTGAGTCTAGGCAGAGACCCCAGTGTGGGGCCTCCCCAGTTCAGCACACGGTCATTGACTACCATCAGCACCCATCTAATCATCCATCCATTCATCCATCCATCCATCCATTCAGTCATCATCCATCCATCCATCCATCCATCCAATCGTCCATTCATCTAATCATCCATCCATCTATCCACCCATCTAATCATCCATCCATCCATCCATCCACCCATCTAATCATCCATCCATCCATTCAGTCATCATCCGTGCGTCCTTCCATCCATCCATCCAATCATCTATCCACCTAATCATCCGTCCATTTATCCACCCATCTAATCATCCATCCACCACCCATTCATCCATCCAATCATCCATCCATCTAATCATCCATCCGTCTATCCACCCATCTAATCATCCATCCATCCATCCACCCATCTAATCATCCATCCAATCATCCATCCATCCAATCATCCACCCATCTAATCATCCATCCATTCATCCATCCATCCATTCATCCAATCATACATCCATTCAATCATCCATTCATCCATCCATCCATCTATCCAATCATCCATCATCTAATCATCCATCCATCTATCCATCCAGTCATCTATCCATCCATCCATTCAGTCATCATCTGTCCATCCATCCATCCATCCATCCAGCAGTGAACCTCTACTATGGTTTGTTCTCAGGTCTGGGGTGGGGCCTGAGAATCTGCAGAAGCTCCACAGTGTTTGTTCAGGTTTGAGGAAGCTTTAGCCTATGTTCTTTGAGTGTCGGGTCTAGGAGGTGTGGCTGTGCAACAGCATGTGTAGAAAAACTCAAGCTTATAGGGGTGCTCTGTTCAGGGGTGACTGTGTGATGTGTGGATGTCGAAGTATGACCTTAGGTTGCATTAAAAGAAATATGGCATCTAGGACAATGGAGGTGACACTTCTGCTCTATTTCATCCTGGCCTTAACACTTTTTACGTGCCGAGGAAACCAATACATAGGATGGGTCCAGAGATGGTAACCAGATTTGGGAGAAGACTGGAGACTGTCTTAAGAAATGGTTGTTGGCGGCCGGGTATGGTGGCTCACCCCTGTAATACCAGCACTTTGGAAGGCTGAGGTGGGTGGATCACCTGAGGTCAAGAGTTTGAGACCACCTTGGCCAACATGGTGAAACCTCATCTTTACTAAAAATACAAAAACTAGCCGGGTATGGTAGTGCGGGCTTGTAATCCCAGCTGCTCTAGAGTCTGAGGCAGGAGAATCTCTTGAACCCAAGGGGTGGAGGTTGCTATGAGTCAAGATCGTGCCATTGCACTCTAGCCTGAGTGACAGAGCCAAAACTCTGTCTCAAAAGAAAAAAAAAGAAAAGAAACTGTTGTTGGAACTACATTTGAAAAAGGTGAGAGTTCCTTCAGTTATCTGCAGAGCAGCCTGTGGAAGAGGGAGCAGACCCCTTCTGTGGTCCCAGGAGGCAGATGTACATGGGGCACTACAGGGAGAAAAACTTTCATGTAACCCATTTCTCATTATTAAGGCCCTCCTTTATTTTTTTTTTTTTGAGACAGGGTCTTGCCCTGTCACCCAGGCTGGAGTGCAGTGGCGCATCTCGGCTCACTGCAACCTCCGCCTCCCAGGCTCAAGCGATTCTCCCACCTCAGCCTCCCAAGTAGCTGGGACTACAGGCATATACCACCACGCCTGGCTCATTTTTGTATTTTTGGTAGAGATGGGGTTTCACCGTGTTTCCTAGACTGGTCTTGAACTCCTGAGCTCAGGTGGTCTGCCTGCCTCTGCCTCAAAGTGATGGGATTACAGGCGTGAGCCACCTCGCTGCCTATTAAGGCCCTCTTAATTGGATTGTTGATATTGTTGAAGAGAGACTGGAAAAACGAGGAGTACAGGACAATACAGAGGGGATTCCAAGCTTGGAAGAGTGTGGGACTAAATGGTGTTTGAACCATCCCCTACCGTGGGATTCTAGGATCCAGCACTTTCTGATAGGAAGCTCCTGCTTTCGGAAATATTATTTATATCTGGTGCCCAGGCTGGAGTGCAATGGCACAACCTCAGCTCACTGCAACCTCTGCCCCTGCCTCACAGGGTTCAAGTGATTTTCCTGCCTCAGCCTCCCAAGTAGTTGGGATTATAGGTGCCCAACACTATGCCTGGCTAATTTTTGTGTTTTTAGTAGAGACGGGGTTTTGCCATGCTGGCCAGGCTGGTCTCTAACTCCTGACCTCAGGTGATCTGCCTGCCTCAGCCTCCCAAAGTGCTGGGATTATGGGTGTGAACTACCATGCCCGGCCTGATTTTTTGTCTTTGAATCTGTAGATCAGCCAAACCCTTGGGATCTATGCATCAAGCATGGGGCAAGGGTGAAGTGTGCACCCTAGTGGCATGTATGCTCTTGTGTGTGGTTGTGAGTGTGCATGCATACTCCGTAGAGGGTGTGCCCTGGTGGGGTGTGTGCTGTTGTGTGCGGTTGTGAGTGTGTGCCCTGGCTGTATGTGTGCTCTTGTGAGCGGTTGTGAGTGTGCCTGCATACTCCGTATGCTTGCTTATGTCCCCAGAGAGCCAGGACCATCTTGGAATTTGAGAAAATGTTACCGGAATGGCTGAGGAGGAGATTTCGGATGGGGGAGATGTGTAAAGTGGCCGAGGAAGATTTCCGACTGTGTTTGCGGTAACAGAGGGCCCTGGGGTGGTGGGCTTTAGGGTGGGTAGAGAGAGGCAGGTCAGCTTGCTCACCATAACCACAGCTACCTTCTGTCCCAGGGCCTCTCAGAGGAAGGAATTTGTTTATGGGGTTGCAGGGCCTGGGATGGGGGTTCCCGAGCTCCAGAAGGGAAGGGAAGGAGACTGGCAGCAGTGGGTCCCCTCTCTGCTTTTCTGGAGGTGCCTCCAGGGTCTCTGTCCTTTCACTGTCTAGTGTGGGGAGATCTTCCCGCTTGGCACTCCTTTTCCTGCTGTGTACCCTGTGTGAGTTCCTGTGATCCCGGAGGATGTGAGGCACGTTTGCCCCTGGCAGACAGAAGGTGACATGGCTGCTTTGACAGATCTTTTTTGATTTTTAAAAAAAGTCCTTACATATCTCATGACCACCTTTTCTTATTTTTCTTTTAAACGAAGTTTCACTCTTATCTCCCAGGCTGGAGTGCAGTGGCGTGACCTCTGCTCACTACAGTCTACCAGGTTCAAGCAAATCTCCTGCCTCAGCCGCCCAAGTAGCTGGGATTACAGGCACGTGCCACCACACCTGATAATTTTTGTATTTTTAGTAGAGATGGAAGTTTCATCATGTTGGCCAGGCTGGTCTAGAACTCCTGGCCTCCAGTGATCCATCCCCCTCAGCCTCCCAAAGTGCTGGGATTACAGGTGTGAGCCACCACACCCGGCCCCATGACCACCTTTTCTGATAAGCCCACATCCTCCTTCCCTGATCCAGCTTCTCGAGCCTACAGACCACCTTTTTTGAGTATGACCAAACCTTAACCCACTTCTCTGCTGAAACCCCAGCCCCTGGACAGCAGCATTTCTGACTGCAGTCGTTACCCTAAGTATTTCTGATGTTGCCACGCTCTCTCTAGAGATGTTCTCTGAACGTGAATTTAGGTCAAATCAGTGCCAGCCATTCTGTTCTAACACCTCAGATGCCACCCTCTCTCATTGGTCATGGGTCCTAATCACATGCTCCTAGTACCTCCTCAACCCTTGTGACACTTGGAGTTTAATCTTCACGCCCTCACGGCCCGGGCCCTCCCTCTGTCTGTCCCTGCTTCCTCGTGGGCTGTCACCCGTCAGGTACAGCTACACAGACTGAAGTTGTACCCTTTACACCCGTCCAAGCAACTTGCAGGATTTCCGAGTTCCATACAGTGGAAGGAGAGCTGAGTCTTTGAGACCCGGGGAAATGGAGATGGGGATAGAGTTGAAACTCTAACAACGCTGGTGTGACCACTCGGGGCAGGGGTGCTCCTGATCTCTAGGACAGACAGAGGGGAGCTGTGTAGACACCGGGACTCCCCGAGCGCAGGGCTGTGTGTTTGTATCCAGTGAGGCAATGGCGAAATAGTAAGAGCGATGGCCACACTTGCAGGATCAATGAGGTGAAGTGGACTGAATGGAAAACACACGTCTCCTTCCTTAACGAAGACCCGGGGCCTGGAAGGCGAACAGGTACTATTGCTTCGAGGTGACATGGCATCTGCTCCTGTCTGAGACCATGTGACCTGGGGCAGATCAAGTCTAAGGCTCCTGATTTCCCCATCTGTCAAATGGGAGGGTTGAATGGAAATGCTTCTTAGGTCTCTTCCAGCTCTGACTTTTGGAACCTGAGTTGGAACAACTTTTAGAATGGTATAGCCTTAAGCCATAGAAACACATCAGGCAGAGGGATGTATTTCTAAAACATATATATATATATATATATATATGTATACACACACACACGGTGGTGTTTTTTTCAGATGGAGTCTGTCTGTCACCCTGGCCAAAGTGCAGTGGTGCAGTCTTGGCTCACTGCAACCTCTGCCTCCTGGATTCAAGGGATTCTCCTACCTCAACCTCCTTGAGTAGCTGGGCTACAGGTGTGCACCACCACCTCTAGCTAATTTTTCTTTGTATTTTTAGTAGAGATGAGATTTCACCATGTTGTTCAGGCTGGTCTTAAACTCTTGACCTCAGGTGATCCGCCCACCTTAGTCTCCCAAAGTGCTGGGATTACAGGCGTGAGCCACCGCATCTGGCCTCTAAAATATATCTTTTTTCAAAAGCAGATTTCAACAAAATCCAAGAGTCTTCCAGGAACAATAGCAAAACCACTCTCAATGCATTTGAAGAAATAGAGGAATTCCCAGAAACGTCGGTGTAGAAGCATAACCCAGAGCTGGTGTGCACGTGGGCTGTCTGGTGCTGCAGGCGGAGTCAGGGACTGCTGAGGGCTTTGAGGAGTGGTGGAGCTCTGCTGGCCCAGACACAGAACACACCCTCATGCTGAGTGGGTGTCTGGACTGAGGGGCAGTTGGCGGTTTGTGCCAGTGGGAAACAGCCTAGATTTTGTTATTTGGCAAAGAGCTTGTGTAAACCCTCAGCCAGCCACAGTCTGGAGCCTCGGACACCCCTAAAGTCCTGGGTGAAACCTCTGGTTTTACCAATTGCAGGTCGGCTTGGCTGGGAGAGGTGGGGGGCGGGGAACAGGCCTTGAGGAGCAGGCTTTCCTCCTGTCAGCTTCCCCTTGTCAGCCCTGGCCCCAGTCCACACATTCTACCATCTCACAGGGTTGTCTGAATTTGTGGGAGACCCTTGATCCCATCCCAGAATGTGCGAGGGACGGAGGTAAGCCTGATATCCTGGGAGAGGAGGGGAGTGAGCTTTGGAAATGACCTTCGGGAGCTCTTCAGGGAAAAAGGAAACCATCCTTGGAGTGAGCATCCCCTGAAACCCCAAGGATCAAACTGTCGCAAAGGGAGAGATGTTTTTAGTAGCATAATTAACACAGGGTTTTTATTTTCAGCATGGAAAAGACATTTCAGTTAAGAATGAACATTGCTACAATGAAGTATTGATTTTGAAAGTGGAGACAGATTAGTGGCTTTGGGGCTGGATGTAAGTATTATATATTTGGCCTTAGGGTTGGCAGAGAAAGACAAAAAGCTTTTCTTCACGCACACAAAAGTCTGCATAAAACGCGCGGGGCAGGTCCTGCTGGGCCGCCGCAATCTGGGTGAAAGGGCCTGGCTCTTTTCCTTGTCCCCGCCTTGCAGCAGGGCACGCCACCGCACTGGGATCCTGGCTTCCGCAGAAGCATAAATAGCAGCTGCTCTGTCTCTACCGTATTAGAGCTCAGCAGTCAGCATACCTCAGTAGGTCTCAGTGGGGGAATTTAACAAAATGCCTGAACTGCTGTGGTACTAAGTATTTTTTTTTAACTGTGAATTTTGAAGCTGAAGGGGAATCTTGTGAGAGAGAAACATTTGCCAAGACTTTGGGCTTATTTTTAGGTCCTCATCCTCTGATGTCCTCCCTTGGAAATGACACGGAGTCAGTCTGGGGGCAGAGGGGAAGTGGAGACCGAAGGATTTTCTGGGTAACTGGGGCCTAAACCGTTAGAAAATCTCCTCTGCCTCCATTATCTGGTGAAAGGATTCATGTAAAAATTACAAAAATGGTAACATAAGTTTTAATGTTAAATGGCAGAAATAGAAATTTGGCCTTTGGATGACATGGCAATTGATGAGTTACTCTGGTTTAAGGCAGATTGAGGAGTCCAGGCCTGGCAGTGCATTTGGGACCAGTTTCTCTGCTCTGGGCCACTCCGTGTGCCAGACTGGCTGAGCAGGTGGAAACTCAGCCTCCGTGCCCCTGATGGGGCCAGTTGGGGAGAGGTGGTCTGGGGTGTGAGAGGCATCACAACCCCAGCAGCCCCTGCACTCCCAGCTGACCTAGGGAGGAACCGTGTACTCTTAGCCTCAGTGGTCAGACCAGGCTCTGAGGGGGAACAGGGCTGGGCATGGGCCCCTGGAGAAGAGAAGATTGGAGGGGCCTGTCCTGGGGCAGAAGGAGTAGATTCGTTCTAGAATGGGCAGAACTACTCAACTGAGGAAGACTTCGGCTCAATCCAATCCAGCAACTGGCTCAGATGTTGGAGATGTTTAAGCGAAAGCTGGTTGAGCACTTATGAGGCATGTTGTTGAAAGTGGTAATTGGATGAAGTTTAAGGTCCCTTAGCCTGGAGAGTCTACCAATCAGAATTCCACATGTGGAGTCAGCTACCTGTGTTAAGCCTGAACAGACCTCTTGTTTGAAAGGAAGTGGTTTAGATCCATGGTGCCAGGTTCTACACCACAGAGCTAGGAATTCCAGAACTGCTTTGCTCAGATATTAATGGATAAAGCCATACCCACTAATGGATAAGGTTATCTGTTATGGATAAAGCCATATCCAGAATTGCTTTGACTCAGATATGAATGGGTAAAGCCAATGACTGATTTCTATTTGCCTAACCTTCCAGCTTTTGTCCAAGTGAGAAATGGAGAGCCAGAGGGATCTTTCTCATCTCACATCATGGAGCGCTGCTCTCTGTGGGTCTGGATGGAATTTGTTGGCAAGACCCTTTTCTTTTCTTTTCTCTTTTCTTTCTTCCTTCCCTCCTTCCTTCCCTCCCTCCCTCCCTCCTGCCCTCCTTCCCTCCTTCCTTCCTTCCTTCCTTCTCTCTTTCTTCTTTCTTCCTTCCTTCCTTTTTTTTTTTTGACTGAGTTTCGCTCTTGTCACCCAGGCCTGAGTGCAGTGGCGCATTCTCAGCTCACTGTAACCTCCACATCCCGGGTTCAAGCAATTCTCCTGTCTCAGCCTCCCAAGTAGCTGGGATTACAGGTGCCTGCCACCATGCCCGGCTAATTTTTATATTTTTTAGTAGAGATGGGGTTTCACCAGGTTGGCTAGGCTTGTCCTGAACTCCTGACCTCAGGTAATCCATCCGCCTTAGCCTCCCAAAGTGCTGGGATTACAGGTGTGAGCCACGCGCCCAGCCACAAGACCATTTTCTATACTGGAGATTTTTCCCAACAGTGTCCACCCCAAAAGGCTTTCATCCAAAAGGTCTGAGCCTAGGAAAGTTCACCAAGGCAGAAGGAAGCAATGAGTCAAGAAGCATCAGCATCAGAAGGACCACTTCCTTCACTTCACTCCCAGAGACTCACACTCCGAGAGGAGCGTGTACCTGTGCAGAGTCGGGCAGGAAGTCCTGTCAGCACTGTGAAAGCTGGAGTGTCCTGATTCTCGGACCACAGATGCCTCCCTGAGCCATTATTTATTTTTTAAAAGCACCATTATTCCATAATGTTGAGTCCTTCTTTGTGGTTGGCATATGCTGGAGGGAGGACTATTTTCTCAGATGTCTCATTTGGCAGTCCACATTGTCCCTATGCTCCCCATGACTGGTTGAAAATTTCAGTGTGCCCACAGGGGTGTGCAAAACCACACACACTGCACACCTAAACACACACAACCATCACCCCACCCCCACACATGCCCACACCCATACAGCCACCCACCCACACCCTGTGCCCCCAAACACACCCACGCATACACACCCATACACCCACACACACCCCAAACACACCCACGCATATACACCCACACACCCCCAGACACACCCACGCATACACACCCATATACCCACACACACCCCAAACACACCCACCCATACACCCACACACACCCCAAACACACCCACACATACCCACACACCCCCCAAACACACCCACGCATACACACCCACACCCCTCCCCCCACATACACCCACAGACACACCCATTGAAGTCCCATCAGGACTTCTGAAAAACTCCGTGATTAACATTTCATTAATTTCAGGGGAAGGCATTTTCCAGGGATGGAATCTCCCAGGCTCAGATAGTGCCTTTGGCTGCAAATGCCCTGTTAGCTAAACATTTCCTCAGGAAAATTTCCTTATTCTAGATGTTATGTGATATATCTGTTTGGAATTCAGGGTGCTTAGCCTTCCTTCCAGGGACGTGGGAGAAGCGGCCGGAGGTTGTACTGTGAAGTCATTCAGCTCTGGAAGGCTCCTGCCTGAGAGAGCCCAGTGTTACTGATGTTCCTTTCCTTCCTCAAGGCCTGGTGACCTGTGTCCTTTTGCTCTGGGCAGGGCCCGGGTAGATGGGCCGTTGTCTGGGCCTGTAAACTGTACTTGACTTCTGCATTGATTTACATACTTTTTACTGTGATCTTGCTTCCTCACACAGAATTGTCACCCCAATCCCCTTGAATGAGCTGGATACTTGTCAATTCTACTTGAATGACTTGTTCTTAGTGTTGTGTGTGTGTGAAACTCTGTGTTCAAGAAAGAAATCATAAAAAGAGTAAGAACATTTTTGTGCCATTGAAGAAATGGTGTTTTGATTTCTAATAAATATTTATTTTGCTTCTTACGGCCATGCTTTATCCTTGTCTTAGGTGTGCCAATGTGCAGACTGACTAGGACCCCTAGAGGGTTGCTAAGAGGGGTGGGTAAAGGGAAGGCCAGTTTTGGGGCCTGAAGCATTATCATTGGCTCTGGCTCAGGAGCAGAGCCAGCAAGCCAGAAGACCTGTCACCTTTGTACGTGTTTACATCTCAGGTTGCATTCACATCGGGGAGCCAATTTGAACCACTCAGCAGCTCCAGAAGCAGTTTGAGTAAAAGGAGACTCAGGGTTGAAGTATGTGCTCACAGATTCACAGCCACATGATGTCAGTGGTTCAGGCCACAAAACCCCTCAGAGAGTGCCCTATCAGCTCCTGCACAGCAAAAGAAACTACCATCAGAGTGAATAGGCAACCTACAGAATGGGAGAAAATTTTTGCAATCTACCCATCTGACAAACGTCGAATATCCAGAATTTACAAGTAACTTAAACATGTTTACAAGAAGAAAACAAGCCCATCAAAAAGTGGGCAAAGGGTATGAACAGACACTTCTCAAAAGAAGACAGTTATGAGGCCAACAAACATGAAAAAAAGCTCAACATCATCTAATTTGCATTAGAGAAATGCAAATCAAAACTACAGTGAGATACCATCTCACACCAGTCAGAATGGCAATGATTAAAAAGTCAGGAAACAATAGATGCTGGAGAGGCTGTGGAAAAATAGGGACACTTTTACACTGTTGGTGGGAATGTAAATTAGTTCAACCATTGTGGAAGACAGTGTGGTGATTCCTTAAGGATCTAGAACCAGAAATACCATTTGACCCAGCAATGTCATTACTGAGTATACACCCAAAGGATTATAAATCATTCTACTATAAAGATTCATGCATGCATATATTTATTGCAGCACTATTTACAATAGCAAAGGCTTGGAACCAACCCAAATGCCCATCAATGATAGGCTGGATAAAGAACATGTGGTACATATACACCATGGAATATTATGCAGCCATATAAAGGAATGAGGTCATGTCCTTTGTGGTGACTTGGATAAAACTGGAAACCATCATCCTCAGCAAACTAATACAGGAACAGAAAACCATACCCCACATGTTCTCACTTATAAGTGGGAGTTGAACACTGAGAGCATATGGACAAAGATAGGGGAACAGCACACACCAGGGCCTGTTGGGGGTTGGGGGGTGGGGGACGGAACTTAGGGGACAGGCCAACAGGTGCAGGAAACTGCCATGGCACATGTATACCTATGCAACGAACATGCCTGTTCCACACAAGTATCCCATTTTTTTTAGAAGAAATAAAGAAAAAGATAACAGTGCTCTATCCATCATGCCTGTTGGCTGTCAACTTATTTCAGGTGAACATAAACTCATGGTTCTACCTGGAGAACAGAAGATGTAAATCCCTTCTGTCCACCTCACAGGACTTTCATGAGGAGGCAGTGAGAGAACGAATAGGAAAGAGCTGACATTGTGACTATCATTATTGCCAGTATATGCAATTCTTCATTCCTCTGAGTTATTTCACAAAGATGGCAGTTCTCAACTTGAATGCCAAGTCTTCAGTGCTTGTCTTGGTGGGCTGTGGAGCTAGCAACCACTTTATTAATAAGTGAAATACTGTATTTGGTGAATTATTTACTTAATTCAGATGATTCCTAGAATAACTTCCTTCACTGGGCTGTATCTTGTTGACTGGCAACAAAACAGGGACTGCACGTGATTCGCATCCTAGCTTATATAGGCATTAATCCAAAGTCTAGAAATGTGCCATCCATGGGAATACGTTGGGTGGACTGATAGAAAAAGGATAGAATATATTTCTGGAAACGAGCTGCTGAGGTCAATAGGTTTGACCATTTTTATGGTTCTTGATACTGTGAAACATTACTTCCCCAAAGTGTTTCATCAATTTGTGCAGCCTTTGAGATTGTATGCTACGCTATTTACAAAGCTCTGTTGGTCATGTTGGTGATTGTTTTGTAGGTTTGGTGAGTGTCATATCCCGGTTTAATAGGTAAGGATATCAAGACTTGCAGACAGACAGAATGACATGCAAAGTTCAGCATGCTTTTTCCTGGCTGGAGGATTCAGGTTCTCTGAAGTTTAGTTAGTCCAGTAGCAAGAGCTACCATTTTTCTTGCTGTACCAGCAACCTCTCTGTCAATAACAGCAAAGTTCTGCAGAAAGGAAGGGATTCAGTCCAACTCTAAAAATGTATCTCACCTATATGTGTGAAGATTTAGAACCAGTTCAACAAAAAAGCAATATGAAGTATGTGCAATGATAGATGATACAAATATCAGCGAGACAATTTCTTCCATTTAAGGCAGCGGTAGGAGGGAGAAGGAAATGAGTGTTTATAAAGTGCCATGCTCTTTCCACACAGTGTCTCATTTAATGTGTATAGCAACCCTGATTACTGCCCAGCTGCCCTATTTCTTTCATCGGTTTCGTTTTATTTTTTTAAATCATCATATTTTGTTATTTCAGAACCATCACACTTCTTAAACCTCTGGCCTCACCACTTCCGTATCAATAGCTTGGAAGCCGTAAGTTGGAAATACCTTCAGCTTCTAACCACCAAACCTGTGAATGAATTTATTTGAGCCACATTCCTAAGCTTCAGATGCCTCCCTCCCTCCCTCCCTTCCTTCTTTTGTCTTTCTCGCTCTTTCTCCCTCCCCCTTTCCTCCTTTGTTCCTTCCTTCATTCCTTCCTTCTTCTCTTTTCTCTCTCTCGCTTGTTCTCCTTCCTTCCTTTCTTCCTTCCTTCCTTTTCTCTCTTTCTCTCTTACTTTCTTTTTTGTTTTCTTTTTTTTGAGACAGTCTTGCTCTGTCGCCCAGGCTGGAGTGCAATGGCATGATCTCAGCTCACTGCAACCTCCACCTTCCTGCTTCAAGCAATTCTCCTGCCTCAGCTTCCTGAGTAGCTGGGACTGCAGGCGCCTGCCACCACACCTGGCTAATTTTTGCATTTTTATTAGAGATGGGGTTTCACCATGTTGGTCAGGCTGGTCTCAAACTCCTGAGCTCAGGTGATTCACCTGCTTCGGCTTCCCAAAGTGTTGGGATTACAGGTGTGAGCCACCGAGTGTGGTCCTGCCTTTCACTCAGAGCAAGAAAACTGCCTGGGGACCTCTCCCCATGCCCTTGAGCTTTCTTATGTTTCAAAGACTGTGAAAGTTATTCTTTCCCTTAATAGATGTAGTTTCTAAAAATGGACTAAACTTAAACACTTACACTATCTGCAGCTAATGGAGCTCTAGTATTTTTTCCCTCTTAATTATACTATATGAATCCCCCACACACCTCAGCTTTTGGGTTGACTTTGTTTACTAGTCAAGTTCCTGTTCTTTTTCCTGGTGGAATGGAGGAAACTTTAATTCTGCTTTTGCTTTGATGGGATGGAAGCCTCTGGGCTGTGCCATTGACTTTGACATTGCGGCGTGTGCAGGGCCTCCCTGGAGCCTCGCACTGTGGGACCCATCAAGCCCGATGGGCGGCCCTGGGTGAAGTCCCCTCTGAGTGAGCCTCTCCGTCACTGGCTTGGGAGGTTTCAGGAGCTACCGTCTGCCAAGTTCTAGACAAGGGTTTCTGGCGTGTCTGCTTTAGGAATAGGCTTACAAAGGTCTCCATGGGTAGATTACAAGCCTCTTGAAGGCAGTATGTGTGGGAAGTATAAAGATATTTAAAAAGTGGCCAGATGTGATGACTTATGTCTGTAATCCCAGCACTTTGGGAGGCAGAGGTGGGTGGATCACCTGACATCGCGTGTTCGAGACCAGCCTGGCCAACATGATGAAACCCCGTCTCTACTAAAAATACCAAAATTAGCCAGGTGTAATGGTGGGTGCCTGTAATCCCAGCTACCTGGGAGGCTGAGGCAGGAGAATCGCTGAAACCTGGGAGGTGTAGGTTACAGTGAGCTGAGATCATGCCACTGCACTCCAGCCTGGGTGAGAGTCTCAAAAAAAAAAAGCACTGGGAGCCCCCTAAGCAGTTATTTCCCTGCAGACTCTGTCTTTGTAAGATATGCAAATACAGGCCTTTCAGATGCTCCCTGGTCCTGACATCCTGGAACCCCCGTGACCTGCACAGGCCTCCCTCCCAGCGTCATGGCCTTGCTCACCCCCAGGGGACTCTCCAGCTCCACTTTTCATTTGTTCCTCCTGTTGGAGCACTGACTGTGCATGGTTCACCATCTCCACCTCTGTCATCTCCAGTGGCTATCTTGGGGTCACCCTTGTGAGGGAAGTGACAACCCACTCTTCCATAGAAGCCCTTCCAGATAGGTTCATACTCATCAGACCAGCTCTCGTTTATCCAGCAAAATGTGTGGAGCTCCTTCCATGCGTTAAGTGCTGCAGATACCACAAAGAGTAAGACAAACGTTATCCCCGCGCTCTTGGGGCTCTTGCAGTTTAATCAAAGAGACAGACAAGCACTTCCCCTGCCCCGATGTTATAAAGCATCATGGTTGCAGTTTGGGTAACTGCCGGTCTGGCACTGTCAGTGAGCTTGTGTAAGAGTGGCCTAACCTAGCCTGGGCCATTTTGTTTTTTTTGAGACTGCACTCTTGCTGCCCAAACTGGAGTGCAATGGCACAATCTCGGCTCACTGTGATCGTCACCTCCCAGGTTTCAGACATTCTCTTGCCTCTGCCTCCCAGGTAACTGGGATTACAGGCACCCACCACCACACCTGGCTAATTTTTTGCATTTTTATTAGAAACAGCGTTTCACCATGTTAGCCAGGCTGGTCTCAAACTCCTGACCTCAGGTGATCCTCCTGCCTCAGCCCCCCAAAGTGCTGGGAATTACAGGTGTGAGCCACCGCACTCAGCTGCCTGAGGCATGTTTAAGAGTAAGCATCATTTAGCCAATAGAAGTGTGGACACCGGGAAGGGTTTCAATAAGCAGGGAAAATGTGGGCAAACAGCCATAGGTAGTAGGGAGCTTCATGCATCTGAGGACTGGAGAAGCCTTATGTGGCCAGAT